TATTAACATACTATTAATTTTGTGTAACAAAATACTTTTAATCCGATCTTTTAATAAGGTCATAGTCTATTTTTTCTTATTCTACTTATTCTTCTACCTGGGATTAATCCCTGCTATTGCCAGGGTCTGCCTTCCTACTTAAACTCCTCCACTTTGCCCTATCTTCGACGTCCTCGAATAAATGTGTTACATATGCGGTCAGCCCGCGTCTCGCCGCACATCCACCTTAGCTTATTCATCTCCATGACGTGAAGCTCTTGAGTGTGCCGAGATAGAGCTGGCCAGCACTCACTACCATATAGAAGTACCAGTCGGATGATGCTCTTATACACCTTTCCCTTGAGCTTGGGCGGTCACACACCACGCCTGTGACCTCTCGCCACTTAGTCCAAGCAGCGCGTATCTGGGCTTGGACATCGTGGTAAATGCTTCCGGACTCGTACAAAACAGATCCAAGGTACCTGAACGATTCCGACTTAACGGCTGGTTCAGAACCTATTTGGATCGTACTATTTTTTTATTGGAAAAAAGTGTTGTAAATGGTTGAAAGGTATTTATTTAAGGGCTTCAACGCGAGCGAAGCCGCGGACGAAAAGTTAGCATACTTGACTCTGTATTATGAACAATATAATTCACATTTCTTTTTTTAATAGTTCAATCTAATCTTTAACTTAGCCAGACGTCATTGAACATACACCACATATTTCTTTTTTGTTATCACAAATATAACCTATAACATAAATAAATACTTACCAAATTTATGAGGTCAAGAAGCGAGGAAAGTGATGTTAATGCTGAGGTGCCGTTTAATGCAAGAAAGAGTATAGACAGTGATTTCGCGATGAATAACTCCAAATAAAAGTGGCTAAAACCTGATAACAAGAACAACAAAATAAAACAACGGAACTGTCTAATCACCAGCACCATTAAAGGAAACATAGCAATTCAACAGGCGCTACGTCGTACAGGGATAATTGTATAAACTTTAGTAAATGTTGTCCAGGATGATCATAACATCTATGGAAACCTAAAAGAAAACATTTTAGAATAAACAAATAAAATATAAAATACAAATTGTTTAACCTATATATAACCGAATACTGCCAACTGCAATTGATAATTAAAATACGTTTACGAGGGGCACACTGAAATGATCAGGAATAGAATATTTCGGATTGAGTTACAATAAAACCTTTTTTAGAATTTGAATACTGGCCTCTTAGAATCTTAATGACATTCAAACAATTAAAAAAAATGTTATAAAAACTATATTGGTTTAAAGTTGACATGTCGTTAACAGAAATGGAGCCCACGCGTGAACATTTCCGTGCCATAATTTATCCCAATTTTCGTCGCGGCTTATACATAAATGATAGATAAATGTCTCAGCGAACTTATATAAATGTTTCAGCGAACTTGTTTCGATTTATGATATTGAAGCACCGAGTCAAACGACAATATACCGCTGGTATGCTGAGTTTCGACGCAGTCATGTGTCGCTCATCACTATTTGTTCTGCAGGTCGACCAAGAACAACGGTCACCTCTGAAAACATCGCAGCTGTGCGAACTATTATATTAGATGATCCTCATGTGACATACCCGATTCGGGCTGCAGGAGCATGGGGCACCTCTCTATGCACATGACAAATTTAATGAACCATTCTCTTCTGTCAAGCTTCATTTGGTCCTAAGGTGATGGGATCCCTTATTCATTCCTAACAAAATCTGGGTCTAGTACCCGCAAATACTTTATAGACCTAGTAAATAAAGTATTTATTGTTGGATTTATACCAGATGAGTGGAGAACCCAGCTAATTATTCCAATTCTGAAAACGTGTAACGACCCCTCTATACCATCGACCAATATCTTCTACTCTCACAAATTTTTTTGATGCAAAAAGTTGCCAAGCGAGCACGCGGTTCACCTCATGTTAAGTGAACACCACCGCCCATGGACATCTGATACATCCGAGTGTTGCAGGTCCGGTGGACAACCTTTTGAAAATTGGGCCACCAGCCATTGGGCCTCCGGCCACCTCACTCACCAGACGAAACGCGAAAATATTATACTGCCACTTTACGCCGGACTTCTGTGAGGTCGTGGGACTTACTCGGCCTGAGCGTGCCCATTCGTGCAACAGCCGAGGCAGCTTCCTGGCCCTACCACAGAAAAGTTGTGGAACACCTTATCAAAAATCGAATAGAGTAGTTACTAGAAAACAAAGGATTCCTGACCTTGCTCTCTATGCCACTAATCCTTCTATAGCTGATGGATAAACCACCAATGGGCATACCGAAGTACAGCTCCAATAGCTCCGTGAAAATAACAAAGTACCCTCCTCTTACACGATTTTCTTCCTTCTAGATCTGTCTGGAAAGGACTCCTACAAGGATCTATACTGAGCCCTCTCCTTTTTAACATATACGATTTAAATACATTTAGTGGAATTTTACAATCTCTGGAAATTCTAGACCCAATCCTCTACTCAGAATCTCATGATATAAGTAAAACCTAATATTAGACATTTAAATTGTTTATAGTCCTAATCTTTGCACTTATGATTGAACATTAAAATATGTAGAAAAAGTACGAAAAGATTGTCGCCGCTGTGGGAATCGACCCCACGTCTCCGGCATTCATGACCTGACCCTGACGGCTGATTGCCACACCGACGAAAATCTTAACGTGTTTTATCTACAAAATCTATTGTCAAACCCATTCCGTTAGAAGTTTAGGACTATTTTAAAAATCAAGGGGACTGTTGAGTTGCCACCTAAAGGGTAGTACGGGCCTGGATCCCACGACATTAAGAAATTCAAGGCATAGAATGTGCAGGTTAACTAGCAAAAGCAGCTTCAACATCTAACTTTTTCTTTGGAAAATACTTTTTATATGATGTGATACCATCAGCTAGTTCAGACCTCATGGCGTAATATCTGGTGCAAATCCAAACTTGTTTCTGGTAAATATTAGGCTTGTGCCAAGAAGACATTCCCAAAAAAAGCCTGGTTTTTCCGTTACTGTAATGCCAGCAAACAAATTACATCAACCATTTGCCGTCTCCACCTTAAACATAGCTGTACACACGTTCACTTAGACAAGCTTAGGATCAGAGATAAATCAATCTGTGTGTGGGCTGGACGAAGGATCACCTGATCATATGTTTTTTGCTTGTCCCAAATTAACTTTCTCCTTATACGACTTCCTCCCTCCTAATTTTCCACGTTCTACTAATATGTTTGTCTATTATATTTTAGTTATATTATCTCTTTTTTTTACTCCCTATGTCAAAACAAAAATTGTGTGAATTTATCCGTGTAAATAAAATTAAATGTTAATGTATTTAGAATTTGTGATGTGTGCATCTGTGACGTGTATTAAGGTGATGGGATTTAAATGTACTGTGCAAATGTCTCTTTACTTTCAGGTTAGAAATCTCAATATAATCTCAAAATTTTATATGATCTTTAAGAATAAACGTCACTTCCTTGACTGACATGCACATGATATTATTGGCAGAATTCTTTTAAGAGAAGCCATTTATTAAAGAAGAAATTTTTAGTAAGCGCCAAAATTAACCTTCTCATTATCTCATTTTTGTCATTCATTATCTCATTTTTGAAATTACGGTAACAATATTAGTCGTCGAAAGATAGCATAATTTTGAACAAAAAAAACCGTCTTCAAACAGGAAAGTAAAAGCATTGTCAACACCTATAACATTAGAGGATTGCCCTCGATTTCTCTGGGATGCCATCATCAGATTTATCACCACCCTTGGGATATCTCCTTTCCAACAAAGAAGAATTATCAAAATCAGTTCATAAATGACGAAGTTATCCTCGAACACACATAAAAAAATAAAAATATATATGGTCGAATTGAGAAACCTCCTCCTTTTTTGAAGTTGGTTAATAAGAGACACAATTTATTATTATCCTAATAATTATTATTTATTAAGGGGGTTTTAGGGTTTTTCACTTAAGCTTTAGGGATAAATATTTTCGGGTTAGTAATACTGGAAGAAATATGACATTTTAGAGGAAAGTTACTTGCATCAAAGAGTACTTAATATCTGAAATGACTTGCATTATCATGTCATAATTTTCAATAAGTATTTTTAATATAGTTATAGATTCTTTAATGTAAAGAAAACAAAATAATAATGGAATTACATCAACATTTGTTTAATAATTATACAAAAAGCCAGAATAAGAAAATGAAGCAAGTTTATAATAATATGCATGATCAGCATTATTTTTCAATCTTTAAAAGACAAACTCTACTTATACAAAACACTGGAATATTGGAAATGATTCTGACAATAAATTACTTAATTGAACCATAATCTTAACACACACAACAAGTAACTTCACTAATATGAAAATGTTTTATTTTTTTGTAAAAAACGAATTTTACGAATTTTTGGTAAAAATCGTAATGACAATCAGACATCACAAAGACATTGCAAATAACTTATTTACAAACTGATAATTATATTAAAGTTATATTGACATCACAAATAGTGATATTTACTTCATCAATTTTATTTATGTTATTAAAATTTTTAAAATTTTTTCTTAATTACTCTTTTTCATTATTTGTTATATCAATATGTGCATGAACATAATATTTCCATATCCCATTAAGTGGTAAATGAAATAATTTTGAAAAAATTATATTGCAATTAATAAATGCATATAACATTTATTAAAACTAAAAATACAATAAATGCCACAAGCATACAGATCAGTTTGTTAAAAGCGTCAACTTTCGAATAAGAGTCAAAATGTATCAAAGTATTTTTAAACATATTATTTACTTCAATATCAAACAGTTATTCCTTTCATAGTATTTCTCAATATGTGCTGTAGATTTCAAAGAAACACAATATAATCCATATAAAATAAAACTAATGATAACCTTTTAACACGACGGGTAATAAAGGAATAATCATACAATAAATTAAGATTATTTCTATGTAATGAATACTGTTAAAGTTTAAATTGTGGAACAATGGATATTGGTGAGCTGTTGATGGGTTTTTTTGGGCTTAGCTTATTTGGTGAACTCATCACCACATCAACAGCTTTCCTTAGGATTTGGTGCTCACTCTTGCGATATTCTTCAGTAATTTGTGATAAATCTAAATCTGCGTCTAGTATGAGTACCTGAAAATAAAGAAGACGTGTTTTATATTTAATATTTTTCTATACACTTCATTGGAAATTCTGTTTTAATATCAATGAATAGCAATTTTTATCAATTGTAATTAGTCTAAAAAAAATATTTAATGCACACCTACAAAATCCCTGATTCGATTTTCTGCAATTAATACACATGTCTTTAATTATAGTTTATATTTAGACTTGTGCAACAGTCAAAAGAAATGTAGCATTGTCAAAGACTAATTATCAAAATATAAGTAGAATATGGCAGTAGAACTAATAATGAAAAGTCTGTACAGAGATGTTAAACTACAATAATAGTTGATAGTTAAAGCTTAAGCCAAAGACTTGTCAGTTCTCATCTTGTGACAATAATGCACAAATGAACGGATTAAAAGATGAAATTCAGTGACATATTTATGTCAACAGTTTAAAAGGCTTAACAGAAACTTGTTTTAGTAATTTAAAATTTCTCATAATGTATCACCACTGAGCATGTGTTATTACAATTATTATTAAAGAAGTGTTACCCTACCCTTAACTTAACTTAACCTACCTTATTTGAGAATGAGTAAAATACTTGTGAACAAAATTGTATTAGTGAATAATAATTGTCTGCTACTTGTTAAACCATATGGTACATATACATATATATATATATATATATATATACATATATATATATATATATATATGTATGTATATATATGTATATCGCAGGATCAATATGTGGCGCCATAATTTGATTACACCACCATCTATTGGTAGCTCTCAGAAACGTCAAGTAGTGCGCTTGAGTAAGGTCGATACAGGAAGTGAGAGAGCGGACTTGACAGTTATTATTTGTGGAAGTCAATTGACATTGAGACACGGGGGTGTGTTCTAAACGTGTTGGGTCATGTCACTTAGAAAAGGGACGGCGGTGCGAAAGGTTTCCATTCAATTACATTGGCGTGGTTAATAGTTATTTTCGTTATTGCTGATTTTAATCGAACAAGTAAACTACATTACTGTGTGATAACTTTTATTTTGTGCGCACAACATGTCCGATGAGGGATCTGCCAATGAATTTTCCCATGTGATCCTCCTATCTCCGACATATATATATATATAGAGATCTTGCACCTTTTGTATGATATAGTGTAAGCAGGATTGTCATGATTTAATCATGATTAAAATCAAATGACTTTTTTAAACACATCCTTAATGTAAATCAAAGCAACAAAATCATACAAAATATTAATAAAAGTTTTAAATGCCTTGTGGAATTTATCTGGATAGAATTCTTTCCACCTTCTTTATTATAACCAAAGTTTAATTTATTGCATATCATAATGAGAAATAGGAAGGCAGAAGAGAAGGCAGCACTTTTCCATTTTTAAGAACCAGAATGGGGACGATTAGTAGGAAACCAGTAAGAACATTACGAAAATATGTTAGGTGACTTGACTGCAGCAATAACTGAATGGTTTTAGTCAATTTAAACTTTTTGATTAAAAATTAGTTTTTGATTTTCTTAATTTTTCATATTTGTTTTTCACACTATTCATGTAGATTACGTACCCAACACACCAGGAGGAAAATAATAAAATGAAAATTGAACTCACGGGGGCTGGACACTCAGCATGTGTCCTATTAATCAACCAGTCTTCATGAAGCTTATGTAGTTCTTCAATGTAAGTTATTGGGACACATTGTTCTTCTGAGCGAGCTCTCTTTTTTATTCTCTCATATACAACACTTGGTGTTGTTTTGAGGTATACTGAAAAAATATATTTTGAAATTATTATTAGTAATTACATATCAAGACTACCACAGCAGAATAAGTGCTTATTTGCCAATGGACAGCAATCTTTTTGTATGCAAGGGCATGCACATATCTACTTAGGTTAGGTTTAGATTTCAAATAAAGTGTTTTATTTAAAATCAAAGCCTAACCTAACCTAAACTGCCAAATCTGCAGCTCGGCAGCTGCGTTAATACTTAAGTACCTAATTATTTACCATGTATCAAGGAAACAGAACTAGTATTATTATGAAGATAAAAATTTGATTCATTTGTAATGAATACATATACTTTATCGTAATATATAAGATAGTAAATATATCAAAATGTCTTTCCTAAACATGACAGACAATAATGATTCAATAAAATATGACCTACATAATGAACAAGTAGATATATGAACTGGTTTACAGAGCCCCTTAACAGATGTTATATGTTTACTTGATAATATAATTCACAACACAATCACTGATCTTAAACAGAAATACTAACATGTAACATTGTATAAATGAACAACAATGCTAGGTTTTCAATATTTGTTATTTTATACATTTTGTAATCTTATAACTATGTTATGAAATTAAAAAAAAAAACAAAAAATGTTTTATTTAATTTTATAACAACAAGAAAATAAAATAAACTCTCACTGACCTATTAGATCTGCTTCAATTGGAATCTGCTGGTGAATAAATCTAAACCACTCATCGAGGACTGCAAACTGTGCTGGATGTAAAGTGCCTGCCTTCATCATATGCTCAACAAAACAATACCGAGCACTGTATATTGAGCGTTCCATTAATTTAATTGGCGTGACTGTGGGTCTACGGTGCATCTCGAGCATAGTAAGAGAAACATACGCTTGAAAGGTCATTGCCCATTTTGCTGGATCCTTATACATAAGGTCCTGTACATAATACAACAAAATAATTATTAATTGACTTATAATAACTACTATAAATATAACTAAACTATTTATAATAACTTAATTAATCGTACCAATAAATTCCATCCGTGAAGATTTCGCCATTCTTCAACAGGTTCCGTCAACAAAGTTATATCTTCAAACTGTCGAAAATGTTCAAGGAAAGTTGTTTTACCACTACCAATATTACCTTCCACGAAAACAGTAAAAGGTTTTGATTTAGTGATACTCATCATGTGAAAATTGCGGTAAGCTGAAAAGTTCAAGGAAAGAGCAGTAAGACGTTCTGTCGTGCTTAAGCAATTTCCCGCCCAAATGAATACGAGTTAACGGCCTGCCTCTCTCATCTTTCAAAAATAACAAATAACGCGGCAAACATAACCTGTTATACACCAAACCAACCTAAAAACTTATTCAATTACCTTTCAAAAGTATTCCACGCGTTCCATGTCGCAACATAATGCATTTTACGATATAATTAAGTTATTGATTGGTTTAAAATTATGCTATATAAATTGTTTAATAAGTTATTTCATTAGGCTGATAAAAATTGCAATATGTCACAACAAAAGAGAACAGATTAAAATATAAAATAATTTAATCAAAACAATACTATCGCTCTGTTTTTACCAAAGACAGTATTGAATATTGGTGGTCGATAAAAACACAATCAGGATAGAAAATAGTAGATAGATAGAATTAACATCACGACACGATTGGAATTAAAATTTACATTTTACAACCAACGCATGTCATAGCGTTGTAATATTTTATGGTGTTCTATAGGTGTCTAAATTTTTAGTACAATTATATTATTTTTATTTCTCTTTTGATAATTTCACACTGTTTGAGTTCAGTTCGCACTTTTCACAGTTCGTCACTCCATCTAGTGGGGGGCCATCCTAGGTGGCTCAGCTTCGTTCTTCGTGGCAGTTTATGGGGGAGGCTTATGTCTAGCAGTGAACTCCAGCGGGCTGAGACGATGATGATTAACATCCCTAATTTTCCCAATAATTCCACCACACTAAATATGTCATTGGTAGTTTCAGCACCGAAACCGACCTTTTTCGATTTAGATTTCTTAATTTAGTGTCTTATGCTTTTGGAAAGAGCATCTAAGAAGTTCTGCGCATTCCTCCTCTAAATCGTCATTGTTAAAAGTTTATTTTCATTTTTTTTTGTTCTGTTTACTAGTAGCAGCATGCTCAATGATTAATATAATTTCAATAAGTTATCCTCTAAATGTGTATTGATTTATGGTCGCAATAGTAACGACACGCTGTATACTGTCTTATGGTCTAGACCAGAGTTCCCCAAACTTTTTTGTGTCGTAGACCCCTTGCCATGTTTTTCCGTGTTGGGTAGACCTGATATTGATTGCCTGTAAACTTCTAACTGTAGTGAAGTTTAGTGTTAAAAACTTAAAGTAAAAACACATGTTAATTTATACATTTATTAATTGAATTTAAATTAAAACTACTCAAAATAAAATTTTATATCTGTTATTTAATGTTGTAAAATAAATATTTTTTAAAATATTTTCTTAGCACTTTCCTTTTCAAGATTCAGGAAACGAATAAACGTATTTGTCCCACATTCGTATTTATAGAGTGACGAATTGAACAAGTCAGTGCAAGGTAGCGAAGCTCTGAGACTGCGACTCTCAGGTTTTTACAAGTTCAAAATGTATTGCGACCACAAAGCGAATACCAACATCCTACAACTTACACAATTTTATAAACATTTATAATAAATTTTTCACTACATAGGTACTTTTATAAATAATGTATATGTTTTGATATTATAAGATAATATGATGTAAGTAAATAGGTACTATCAGTGTATGTGTTGAGATCCACTATGGTGGACCCCCATTTTCATTTCATGGACCCCCAAATTTTTTCTTGCAGGTTGCCATAGACCCCTAGGGGTCGATATAGATCACTTTGGGAATCACTGGTCTAGACTCTAGACCATTGTTACTTAACCATTTTTGTGCCATGCACCACTTGTTCGTATACATAATTATACCAAATAATTATTTACGGCAATTATTTAAAAAAATCCTTTTTTTGTTTAATTTGGCTCCGAAATCTAGCATTGGATTTAAATGCCCTGGCGAAACGGTTAAACTCGTGACGAGTCCATTTTCAAATTGCATCCCTGTGGGGCATAGGTAATACGTTAGGAAACACTGGCCTGGACTTTAAGGTGTATTTTTCAATTAATAGCAATTAACATTTAAGTTTCAATATTGTGAATAGTTAATGCCAATCACTACATAATGGTTCCTTACAAGTGCGCACCTATATATATTTTTTTATGTAAAATTTGACGATTCTTAAGAACGCGCAAGCGTCTATTAGAATAAATATATTTTTGATTAAAAAAAAATGTATAAAACAAACTCACCCCACTGTTACCGTCAAAAAAAGTTAAAAATTAATGTAAATTTTGGTACCTAATTACATAAAAGTTTTTGCGAAAATCTAAATTTGCCTATATCTTAATATCATGTTGACTAAGACCTTGATTTATTTCTATACCTAATAGAGATTATAGACCTCAGTATCTGGTATAAATTTCAACTTGCTTAGTCCATCCTTTCCTGAGAAAATCAGTGGTGACACACGGACAGACAGACGGACAAAAGAGTAATCTTATAAGGGTTCCTTTTTTACCTAATATACATAATATTACGTGTATACTTATGTATGCAGATGCACCTAAGAAGTTATACTTAAACAAAAACGAAAGAAAAGTAAGTTTATCTCCCGTGCCGTGCCGATACCCTTTGATTGTTAAATGACATTAAATGCAAGCGATAACGGTTTGCTTACATCTTTGGGTGTCGGTGTGCGCGCGCATCATAAACTTTACTCTCATATTTTATCCAAACACTTCATTAGAAGTTGAAGTTAAAAAATTGTTCAGGGGCTGCGGAGTTGCAGCGGAGCGGGTGTCGTTCGCACACTAAGCTAGTTGTCTGAATTCGGACCTTTCTAACTATCATACTATCTACCCTTTTCCAATTTAGATAACCGCAAACTACCCTTAAAAATATTATGGCTAATATTCCGAATAGTACGTCTCGTTTTTTAAGCTAGAAAAAAATTTTAATCGATAGAGAAATGTGAATAATTAAATATTATATAAGTTATAATCAATGAAAACCACTAGGTTATGAGGAAAAAATTAACAAAGTTTTTAAATTTCATACAACTGAAATCCGTCATTACTGTGCGTCCATTATTCATTATAGATTATTATTTTAAGTTAAAAACTTACGTTTTCACTTTTTACGTTGTAAGAGGACACAAATACACGGATATATCACAAGTTTCGGTAAAGGTAAATAACTTTAACTCCGGCGTAATTCAAATCAAATAAATAAACGATAGAGATAAATCCCTAATGAATTAATCAACAAGCAGAATTCGGCGGTCGCTTATAGTTTTCGAGAAAAAAAATATTTAAAACTTGTTTTTTGTACTAAGAAATCCACCATTTTATTCGTTTGATTTCAAAAGTTCTTTACACAGTTCTGCCAACATGATAAATATAGGAAGCGGGCGCCATCATACACGTATCGATATTCCGATTTTTTTTAAATTTAATGAGTCACAGAACCGACACAGAGCGAATCCGACTCGGATAGATTAGGTTAGAAGGTTCAGGCGGGAGCTCCGCTCCCGCCTTAACCTTCGATGTTAGGTTTTTTTTTTTATGACCACCAAGAAATACGAGCTGAATTGACATATTGACAACAAAAAATGGCGGATTTCTATAGTAAAAATCACACTATTTTATTATTTATTTTTTCGAAAACTATAAGCGACCGCCAAATTCTGCTTGTTGATAAATTCATAAGTGAGTTTTCTCTATCGTTTAAAATTTATTTGATTTGAATTACGCCGGAGTTAAAGTTATTTACATTTACCCAAGTTTCTACGTCATGAACATGTATTATTAACAATTTCTAATATTTAAAATTTGTGACTTAGGGTACACTTAATGTCTCGAATATTAGGTTCAAAATGAGTCACAGATCCGACACAGAGCGATCCGACTTGGATAGGTTAGGTTAGAAGGTTAAGGCGGGAGCAAAGTCCGCCTTAACCTTAGCCTTCGATGTTAGGTTTTTTTTTATGACCACCCAGAAAACTTTAGAGTATCAGTACTTTTAGTATTTTTAAAGACTCTTTTTTAATAATGCGAAGGTTATAATTTGGAAAAGTGAGTGAATTCTTAAATTTATACATGTTGTCAAACACAAAATGGCGGATTTATTTAGTGAAAATAACAAGTTTTAAATATTTTTTTTTTATTAATAGTTAGTGTTTGCCTTGGTTTTCACGTATGTAATATTTAATTATTAACATTTCTTTATCGATTAAAACTTTTTTCTAGCTTGAAAAACGAGACGTACTGTTCGGAATATTTACCTCTAAATGGCGCGAAATACGAATGAACCAATTACATGAATCCACGAAATCCATTGACAACGTCTAGAGTTTTGTGGGTAATATTCCGGAAAAAAGATTTACGTGTTTAAATAGGGATTCATTATTTCGGAATTGTTACGGTCGGGGCTTTTACATTCTATTAGAAGTCTTAACTTATTTATACGATAGTAATAGTGTTAAATTAATCAATATGTTCCACACCTATAGCCTAGGTATGTTTTAATAACAAATTAAAGCATGAAATCATTTCTCATGGTTATTATTTAACCGGCAATAATAATTGTTTTACGGTATTTTACAGGAATATTACTTCTCGTAGCGGGAGCGTATGCATTATACGATTCATCGTCTGATGTTATAGAGTTAACACCTAGTAATTTTGAAAGACTTGTCACAAAATCAGATGAAATTTGGATAGTTGAATTTTTTGCTCCTTGGTGTGGACATTGTAAGAATCTTGTACCTGAGTACAAAAAAGCTGCTCGGGCATTAAAGGTAAGTAGATCCATTTATGTATTTCAAATGATTTACTCCTTAAATTCGTCAATGTTGCACTAGAGTAACACGATGTTCGGTGAGTTTTATACAAATGGCATTTACCATTTTATAGGGAATTATTAAAGTTGGTGCAGTGGATGCGGATCAATACAAAGAACTGTCCCAAAAATATGCGGTCAGTGGGTTCCCGACTATCAAAATTTTCACCGGTAGCAAACATTCACCATACCAAGGACAGAGAACTGCAGAGGCATTTGTAGAAGCTGGTCTCAAAGCAGCTAAGGAAAAAGCTTTTGAAAACTTAGGAAAGAAGTCTAGCGGCTCATCATCAGATAAGGTAATTTATACACTTAAGTAGTTTTTGCTTAAACATCTCTGCATAAAGCAGCTTAGATGGTGCGTAATGGACAGATTTTTGCATCAATTGCCATTCACTTGGGTTCAATGCCCATGACACTCATTATTATGATCTCAAGTTAAATTTTATACCAGGGTCAGTCAACTGTACATAACAAATCAGAAGAATCTTCCAATAGGATCATGCATGGGTTTTACAAAATTTTTAAATAAAAACATGGTTAAATTTGATCAAATTCTTCTGATTTGTGAAGAAGTTATCAAATCTATAACTTGTATATTTCTGTGTCCAAATTTATGAAAAATCAACATAAAATATATAGGAATCAAATGGAAATAACATGAATGTTATTTTCATTTGATTCCTATATATTTGTTCTTTATTATGCATATGTGATATTTCATATCCGTCTTGCATTGTTGTTATTAAAATAATAATACCTGTTCTACCTTTATAAACTGAGATCAAATTGATTCATATATCAAATTTGTGGCTTTTCCTGTTATATATTTATGACATCTTATATCTTAATAAATGTTTTTTGCAACAATAGTGGAGGCTTAGAAATGGCCGGTACGGCCATGACATACCATGGAGCCCAGTGAAAAAAAATAATATTCTAAGACAAATTGATCGACCCCAATTGACTTCGCCTTTGAAAAGAAGTAAATTACACTTGTTGGATTCACAACTGTTCCGGGGAAATGTATTTGACATTGATCCACCTAAAATTGTCAAACTTAAATACAACATGAATAACAATTAAACAAATTTTACTCTAATCTCTTTTTTACTGAAAGTTTTTTCAAAACTAAGTTTCTTAAAAGTTAATATATAGCAATTTATTTTAATTACCTTTAAAATGTTTATTTAAAACAGTTATTAAACATGCTGTTTTCAACTAATGATGTGTAACATGTTACATATCTTGTTAATTTTAAGGCTAATATTATATGTATTAAATGAAACTATTTTGGATTTGATCATGTTTTAATTTTGATTTTTATTTCCCGATGTTACGAAAATCTTAATTAAAACGCGATAAAAACCTTAAAATTTAATAATTTTTTTCTAGTTTAATAAGGTACTTCAGTATGATAGAAATTCCAAAAATACAACTATATTTCCATACACATTACCCAAAATGGGCTTATGGGCTGCATTTTGAAATTAGTACAAAATTAGTCTTGCTTATCTATATTGCATAAGATGTTAATCAAGTGTGCTCACATTCTATCTTCATTATGTACACAATCTGTGAAGTTAACATGTTATGTGTAAAATTATATGCAAGGAAGATAAGGTACTAGGTTAGCCCTAAAGCACATTAGGCATAGATTTATAGTTTGATGTGCATCAATTTATGCCACCTATTTTGAAATTAGGTATTGAGCGGATCTTATCAATTACTCCAACCATAAAAAATACTGTGAAAATAAACTACTTCATTTACTTAAAAGACAAACATTTATTTAGGTGATCTTTATATCCATTTTTTTATTAGAACTACTAATTTATTAAACCAATGTATTTAACATTGTTTTTTTTTAAGTACTTACTCTTCTCTCTTCTCTTTTCTCTCCTCTTTTCTCTACTTCAAATAAAAAGCATATATTACAGCTATTTATTTGCGACTATATGAAATAAATTTTATATATAGATGGCCTTAAACAAACCAAATTAAGTTATAGACACAATATTATTGAACAGCCATAAAGTGTACACCCACATTTGCCTCCTCTCACCTAGATATCAAACACCTACATTATGTTTCATGGACATAAGCCTTACTAACAAGGTCTTGAACCATACATTATACCTTTCAATTTGGGGAAATCTAGAGTTTTACAACATGATACATGCATTCAACAAATAAAGCATTTTAAAACTGTTATATGAATATCTTGGGTCTGCTATTATTTAAAATTCCACTAACAATTTTTAGGCTTTGTATTAACTTAGTTTACATTAATGCAATTATTTATCCTAATTACTAAAATGGTTTTTTATTTCAGTCAGATGTAATCACACTTACTGACAGCAACTTCAAAGAGCTAGTATTGGACAGTGAAGACTTATGGTTAGTCGAGTTCTATGCGCCATGGTGTGGTCATTGCAAGAACCTGGAGCCCCATTGGGCCAAAGCTGCCACAGAACTAAAGGGCAAGGTGAGATAAACTGATTGGATAATTTCTTAGGATATAACTTTGTAAAACTTACCATCAAAAGTAATATTGAGAACACCCTGTGTTGTGGTAATGTGAAGTATCACCTAGTAGTTTAGTTTTAATGTTGATAACAACACTACTAGATGATCATCATACATGTGGGTGATGTCTATAATGGCTAATAGGTTTTAGCAACAAAAATAACAGATTGGTATGCTTTGTCACCATACTCTGCACACAAGAAATGTGAAAAACAGAACTATATCACAAGCCTTTATGTATCCAAAAACAGAACTATTTGAAGGTCTAAAAACAAATTAATTTAATGTAATATTGTTATTCTTAAGATATGTTGATTCTGTAGATGGTATGAAATAAAACCACATTGAAATTTATTTTATTTGAAATTGCACAAACAACAAAAAGCATATTTATACTTGTAACTTCAGTTTACCTTCTGATATCACAATTTTATGTTTATGTATATTTTATGACTTTATTTGACTGTATCTTTTAATACATTTACATTCCTAACCAACTTGATGTTATTTTTAAGTTGATTTTTTTATTATATTTTTAACCAACCAGCACTTAGTTATGAAATATAGTAAATTATGAGATAATTATTAATAACTTGTGTATTATAAAACTTGTGTATACTTCTTAATCTTTGTTAATAATATTCTATGAAATGTTTTTATCATATTTTGATATATATGAATTTTGAATTATGTCTTGTATATTCTGAAAAATGTCACCAGTATTAAATGATTTCTAAAATCAAATCTGAGTGCAATAAAAAATACTGGAAACAAATTGATACATGCAATTTGCATTCTCCTCAGCTCCGCAAAAAACAACAACTCTGTTACAATGAAATGCTTGTAAATAATAAGGTTCATGAAAATGAGCATAAACATTTACAAAATATATCAGTATTTCTTCCTGCTGAAACACAATTATAATTGATTTAATTATTTAATATGCTCACAGGTAAAATTGGGAGCTTTGGATGCAACAGTTCATCAAGAAATGGCTTCCCGTTATCAAGTACAAGGTTACCCGAGCATCAAATTTTTCCCATCTGGTAAGAAGACCAGTGACTCTGTAGAAGACTATAATGGTGGCAGGACCTCAAGTGACATTGTTGCCTTTGCTTTGGAAAAGTTTACTGAGAACATTGCCCCACCAGAGATTGTCCAGGTAACTTTGACCATTGATCTTCTTCATTATCATGACACAATAGATACTATAATGTTAGATAAAATTTGAACTCTTTTACAGATTGCATTAAAAAAATACCACCTTATTTCTACAGAATCTGGTAAACCATTTTTCCCATTCAAATTTACTTGCATTAGCTTACACTGTTTCAATTAAATCTACATGAGAAAATTAATTGCTTCATTATGCCACACCTTTTATGAAACGATACATGAAAATTGATTTAACAGTTGCGTGAAAAACCATATTTTCAGTTATGTTGAGTTACAATTAAACTTCCTTATTTAATTAACCAGTTTTATATACTATGAGAATTTATATGGAACTTAAGTATGTAAATTAATAATTTATATAATGACCTCTCTAGATGACTTTCATCATTATCATCCTCCCAATCTTTGCCCACCTAGATACAACTAGGTAAAACATGTTATAAGTAATTTTGGTTATATTTTTACCTTCCTTGGGCAACAAACACCCAGATCCAGAACAATTAAACCAATGATATAAAATATCATACCCCAATATTGAGCCATGATAGCTCAGTGTCCAGGCGCTCGCCTTTAATTCAATATACACAAGCAACCTGAATTTGATCCCCAGTGCCAGCACCAATGTAGTTTTTTAACTTTAAGTGCTGACTTATCACGTACTCCGCGGTGAAGGACAACATCGTGAGGAAACCTGCATATTTTCGAAATAATAACAAAAAATATATATTTCGAAGATATATGAAGTCCACCAAACCACAGTGGGGCCTCATGGTGGACTATGCCTTGATACCCTCTGTATAGTAGTGGGACATGTATAGGCTGTTACTTTACTTTATCCCAATTATTTCCACATTGTTGAGCTTATTATGTAGTAAAAGGTAAATTAAAATCGCTCTACAGGTAACTACTGAAGAAGCAATGAAGGCCTGCAGTGAAAAACCATTGTGTGTAGTATCCATCTTGCCTCACATTCTGGACTGCAATGCTGCTTGCCGAAATGAATACATTTCCATACTTACCCGTCTAGGTGACAAATACAAGAATAAGATGTGGGGGTAAGTTCTATGTTCCTATACAGGTTTCTGCAAAGCACATGCAATGCATAACAGGGTTTAAAAAAATCATTGGCGCCTGGATATGAACTCAAATCAATCTTGCAAGTGTAAGTTTTTTTATCTCAGAAAGTGGCAAGGGAGCTTGCTGTTGACCTAATGTTAAGTAATAAACGCCGCCCAATGGACATCTGCAGCACTCGTAGTTTTGTCATCTTTTAAGAAAGTGAGCCCCAGTTACCTCGCTCACCAGACAAAACGCAGAAGTTTAACACTTCCTCTTTCTGCCAGTCTTCCGTGAGGTATTTCCTGGGACGAGTCAAATAAATGCACCAACATTGCCCTACCACATTTATATTGGGTTTGATTACCACATAGGGCAGTATTGTTATGACCATGGGTAATATTTCACTTAAGAGTATTTATTCATGTGAAATTTATATTTGTTAAACAGCTTCAGACAAGGCAATGTTTTTTTTTTTAATTAAAATGAAGTTTAGCAAGAAACTACCTGCGACCTGCACCTGGGCCTATTCAAATAATCTCATTAAAAAGTTGTTCCTTTAATCAACAGCACTTATCTGAAATGAATAATTTCTATTTTACTAGATGGGTTTGGACAGAAGCTGGTGCGCAACCTGCTTTGGAAGAAGCCCTTGAATTAGGAGGCTTTGGTTACCCAGCCATGGCAGTAGTCAATGCAAAGAAACTTAAATTCTCTACTCTCAGGGGTTCCTTCTCGGAATCTGGAATCAATGAATTCTTAAGGTTTGTTTTATTTTTTTTTAATTATATTTTGACTTACCAATGGCGCCACCAGCCGTTGGTAAGCTACTGTCTTCGTCGTCGGGGATCTTGGGTTCAGTTCCAACATAAGACTAGTATTTGTGTGACCCACAGGTAAATGTTCCGTGTTTGGGTGTTTTTTCCCTAGGAGGGGTGGACATCAGACAGGCGGCCGGTCGGAAAAATAATAGCGAAAATCACTAACAACATGATTACATGCAAATAGGCAACTATATAAAATATTAATGTTGCATATTTTGCTTTTATTAGATTCAGATATTTATAGAGTTTATATATTACAGAGACCTTTCCTTTGGTCGAGGTCAAACTGCTCCAGTTAAGGGCGCTGAAATGCCTAAAATTACCACCACCGAGCCTTGGGATGGTAAAGATGGTGAGCTACCTCCAGAAGAAGATATTGATCTTTCTGATGTGGATTTGGAGAAAGACGAGTTATAAGTGAGAGCTGATGGCTTTGCTAAGACTGCTTAAGCTAAAATATATAATAAATATAGAATTTTTTAATCTTAAATAATTTTCATGTCATTTAATACATCACTATATAATTGTAAATTATGTATTATGCATCAGTGGTAATCAGAAAACATCACTGTCAAACATTTTGTCTTAAATACCTGCTATATAATTATTATATAAATGTTTAGTATGTAATTGGATTAGAGTTAATTTATTCCATAGTGTTAACTGTTGTCATGTATGAGCAGAAAATGTAATTAGATGACTTTCTGATGCATTTAACTAGTTAATTCTAAAAAAATTATACCTACTTTTTGACTAACATATCCAAAATTTCTGAAATTATCAACATACTATTTCTCAAAACCTTATTTTTTTATACAAAGTGAAATGTAGAATGTATTTTTGATACAGTCGTTTTGGGTAACTTTGAATTGCGGTTTAACTTTGAACAATGTTGTGAAAAAAATTTATTAATTTATTACATGAAAACTATTTTTTATTTCAATACCGTAACTGCGTAAAACAATCGGCAAAATGTTTTGAAATAACGAAAAGTAAAAAAAATAAACTTAATGCAATAATCACATTTAAATGTTAATTTAGATGTAATTTTTGGGGATAAGGTTTTATTTAATGAAAATACGTCATATAATTTTACCCAAAGCTTCAAAAGGCAAAATAAACGCAAAAAATAAATAAGTATAAATCAGATTGTAAAAGTAAAAATTCTGTAAAAAATGTTCAAAGTTACCCAAACTAACGTTAGTGAATTTATGTAATTTATTAAATAATTTCACTATCAAAAGTACTTATAGATTGTTGACCACGGAACAACTTGTAGAAATTGCTCATAGGTAACATTTTGCATATCAAGAAAAATTTTGCCCAAAACAAAATAATCATTACCTGCATGCAATTAAAAACTGTTTATTAAACAATATTTGAAAGTAATTATTTCCCAGTAATATTTTTATTTATTAATTATATTTTAATGAGATCCAATAATATAAGGCAATGAATAAATGCAAAAAAGTGATTTAAACCACAATATTATATGGTTTTTCTAAATGTTTTTACGTCAGGAACAGCTAATTCTTAAAAGTGTATGTAAAAGTTTAAAAATAATGATGAATGGCCGCCATGTCTTGAAAACTAATTAAATAGATAATAAATTTTTGCTACAATATTTGTATTTCATTAACCATTTATTTCTACTAAATTTAAAAATTAGGTAATAATAAATTTTATTGAAAACATATCCTAAGTACACGCCTGAATTATCAATTCTATTTTATGTAGACTTATAGTAAAGTAGCAAAAGGGTATTCGGAGGGACTTTTTTTTTTTTCATAATATTTTTACTGTTATTTGGACAATGTGCTGTGTTTTTCTTCACCGCTAACACTATGATAAACAAAATCACTCCATCAATAATTGATTTGAAGAATGAAGACCCAATTGCAGTAGTTTTAACCTATTACTGTGATGAACATAGCGCCTTTCTAGTGGCTGAGTGTTTATACAGCGTGTTTTTACAATCGCGACAATAAATGAACACACATATAGAGGATAACTTTAAAATTGTATTAAAAATTTACATTGTATAAACATCAATATTTACAGAGTTATAAAATTTTCCAAAACTAAGAATTTTAGAACAGCCTTACTTAGGAAACTGTAACGTAAAGTTCATTTGTAAAGGTCACAAAGCATATGAATCGGTTGAATGAATTTAAAAGAGAAAACATACTGTTAGAATGAGAGGCTTGTAATGCGACGCTGTGGCATCAAATGAAAAAGTCTCTGAATGTATGAATCAGTCAGTTGTAGTTGTATAGGTGTTACAAATTTTGTTTCTTTTTAACTTAATTAGTTTGTTTGAAAAATATATTTTTTTAAATATTGTTTTTTTTTTAACGTTAATATTTTTTTATGATTATTGGCAAGTAGCGTTAGACGTGTGTTCATTTATTGTCGCGATGGTAACGACACGCTGTATACCTACTAGCTGAAACGGCAAACGTTGTTATGCCATATAAATTATTTGTAGGGTAGAAAAAAAGTTTGAGGTGGACCACCCTTAACATTTAGGGGGATGAAAAATAGATATCCGATTCTCCACCCTGGCCGGTATGCACACAATCGGTCGAGCCGTTTCGGAGGAGTGCAATTACAAACACCGTGACATGAGAATTTTATATATTAGATATAGATACCATTTAACATTTACAAAAAAAGTATGTTTATGAGTTAATTATTACCCAAAGTACTCGCTAGACTTAGTTCGAGACTAGATAATGTTGTGTAAAAATATAATAATAAATTGTTTCCCAATTGTTTTTTTGCAATAAAAAAAGAATTAAATTGTTAAGAAACCTCGCTTTACCATGTTACGTCGTGAAATGAATTGGCAGTCTTATCTTCACTACATAGTATACAACAAAGTCATTCCACTGTCTGTCTGTACCTATGTATACTTAGATCTTTAAAACTACGCAACGGATCGTGATGCGGTTTTTTTACTACATGTAGATATCACTGGCATTGCCCCCTTGCAAAGCCGGGACGGGTCGCTAGTTTTTAATACAGGGTGGCTTTTCTAAGTGTATCCATTTTTTTTAAATTAAATTCTAGACATAAATAATGTTATATAAAAAATGATAAATATTTAAAACTTAACACTTGTAAGTAATTATTTACATTCATTTGCACTTCTCTCAAAAAATGCGTGATTTATACGCAACTCATTTATTTTACGCGCGATCATTCATAACTTACACGCACACAAGTTCGTGCACAATAAAATTTAGGTATTTATGAATATATAATTTCAATAAACGATTATACTACAGACTTAAACTCCTGTGCAAATTTGGCACTTCTCAAAAAATCTCCCCTTATAATACAAAATATAGCATAAAATTCTCACAATTCATTATATCAAGTAATGTTTTGTGATCCACACAATCAAACAGTCGGTACAAAATGATGTTTTATTGAGATTTTTTCCCAACAAGTAATGCAGGAATAGAATTGTTGTAAATATAAAAGGTAAGTAAATAAATAATGTCCAGTATTACTAATTATAATTATATTTGAGCATTTTTAATAGAAAATTGTAAAGAATTCCAAAATTATATATCTACTCTGACAAGCATTGCATAAAGTCAATAAGGTTTTTAATATTAAATAATACTGATGTAATTTTCTCAATTTAAATGTGATCATAGCATATAAGGGATGATAGTTTAATGTTGAAGGAATCAATAAAGAACATGGCTTTCTATTTCTTATTACAGAATAAAAATTAACAACTTTTTTTATGATCATGTTATATGATGAAACAATGGTTACCACAACAAAACAATGCACATAATCCATCTTATTCACTTAAAGGCACTTCACTGGATTCTTTTGGATTTATTTTTGGATCTTTTCAAATTAACTGGGTAAACTAGACATCTGTAGATCTTCAATCAATACAGTCTTTCCTGTTACCTAATAGTATAAATTAATCATTTAGCATTTTAGGCTTTACATGTAATTAACATATTAACTTATATTCTTATACTAATACTGTTCATACACTCCTTGGTCCCAATTTTTTTTCACACATCATTTAATTAACATTAAATTTATAGTATATCTCTTTTCAAGTTTTAATCTTGTTAATATTAAAGTACCTAAACAATCTTTTAGAATAGAGATGCGCAAAACAGTGCTCCAAAAAGTAATGTGATGTTTATCACATCACTCATTGAAGTAATATTACTCAAAAGCATTATGCATTACATTACTTATTAAATTACGCAGCCTATACTGTGATGATGATGTTGCGATGTCATTACTGTAACATACTGGACTAAAGCATATTTTGATTTTAATTTCTTTACTATTACATACTTAAGAATTAAACCGTAATAAGTATATGATATTCTAAATGTAAATATTACAAATTGAGGTAATTTCGCAACTTATTATTTAATTTATAGTTATTCCGTGTTTAATAATTAAACGTAATATTCAAAATAGCCTAGTTAAAAATACAGAAGGACAAACTCTAAGGCAAAAGCTAATATCAATAAAAATCTATTCGACAATGATTGTCAGTTTACCCAAAAAAATTAACCTTGAACCATCTGAAGACAAATTTTAAAATATCGTCTAAAATTAATTTCAACCATAATAGCATGCAATATTAGCTTGTTTTTGTATTACAGCATGACATTCATATTTGCGCGGGGAATGCACAAATTTTGTCCAAGATTTTTTTTAGTAGTGTCGTAAAAAAAATATCATATAATATTATCCGACTAAGGCGAAGGCGCGTAATGTGATGTCGCCCGAAGCGCGTGATCATCTCGCTCGCATGACATCCTTTTCGTATTCGGCGATCACAGAACGCGAAGCAATGCATCACAAAAAGTGATGCTCGCCTTACTCGCGTAATGGGTAATGCAGTATGACATTGCTAAGTAATATTACTCGAGTGAAATTATCGGCATTACTTACACATCTCTATTTTAGAAATTACTCAGTTAATATAAATACAATAAGTGAATATCAATTTCTTTTACATAATTGATCTTTCTATTAATTTATGCATAACATCATAGATTCATTCTTATTCAGTCCTAGTATTAGTTGGTATATAAACAACTAAAAATGAATATAAGGGATCAGACTCAATACTATAATAAGGAATTATAAAAAAATCAAGGATGAATAAATATGCATCTATGAATTGTAATATTAATCAGATATACTTGCAGTTAAAAACCACAGTACAGCAGACTATCCATTAGGTAGATATGTCAAGATTATTATAAAATATTTGAGAAAAAGTTAAATGTGGAAGACCATAATATTAAGCCACACTGGTTAAGCCAATCATATCATATTTCCTATTCTTCTGGCAAATGACTGGGTAACAAATAGAAAAATAGTACAGGCCTGCTATTGCCAAAATAAAAGATACAACTAATGTAACTATACCCCAGGCTGATAACCCTAAGCCCCTTCGAGTCGTACTTTGTCCCGCTATGCCTGGCGAAGTCCCAGCAAAAGTCTTTGACTGTGGATCTTTGTAGCCCTTGCTGCCATATTTTCCACCGTAACCTCTACCATATCCTTTCAATCCGTTGCATGGTAATAATTGGTTCAAAACTGAAATTAAACATTAAAGTATGTTAGCGATCGCTCACTTTATTTGGGGAGTTGAGTTTTAAATAACTGTTTCATGAGCGCTTGCAAACTTGGGTTTTTTTTAAATAATTTGGACCACTTACTTAGTAGAACAAGGCTCAAACGAATTAAATATTTGATCATTTTTGAGACCAAACGCTGTATTTTGGTAATTAAAATACGGTACTTTACATATGATTCTTTCTTTTTGACACTTTACAGAATCAATGTTGAAATAAATACCTATAATATAGCTATTAGCCACGAAAACGCGGTTTGGTATTTTGTAAATTAACAATATTGGTAAACAATCACAAATAAATGAAGAAAAGGAACCACGGACCACAAGTGTAGTTTTTTTTTTAGGATTTTATGGCCCGGTATCAAGGACCTTTAGGCCAACAAGTGCAGTAGTAGTGGACATAGACTAGAATAGTGTTGCATATCGACAGGGTAAAAGCACAAAATATCTATATGTTATCGATAGTATTGATACGTGTCAATATTGTCGATACTACCGATAGTATCGATTGTATCTTGTATTAACTGATGTTTTTCCTTTCAGTCCCGAGGCTATTAAAGCTTCATCTGACGCAGTACCGGTGGGTTAGCCAGAACCCACGGGTTTGGGCCCTCCGCTGTGGGTAGGGCCACGCATGCGCTCATGCGTGCGTTTAACTATGGTGTGTCATCTAAGGGCCATCGAGGTCGTAGTTCGGACCGAAACCCCGATGGCCGTCGACTGTGCAATTAGCTAATTGGTGGCTGGGAGCGGTGAGAACCGCCCCGGAACGCGGGTGTACCTTGAGTACGCGTTGTGTTGGTCTCGCCGTGCTCGGAGGCGAGTGCGAACTAGTGTGTTTGTTGTTGCACTAACTGTGGGTCTAGTGTTATCCGGCGGGACCCCCGGCGGTGGGTCCGGCGTATCTAAGTCCCCTTCCTCGACCGGGTCGATTAGGACGTTTCGCGGGCGACGCTTGTTGACGTTCGCGTTTGTGTCGGGTTGGTAATTTGCTGCGCTTACCACCAGAGGGTTGGGATGATGTTGTTCGGCTCTATCGAAGAACCGTTTGGTCAGGTCTTTAAAATATTCGCGAATCGTCGGGAGTCTGCAATCGCTGTGCAGGTCGACGTTGCGTTGATACCATTGCGCACCGGTTGCGCGGCGGATCAACTTATTTTGTACTATTTGCAACTTGTACAAGCGAGTAGGGTGCGTGTGGGCGAAGGTCTTGCATGCGTAAGACATAATAGGTCGTACGCAGGTCTTATATAATAATAATTTGTGCCTTAAGGGCATTTTACTTTTAGCGTTAGTTAATTTGTGTAGCCGGGTGGAGACGAACGCGGCTCTATTGCGAACGTTATTAATGTGCGTAATAAATGACATACGCGAATCGAAAGTGACTCCTAAGTATTTGACCTTTTTCTCCCAGGGGAGCGGTTGGCCATAAAGGGATATTTGCCCCAACTTTCTGCATTGACGAGAGCCATTATAAAGATGTGACGGGTAAGTACTTCGTGTGAAGTGAATCGCCACATTCTTTTCGGGATTTATTTCTATTCTCCATTTGCAGAACCAATCGCCGAGGCGGTTGGCAGCGCTTTGGAGTCAAGTGGTTAGTTGTCTAAGGTTGCAGTCTGAATAAAAGAGCGCCGTGTCATCCGCGAAAAGCGCGAGCTTGACGTGGGGGTCTTTAGGTATATCGCTCGTGTAGAGCGTAAAGAGCAAAGGTGAGAGGCAAGAGCCTTGTGGTACGCCGGCCGTGAGGCGGCGGCTTGTGGAGAGGGTGCTTTCAACTCGATATCGAAAAGAGCGGTCCGGAAGTAGGAAGGCCCGGATGGTGTGTACGAGCCTATCTGGCACTTTGAGTGTGTACAGCTTGTAAAGCAAGCCGTTGTGCCAGACCTTGTCGAATGCTTTTGCGACATCGAAGAAAAGAGCCCCTGTACTAATATGTTTAGGGTGATTTAGGCCTTTCTGGATATGTTCCGTTAGGCGGAATAGTTGATCGGGACAGGAATGTCTGGCTCGAAAGCCGAATTGTTCCGCCGGCAGAAGGCCGTTGGAAAACACGTGCTCATTGATCCTGTTTAATAAAAACTCGTAGAGCTTCCCCAGGCAACTGAGGAGGCTGATGGGACGATAACTAGAGGGCTGGTTGGCTGGTTTATCCGGCTTGCGAATGCCGATAACCGTGGCTTCTTTTCAGTCGTCCGGAAAGGAGCAACTGGAGAGTAAAGTATTAAGTAAAAAAGTATTAAGTAGAGATAAGTGGCCCAGGGAGAGCTTTAAGAATTTTGTTACTAATATTATCTGGGCCCGGGGTGGATTTGGGTTTTAAGTTTTTAATAATATCTTGAACCTCTTCGGGGGTCACTGAATTCAAAGGATCGCCTTCCGGTGGAAGCGCAGCCCTAATCTCGATTACGCGGTCCACCTCCGTTAGGTGGGCTTTATCGATGTGTTCGCGCGATGGCGTACATTGCTGCTCTAGGTAATTATTTGGTATAAAATGCCACCGGTGGTTGAGCGCGAATCTTATGAAATACCGCCACCGACTGACGAGCGGCGCTAGGTCCGCATACTCGCGAGCGATATCGACAATACCTATCGGGTCGGTCCGGAACGAGCCTCTGCCGTACACACCCGGTCTGCGTACTGGTACGTTCATACTGGGTATTTATACCTGTACCAGTATATACGTCTCATCTCTACCTGATACCTTCTGTACTAGAGATGGGTCGTATCGCTTTTTCTGAGTACCGTATCTGAATCAGATATCGATTTCAAATATCAGATTTCGAAACTATGTATTTTAATATCTAGATATTTTACGGTCCCGTATCCACCTTGAATTCTAAAAAAAAAAAAAAAAGAGTATTTAAAAGTTGATTCATTCTATGTACATAATTTTCCTGATATTTAAAACTTAACTTATTTACAATGATGTGTGGGTTAATAATTATTTAGATTCCTCCGGGTTTAAATTCACGTTTACGAACGTAAGCTGTTTGACTTTAATCGTCGAAAGTCTTGTTCGACGATCATTGTACCTATACTAAAGCTATTACCAATGATACCAACTGTTCAAAAAGAATACTTCTAAATAAATTCGAAAACTCACTCAAATTGACAAAATTCAAAAAACTTACTGATTTTAAAATCACGATTTTTTTATACTATTAAGGTAAAATTAAAACATTACCTGATTAAATTAAAAATTTCATAAAAAATACAAATTGAGGTAATATAAAAATGATTTATTTTAACATCTTATATATCGCTTAATAATAGACTTAAACATATTTTTAGAACACGCAATCATGAGTGACAATATTTTTATAATTTGTGTAAGAAATAATAAATTCAGTATTATAACTTAGGGCGGAAGAATTTAAAATATACACACAAAGCACATAAGCCTTGGTCTGATTTCCACCCAAGCAGCACAACACTATTAAATTATATTTTTCTTTTTGTGTACTTTTATTTTTTTCCAAAAATATGAATAAAGTTTAACTAATAAAAATATTCACAAAAAATTTACCTCCTAAAAAATTTCCATTTATATTTTTCTTCCTTAATTTAGGCAGAAAATTCTTTAAGTAGTAAGTTGGCATCCTTTACTATTACGTGCTTAGTACCAATGCAATCCAGCTCAAGACTAAACAAAATTTAAAGACATCGTTAATACCGTAATTCGTATTTAAATGCAACAGAATTTTTTTTCCATGCTGTTAAGATTCAAAATTACTTAACTGTGCGCTTTGTCGCCCGTTACGGCTTAAGGCTAAACAAAACAATAGAAATATAATAATATCGTTGTAGTAATCTTTGATACCATGATTAGTATTTAATTAAAACGGATCTTATTTGCATGGCGTTAAGATTCAAAATTACTTAACTTATTCATAATATCTGTTTAAAAATCTGATATTGTTCCTTGCTTGCCGTACTGCTCTAACTAGTGCAATATTTGTATCTCACGCGCTTTGTCGCTCAAAATCTGTTTAAAAATCTGATATCGTGTATTGCTTGCCGTCCCGCTCTAACTAGTGAGTATTTATATCTCACGCGCTTTGTCGCTCGATATCTGATATCGTGCATTGCTTGCCGTCCCGCTCTAACTAGTGAGTATTTGTATCTCACGCGCCTTGTCTTTCGAAATCTGTTTAAAAATCAGACATTGTGGCAAACGCGTATGATATCGCGATTCGTGTCGGTATAGCGAGCGAGCACGGTACATCAGATTTCGGAAATATCAGATATTGTAAAATACATAGATATTGAACGAGCCAGTAAGCGATATTCGGATATTGTACTAATATCTAGTTTTCATATCTGATACGATTTGTATCGCCCACTTCTATTCTGTACAGAGGACGACTTTGCACGGCAGTGAGACATGTTTAAGCTATTTCATTGATTTAGAAACAATTACCTTGAATTCTATACCAGAAAGCTAATAAAATAAAAGTACCAACTGCACCTTTTTTTATTCCATGTTATAAATTAATAGACTACAAAATATAATAATTTGACATTGTGGGCAAGTACAAGTAACGTATTTCCTATGTGGCGTGTACTTCCGCTACCTATAGCGTTGTCCTAAATGAAGTGCGTTGTCAAATGTCAGTAGCAAAATGATGTCGGCAATGGCTAGAATACTTTCCATCTTTATTTTTGTTCTTTGCGTTATTACAAAATGCAATGGCGTTAACGTGGATGTTATATCTAGTGATATAAAAATTAAAAACGTTGATCGTACCATTGACATAACATCACAATTGGTAAAAATTACATCTAAAATAACCTTGCAGAACACGGGACAAGCGCCGGTAAAGAGTTTTATATATGCTATTGAAAGCGAGTCTAAGAATAGTTTATCTTTTCTCGGTGTAAAAGATGTTTCTGAAAAAGATCTGCGTTTAGTGGAAACAACAGTAAAAGGTTATGACAGTGTAAAATTCTGGCGAGTTGAACTAAAAGAAACTGTCAATACTGCTTCATCAATTGTCTTGACCGCAGAAGCGGTGTTAACGAAATCTCTGCTACCGTATCCTACATCTATAACTCAACAAGACGACCAACTTGTAAAATACAATGGCAACCTATACTTCTTCACTCCCTATCACGTTACTTCACAAAAAACAACCGTGTATGTCAACACTAAAAGCGTTGAATCGTTCACTAAATTAAAACCTTTCTCTCAGCAAGATGGAACAATTTCTTACGGAACCTATAACAATATTGGACCTTTCACACAGAAAGAATTAAGCATCCACTATAAAAATAATTCGCCTTTTTTAACTGTGACTCGTATTGAAAGGCTCATTGAAGTTTCTCACTGGGGTAATATTGCAATTGAAGAAATCATCGAAATAGAGCATACTGGTGCTAAACTTGATGGACCATTCTCCCGCTACGATTATCAACAAGATGGCCACAGTGGTCCCTCCAGTGTGAGATCATATAAAACTCTGCTTCCTGCATCAGCAGCAGATGTGTATTACAGAGACTCAAATGGAAATATTTCTACTTCACATATGAGAGTGAAGAAGGATTCAGTGGAATTAGATTTAAAACCAAGATACCCCCTGTTCGGAGGTTGGCGATCGCATTACACTTTAGGCTACAATGTTCCAAGTTATGAATATTTGTACCACTCTGGCAATGAATACCTATTAAAAATGCGAGCTATTGATCATGTGTTTGATGACATGCAAGTGGACAAGCTAATCACAAAGATTATTTTACCTGAAGGGTCAACAAACATTAAATTGAGCATTCCTTATGCTGTCACTAGGCTACCTGATAGACGGCATTTTACTTACTTAGACACAAAGGGACGTCCAGTAATATCATTTACTAAAACAAACATTGTGGAGAATCACATACAAGATTTTCAACTTCGTTACACATTCCCTCGGCTTCTTATGTTCCAAGAACCCTTATTAGTTGTAGGTTTCCTCTATTTAATATTCATGTGTGTAATTGTTTATGTAAGGCTAGATTTCTCTATACATAAGTCTGAACATCCTCATAAAGAATAATTTCAGGTAATAATAAAATAATTTATGTACCGTATAACTAAATACTTTTGTTCAAGCACATCTGTATGTCTCAAATGATTATTTTATGGTGAATATAAATGTTTTCTTTTACTAAAAATTGTTGTTTTTATTTACTATTTGGTTGAAAGCATTTCCAAAATAAATGTGCCTGCAGCAAAAGAATTCTTTTAAAATTCAATATTAAATGAGTGAAAGAATTAGTCCTCATTTTTCCCTTTTTACTGCAGAATCTTTTTCGATAATATTATATAATAATTATTTCTTAGGCGTACCTAAAAATAATTAAATCAAACTTAGCTTCTTGTATTGTACTTTGTATTGAAGGGATTAGGTAGTAAGTTTCAATATCCACTTGCAACATAGAAGTCTTCCCTTTAAAAACATTACATTTTCTATGGATGATTTACTTGGCAACTGTGCCTTGGTCATAAATTTTCTGTATATAAAAATTAATACACATGTTGCACAAAAAAATATTACTATGACTGCTATAATTAATTGATTGATTGATTTTCATACATATTAACTAAAATAACATTTTAATCATTAATTAAAAGTAATTATCTATTAGGAACTATTTATAATTTCAACTCAGGGTAACTAGAGATGTAAATGTGAAGTAGATTTCTTCCGATAAAATTATTTGATCCAAAATTTTAGCTCTATCACACCAGGAATTAACATTAGTCCATACAGTTTGGAAATGCGGTGACTTTCATTTTAAATCAGCTCTAGAAAAAATTCTAAACTTAACTGGGCTCAAGTTACGTTACCAATTTGTTTTGGCGGTGTTGGTGTAACATTTCTAGTGTCACTCTACCTGCCTTCCGAATCCCAAATACTAAGTATAATTTATGATGTTACTAAATCACAATTCTGAACTTGCCTATGTCTATGGACGCAAGGATGAACTGGCCTACTCTCTGTTCCAACGAAAATATCCCACTGGAAGTAAACCAACAAAAACTTTGCTCTTCCTTTGATGCAAAGAATATAGAAAGTATCTATGTTTCAATTTTTAGATAGTACTTTAGAGCGTGCCCGTTTTCTATGCGTCTCATCTAAGAATCGAGTAACTGGCTTCACGCCTTACCACCAAGTCACTTGGGTGCATTACCTGACGATGAAAGCTAACGCATTGCTATTGAAATCCGTCTGTGGGCACCGATTTGTCAACCACACCAATGCTCTTGTGGTGTCAATGTAGATAAATAAACTCTTCACGGGCATTGTCAAAAAATTGCTGGCGGCTTCTCCCGCCACGGTTCATCCATAGGGCTCGTTTCCATCAATGTTCAAACTATTTTAGAGCCCTATGGCATATTCCGCTACAATGGATGTAGAGACCCAACGGCTTAACGTTGATTCCTTGGGAGAGCGATAAAACCCTCGTTTGGGATGCTACTTGTCGAAGCACTGGCTGCCTCTCATCTAAGGGGTACTTTGATCAGGGCCGGGGCGGCATCGGAGGCAGCTGAAGTGGCGCTAATATGAGTCCCTTTGTTTAGATTACGTATTTGTGCCATTTATTTTTGAATCTGTTGTGTGCGAGGGGTCGCCATACATCGAAATTTTTGAAAGGTTTACGTCCTAAGCTTAACGCGCGCGGCCGGTGACAAAAGGCTGATTCTTTTCTCGCTCAAAGGTAAAGCATAACTATTCATGAGGAAATGCAGCTAGGGTTCTTAGCACCATAATAAATCTATAACTTTACAAAAAGAAGTGAAGTATGCTATAGTATGGGTAAGTCCTGCATGTCTCCTGTGCTTCTTACCAATATTATTGATTAGTGAATATTTATACAATTTACAATAATATTTAATTATTATTATTTTAAATCACCCAAGCGAGCGTCACCCTATCGTCGAGTTGTAAATTTAATTAAATTATCACAACTACCTAGACATGACCGTCAAATCCATCAGAAAAGGCAGGATAATCACTTAACATAAGGTAAACAGTCTGTTCTCTTGCAATTTCTTGTGTAACAGAACCAGCTAAGATTAATCTTAACAACTTACTTAGATTGTCCTGACATTCGCTTAAGTTGGTTAGTTAGGTAGTGCCTCCATAGGTTGATAATATTAGTGGCTTCAGCAGGTTGATAACTTGATAACTTGCAATTGGCAAATTTTTCAAGTGATCTAATGTAATTTAATAACCACCAGGAAATAAAACACTATTTAGAATTTATTTAAAAAGGGTTGTTTACATGAAAGTATGAAGAAAGTTTAAAGAATTGACTTGGCAGTTGTGGGCAAAAGTTTCATTTTTTGAGCTTAAAGTTCTTATTATTCATGATATTTACAAAACATGGGAATTTACAAATAATTTGATAAAAAAATACCAATATTCAATATACCTGTTGTGGTACCTGTTTATGTTATTTACTTTATTAAGTGGATTTTAAATTTATATATGAATTTTATACTTTTAGTTGTAAAGTAAGCTTAAAATGCTTGGCAAAGCTTAGGTTCCTCTACTATCCGTAAGTGCTCATATCTATTTCATAAAATTATTGTATAATGTTATATAGTAGTATTCCATGTAAAAATACATAAAGTTTATATATAAAGTCAAAAACGAACATAAAAATTATTGAACACAACTGTCTAATATCAATCAAGAAAATATATTTCAATATGTATTCTGCTATATAGCAATAACTTTTTTATATTTTTTAAAGGTATTTATACTGAAACTAATAAAATAATTTTAATAATGAACTATAAATCATAATGCTTCATTTAAATTACACAAAACTAGATAGAGAAATATATTATAAAGGAAAAAATCTTTTATTTTACACAAGTTAAGATACACAGATCTTGGAGATCTTTACATTTAGTTTAAATTAACGCTACATGATATTTGAACAAAAGGTTCTAGTTTTACAAACTCGGGGGCGATAACTGGCTTTTCATTATGGGATATAATTTTTGGGGTATGTTATGAAATTTATCTTAAGATATAATTTAAAATCACTTACCATTGTTTCAATTTACCTCTATTGTATGTTGCATATTACTTATATGCACATTAAAACTATACAATGAAACAGAGGCAAACACTGAGAATTATTATTTTTATAACCTACAAATAAAATTAATAATATATAATAACATTTAATAACATTTTCAAGGTGAGAAATGAAAAAATATATCATTTGTTCTTATAGTGATATACAATTTGTGTGAACCAATTTTGAATTAAAATCGGATACAAAATCAGGTTTCACAAAGGAGCCTTGGAAAATGTTCAGAAATCTTTTTTTTAATTACTTACATGCCAGAAGTATGTGCCGCAGCGAGATGTTACATTCCACAGTGAAAAGCCAGAGAAAAATGGGGGCACTTAATAAAAGATACTTAAGATAAGATCTTTTATATGCCATATTCAGATTGTTTGAAGCGCACAACTACTGGCGCACTTGTGCAAGGAAGAATCGCCAGCTCTGTCACCACTGCGGTGACGAGACTGGGCGGCGTGACATCATACGTAAGGTTTAGCAACGTCAGGTTGGGGCTCGACCTCCAATCCCTCAGAGGCGAATTGTCGTCGCTCTTGTCAATCAGGTCGTCGGGGTCCCCTGAAAAGAGAGAGGTGTACAGCCGCAATGCCATTGCTGGAACCGGTACGGGGATAAACTTTAAACAGTTTGCACTATCAGGCCACTGAAACACTCACACTTATTCGACTTTGACAATTGTCATAAATAAAAAGAATTTAAAAAATTTAAGAAATGTTTTCATGATGACACTTGCAGAGAAAATTACTATGGGATGGGATAAGAAGAACGGTACTATTTCTTTGTAGTAACATGTTAAAAACTGCCGTATTATGTTACATGTCTGACTATGTGCGCTACGCACGTTCGAACGCATAACGTACACGCAGGCACATGTGTGTGTATGTGTGTGTGTGTGTGTGTGTGTGTGTGTGTGTGTGTGTGTGTGTGTGTGTGTGTGTGTGTGTGTGTGTGTGTGTGTGTGTGTGTGTGTGTGTGTGTGTGTGTGTGTGTGTGTGTGTGTGTGTGTGTGTGTCCATACCCAGTTCGTTATAAACGAACGCGTCCGTTTGCACGCGCTCCGAGAACTTGTGCGTCTCGCAGGCCACCAGCACGGGCACGTTGTGGCTGCGCGCCACCAGCGCCACCTGCGCGCTGCCCACCGGGCCCAGCACGGAGCCGTTCACGAGCAGCGAGCAGGCGCCCAGTATCACCTTGTTCACCTGCAGACGGCGCAGCGGTGAAGCCTTCGGCCGTAATGGGTGCAACGCTACGGGCACACACTGAAACCACTTTCGCTATTTGAAGTGAAACTTCTGATGCGACTTCCAACAGGGTTGCGTTAAGCATTTAACGCCACCTTGGAGGGGGTATGAAGGCACTGCTGCGTTAAGCGTTTAACGCTACCACGGAGGGGGTATGAAGGCATTGTTGCGTTAAACGTTCAACGCTCCTGGGGAGGGGGAATAGAAAGAGACAGGGCGAGAGTGAATGCGTGGCACTCGAAGTTTCACTTCTTCCGCGCGGGGGGACTCCACGCACTATTTCTTTGTTTTTCATTACGCTGCGTACATTTACGTGATCTTACGCGTTAACCTTAAAAACAGTCCCTATAGCCTTACTGTGCAAGGGTTATCGGGACTGTTACTGTGGTAGGGACACGTAACAGTCTTCGCTGTCGCACGAATGGGCAGGGCCGCCCGGGTAAGTACTACGACCTCACAGAAGACCGCCGTGAATTCGTTGCGAGTGAGGTAGCCGGGGCCCACTTTAAAAGTCAGCAACGCATCTGCAACCCTACGGATGTTGCAAATGCCAATGGGCGACGGTTATCACTCAACATCAGATGAACCGCCCCCTCGCTTGCCACCTTCTCACACAAAAAGAAGCCTCAATGGGGAGACGAGGCACAAACGCTTCAGAACCACGCTAATCCTCCCCGTTGGGAGAACAACTCGGTACTTCTCCGGACGTGCGGGACACTCCAGTGCCGGATTAACCATATATAATAGCAAGAGTAGCTACGGGCCCCGGGCCAAAGGGGCCCCCGAATTTATTGAGTGAAACTCATTAAAATTGAATTGAATTGTATTTTTCACCAATTTATACTTAAGAACCCATAGCAGATCAATGGATGTTTGAAAGTTTGCCACAAAAAAAATATCGATATTTATCGTATCGACATTTGGAAAAACTATCCATAAATATCGAGGAAAAAATCTCGTCAGTTTTCGCATAATTATTCACACATATTTACAAACGATTCAAAATTCGTAAATAACAATAGACACGAAGAAAAATGTTGAAGATTTTTTAAAGTTAACGATGTACGAGGAGCATGCAAAGAGTATCCAGCACACGAAACCAGAGTTGCGTTAAAAATATATCGAGACTGACAAAAAATCGATAGTCCAAAAAAAACCAACAATATGTATCGATAATTGTATGGAGCCCAATTTTAAAAAAGGTTGAAAACACATCTGGAATCCTCGTGTGAAGCAGATGTCCTTGGGTGGCGGTATTCACTTAATACCAGGTGAACCGTCTGCTCGCTTGACAATTTTTCACATAAAATAATGGAAAAATGTCGATATATTTATATATCGATATTTTTTGCCCACGCCTCGGACACTCTTCTTGTATTAACTGATGTTTTTGCTTTCAGTCCTGAGACCTATTAAAGCATCATCTGGCGCAGAACCGGCGGGCTAGCCGGAACCCACGGGTTTGGGCCCTCCGCTGCGGGTGGGGCCGCGCATGTGCTCACGCGTGCGTTTAACCATGGCGTGTCATCTAATACCGTTGCACTCACGTCGCATCCCGCCGCAGTGTAGCAACAAACACACTAGTCCGCCCACGCCTCCGAGCACAGCGAGACCAACACGACGCGTACACAAGGTACACCCGCGTTCCGGGGCGGTCTCACCGCCCCCAGCCATCGATTAGCTAAAAACACAGTCGACGATCCGGGTCTCGGCCCGCACAACCTCGATGGCCCTCAGATGACATGCCGTAGTTGCCGTAGGCCCTACCCACAGAGGGCCCAAACCCGTGGGCTCCGGCTAGCCCGCCGGTTCTGCGTCGAATGAAGCTTCAACAGTCTCGGGACTGAAAGCGCAAACATCAGTTAATACAAGACACAAGACTCACGTCGCCCATGAGGAAGCTGACAGCGGTGACGTCCGCGTAGGCGCACGGCAGCCCCGCCGCCTCGAGCCGGCGCAGCATCTCGCGCGCCCCCCTCCGCACGCGGTCGCCAACAACAACCGCTCGGAAGCGGGCGCCGCCCGACCACGCCTCGCACAGGATGCGCTCGATCAGCGACGAGCTGCAACGTATTTGTACAACCACTTATGCCCGGTTCCTATATTCAACGAACGGCCGTTAGTTACATTACGTTCATAACGTCTTCATAATGACAATGTAACTAACGGCCGTTCGTTGAATATAGGAACCGGGCTTTAGCTGTGCCCGCGACGTCGTCTACGTGGAGTTTAAAATAAAAAAAAATCTAAAATAACAGTAGCTTAAGTTAGTCCTTATTACATCAGCTGTCTGCCAGCGAAAGTCCCGTCCAAATCGGTCCAGCCGTTTCAGAGATTAGCCAGAACAGCCGGATAGACAGACAGATAAAAAATGTTATTTTGGTATATGTACCGTGTATACATCCATATGCATTTAGTAATAAGCGGTTATTTTAATATTACAAACAGGCACACCAATTTTATTTATCTGTATAGATTTGGTATTTGGTCAGGGTAATTATTTATTAGTCAGTCCATGCATGAATGTCTGACGGCTTGGCTATGGCTTCTGTATTTTTATAGAGGATTATAGGAAGTAGTCTGCCACACAGCTCTTAATCGTACAAACACTACAATATCCCTGAATAACATAAAATATATTTAATATATAAAATTCTCGTGTCACAGTGTTTGTAATTAAACTTCTCCGAAACCGCTCGACCGCTTTTCCTGAAATTCTGTGTGCTTATAGGACAGGGTGGAGAATCGGACAATATCTATTTTTCTTCCTCCTGAATGTTAAGGGTGGTCAACCCCAAAAATTTTTTTCTACCCTATCTTATCCTTTAAACGAGCAATTCTTGTATGTATGTGTGTATATGTATATATATATATATATATATATATATATATATATAATATATAATTGGAATCTCGGAAACGGCTCCAGCGATTTTCATGAAATTTAGTATGTGCGTAGATTGGGGGGCGAAAAATCGATCTGACTAGGTTTCATTTTTAGAAAATGTCGTTTTATCCCAGTTTTCAGGGAATGAAAAATATTATTCGAATACGACGCTAAATTTCACCGAAAAACAAATGTTATAATAGCTCGGTCGGTAATCGGGCGGCCTCTAACAAACAGCCACGAAACAGAAGGCCGTGGTTGGTATCACGATCATTTACACACTCATTTTTTTTACTTTTTTTTCAATTCCAGATCATTGCTTTCTTTATCTTTAATTTTTTTGTCGATTTGTTATTTTGTTATTTTTTTCCCTTTTTTTTAAAGTTCTTTCTTTTGTGAAAAACACCATTTCATATTTTCTTATTATTACGTCGGTAAGATCGAAACATATTATGCATATTTCATTACTTAGTAATTTGTATCTAAATGTAATTTCCAAAATACACGATTTACCAAAAAAATAATTTATATGGCAAAACAATGTTTGCCGGGTCAGCTTGTCAATTATAAAAAGTTAGGGATCTCTACTAAAACTTCAGCAATGTAGACAAAGGTGTAAAAAAACAATTTGTACCCGTGCGACACTGAGCGAGTCGCTAGTTTAAAGTAAACAGAAGAAGGAAAAGAATATAAACATACCATCCATATGTCAAAATGTTGTCGCCGTTGGAAATTTTATTTCGCACCGCTATGCTGATAGCTTCTCCAGCCATATCTATTTGTTCTCGAATGTATCTGTCGATCTCTTCTTGAAGCGCCTTTTTAGCCTATCAAAATTATTAGCAGACAAAGTAATTACTATGCCAACGGTACGAAAAAATTTTACCTACATTATGCATTACTTTGAAATATTGATTAAATTATGAATTAAATGTAATAAAAATCTACTAATCAATACTAGTATTTTTGCTATACATTCTTTTTAAGATTCTACTAAAATTATGCATTCATTCTTTAAAAAGATTGAACTAAAATTATGTATTGGTAATACCCCCTGTATTACTAATACATAATTAAATAAACATATATGAATAATTAATTTCAATGTTGTTTTTCACATACCCTTTCTATAATACATTCTTTGAATTTTTTATGCATATTAAGTTATATGACCATGACTTTTAGATTTATAATAAGATTTCCTTTTGATTTGATAATGAAGATGAATAATCAGTTAATTTGATTATAGTTTATATTATTATTTTCAAAATGCTATATCATATTGACATTTATTTATGTTTTGTACTCACATCAAACTCATCAACATTATTGGGTAGTTGATTTAGCTGACGTCGGAAGTATTTAATTGCGTTGGTTTGAGAAGCAGATGGCTGCCTCATAGCCCATAAGAACTCCAGGCTTGCCGCTAAATGGGACTCCAGTCCTCGAGCAAACTCTGTTTTTGCAGGCAAGCTATAGTCACGTACCATCTGTTGGAAAATTGTAGGCAATTTTCTGATTAAAATAACATAAAAGAAGATATTCAATTTAATACATAGTTAATAGATGCTAGTCTGTAAAATATATTTACATAATAAAGTAATTCAGGAATAATATATTTATCATTCCATTCATAGGAATGTCAGATAATATATTTATTCCTCACCTTTAATCAGGTCAGGGTAAAAATTGAGCTCAAGTATGTTATTGTAATTTCAAAATTATGTATGAAATGAAAACTTTAAAACATTTTAAGAGCAAAAAAATTTAAATATGCATCATTGGAACATAAGATATGCACAGACATGGATAATTTGTGGTTCCTAACATATAAAACAGTTAAGAATGTTGTTTCTATTGCGAATCTAAATTTTAACTGCAGTAACATGCACAGCATGATAGAGATCTGTGGCAATCAAAAATATTAATAATAACAATGACGAAAAACTTTTGCCATTACCTCACCAAATGAACCTAGTACCATTTTTTAAAGAATACTTTCATAATCACCTTCTTAAGAGCATCTAACAGTGCTATGCATCTAGCATTTGAACCAGTGACTACTTGAGATGCCAACTGTACACCTAGTTTGATGATAGCAGGATGCAAGCTGAAATAATGGAAGAGAATTTCTATCATATGAAGAAATGGAAGTCTGTGTAATTTATGACAAAAAATTGGTCTATTACTTGGAATTGAGTGCAATCTTCTTCAGCGACTCCTTATCATGCTCAGTGTATAAGTGTTGGAACCAGTTCACTCTGTGGAAACTCTGCACTTTTGGTTTAGATTTTTCTGTTGTTTTCACAGTCTTACCTGAAAGTTTCTGTAAACATCACATTGCTTTAGTTGATTATTTATTGTTAATTACAAGGGCAAGATTAGCAAAAATTTTACTCATTTTGCCCTTCTAATTAATGATATGTACATCATAAAATCACGTAAAATTAATCAATGAAATTGATGTTAAACTTATGACATGTATATGTAAAAAATATTAGTATGTAAACCTGTGTATCCTCCATCTTTTTTTCATCTTTGTCTGCCGACTTGGCAACAAGTTTTTGCTGAGCCATTTTGGCAGCTCTTTGAGCTTCCTGCTTTGCTCTCCTTTCTGCTTTTAGTTCTGCTTTGCTTTTGTTGCTTTCTTCGGACTAAAGAAAGAAATTTGTCTGTGTATAAGTTCATGATGTATATTTAAAGAATTGTTTAATATTTTTTAAGAGAATAAGTGAATATCTTTAGTTTAAGCAGATGTGACCATATACTTTACAGGCAGGTAAATGAATTGGTAAAGTTAGTGGCTGTCTCTTTTGGTTAATCATCCCATTAGTAAAAGGATCAATTTCAATTGATACCAATTAACTTTTTTTTTATTTTCCGACAAATATCTTTATTTTAGCCGAATTTGTAAGGATGTCGCTAAGTTTTATAGAAAAAATAATATATGAAAAAAGGCGAATCCGATTCATATTGTTGTAAAAGAAATAATATACAATGTTATTTAAACTTTTCACACTTTTGTTTACTTGCATTAAAACTATTACCTTTTTTCCTCCTAATTCAATTGCTTTAACTTTATCTGTTACAGCTTGAACTTCTTTTGCTACATTAACAATATCTTTCAAAGTATCTACTACGTCCTGGACTGTTAAATCTTTTTCTACAGGTAAATTACTTTCTTCAACTCTGTCATTATTCATTTTACTTACTTCAGGCTTTACTAAAAACTCTTTCTTTGAAGCCACTATGGTTTCTTCCACAATTTTTTTAATAGGATCACTAGATTCTTTAATATCACCTTTCTTTTTTGCTTGTTTTACTGCTTTTTTTGCAGCTCTTTCAGCCTTTACTTGTTCTCTTGTCTTATCACTATTTATTAACTCTACATTTCCCATCTTGCCAGCCTTTAACTTGGTCTCATTTTCTGATGCTCTTTTCTCGTTTTTATCTTCTAATATAGCTCGATCTACTTCATCATTGCCTTTAAGTGATATTTTTGATAGTTTGTTTATTGAACTTTCTTTTTGATGATCATTTGGCACTGCATTTTCTGTCTCTGACATATTCTTAGGATCTTGTACATTCTTTTCCTTGGTTTCAAGCTGATTTAATTTATTGGCTAGTCCAGCTGCCGACATATCTTGTTTAGATTTGGTGGCTTTACCTTTAGATGACATTTTGTTTTCTAACTTTGTTTTAAAACTACCCACATGTGAAATATATTCAATTTCCTTACTAGCATTACCTACTCCATTTAAAGAAACATTACAAAATTCTTCTTCTAGATTTTTTAATGATATAGAAGATGCATATCTATTAAATTCAGGAAGTTCAACTGTGTTAGGGTTATTTGTTTTTAAAGCTACATTTACGTTTCTGGCAGCCTTAAGTTTTTTTCGCCTTAACCTTCTTTTTTTAGATGTTGTCAGAATAGGTTGTCCGTCTTCCTCATTTATTTCTAAGTCCTATAAAAAAAACAAAACTGCTTTATTTGACCAATAAAAGTCTTAAAAATGAATTCTTTTCTTTTTTTAGTAACAATTTCAGGTTGGGTTTTAAAATCAAGTCGCCTGAACTTATGTACACTGTAAGTTTGGGGGGGGGGGGGGTTTAAGGAGGTTCGAAACAAGCACTCACATATGCGTAAAAATTGAATAAGCTCTTGTCTAAAATTTCTTCAAAATTTTACGAACCGTGAAATGGAACGTAATTTTGATAAATTTAAGTGTTTTAAAAGATAAGAATAATAAAAAAATTTTAAATGATAGAGAACAATGACTAATAAACTAATCAACTAGCAGAATTCTAATTCTGCCATTTTAGTAATTTCCTAACTAACATGATAAATATCACAATTTTTATAATATACATCATCATCATTATACATGCACAATTTTTTTTATATTTAATGAGTCACAGATCCGTAACAGAGCAATCTGACTCTGAGAGGTTAGGTTAAAAAGGTTAAGCTCTGCCCCACACTTCTATTGATAAGTCTGGTTAAGGACAAGAGGGGGAAGGGGAACACTCCCCTATGACATTCTTACTAGATTATTAACAAATAATTAAAATTAAAATTATATAATTAAAAAAAACCAATGTGTAGCCGGCGCGCGGGGGAGGGTGGTGCCAAGTGGGCATGACTCACTAGATCCCCTCCTCCCCCCCAGACCCCTTACGAAGGCCTGTCAATTCCAACCCCATTGTTTATGAATATATAAAATTTTAAAAAGACTTAAAATTAAAATAACCAATGTACACAATTCATTATTATAAAATAACTAGGTGTATATGTCAGGCCTAATTTTACCTATAAGAGCTGTAAAATCTTTAATTCAATATACTCGAGTACTCGAGTAACCTGAAATATCACTTGCTCAGTGGTGAAGGAAAACTTCGTGAGGAAACCTGCATATTTTCGAAATAATAACAAAAATATTTGGAATATATCGTGGGCGTAGAAGGAAAACCCGCTAAGTCCATTTTTGGCGAAAAATGCGTTCTTTACGTCCACATAATGTTTGGGGGGTTCTGCAGTAGAGTACCGGGTCTCGATTAAAAAAATCGTTGTCCATATTTCAGGCTAAGTCATTCAGCTAAGTCCTGAAAGAATAATGCGATTTTTCACGACTTATTGAATTTTCAAACCCATTTATCTTCAAATGACGAATTTTGGACTTAGCGGGTTTTCTTTCTGCGCCCATGATATGTGAAGTCAGCCAATCCGCAGTGGGGCCATGTGGACTATGCCCTGATACCATATGTGCAGATGACTCCTTTGCCCAGCAGTGGGATATGTACAGGCTGATACTTTACTTTTTTTACCTATACCTATAAATTTTCTTAAATTATGGCCATTTCGTCATTCATCTAGAATTTCCATATGGCAGTATAATATATAAATAAATTGGATATGCATTGATTAAAACTAAGACATGATATATTTGTCTTTACTAAAAAGATTAATTTGGAAATATAAAAATAAGTGCCAACAATATTCTTTAACCTCAATTTATAATCATATTTGTGTCACACCTTTTATTGTATTAAAATATATAAGAAATACCTTGGTCAAAGCCATAGCAGCTTATCCTCAGAAAGCTATAAAATTACATTAAATTGAAAAGTTAATAATTATGTTGAATAAACTATCGTAATGATGTGTTGAAATTTAAACACTTACCAAAAGATTTTTCTAAAACATCAGCATTTATATGCAAGTATATAGAAAACTAGTAATTTATTTGCGAACTTGTTTAGTTATTAATAAAAACTTGAATACCTAGTAGATTTTTTGAAACCTTAAATGCTTAAAAGAACCGTGTTGTTGTATGTTTCAATTTTCATGTTCATGTAACCTTGCAATGTATCTAGTGATTTTGAGTTTGACATTTGAAGACATATATTATTAATATTATTAGGTATACAATTTTATTTTTAAAATATACTCTGATTTAAAGTAAAAGTTTTTAAAGTACGAAAGGAAAAGTTTAAAGCTGCCTTCTGAAAATAATTAAAAGCATCGTTTTTTATATTTAGGTAAAAATTTACAAAGTGAGAAAAGTATTATAAACAATCTCCGTAAACGAGGAAAGTAAAACATTAAACTTGTCCTCAAAGCTTGTCCTGTGTCCACAAATTAAAAAGTTATGTTAAAGAATCATAACAATATCTTTATTACTTATCATTAAATTTGTTGTGGTAATATTGTTTATTGTGAAAATATTACAAACATTATATTGAATCAAAGACAATATAATTTGTAAGGAGTTTATAAAGAACAAAAATATATGATACATTAACGAATTAGCGATCCTACCCGGCTTTGCACTTGCGCAATGCTGAATGTTTGTTTTCGATATCGCATTAGAAACCTCTAAAATTCTCAGTGTTTCTCTACTATATTATGCATGAATTGTACGTATAAACCTTCCTCTTGAATATCACTCTATCTATTAAAGAAAACCGCATCAAAATCCGCCGCGTAGTTTTAAAGATCTAAGCATATATAGGGACAGACAGACAGCGGGACTACTTTGTTTTATACCGTGTAGTGTGAAGAGTCAAGACTCCAATTTTATTTTTGTGCATTTCTCTTTGTTATTCAATAATTCCAAAACTTTTAATTGAACATCACTATAGTTACGTGCTGTTAAAGGTTTATCAGCTAAGTTAAGCATATTATTATGCAACATTTTCTATCTACATACAAAAAGACAAAAGACATGGTTTAGTAATAAAATTTGAAGTAACTTGACAATATTATTACCACAATGTCTTCCATCCTTCTGCTTTGTTGTTAAAATGAAGTAGGTATGAACTTGCACGTTTTTTGATCTCAAAATAATTGTTAATAAAAAACAAAAATCAGATTTTTGAAATTTAATTACACGTGGGTATGATTGCATTAAATATGACAATTTTTAAATAACTACCTACCGCATCTACCATACATGCGGCAGTTATTTGAATACCAACGCAATGAATTAGTGATTACATTAATAAATGCACAGTTTTAAAATTTACATAACTAGAAAATATTTTAAGATTGTATTTAGGAGTTTCATATTTAAATATAATAAAGGGGCAATTTAAAACATAGTCCTTAGTGACTGTAATTTCTTTATACGGCCAAATTTTCATAAATCAAGGCACCGTGGTTCGGTGTAGTAGCAAAAATGTAGGATTCTGCGTTATTTTTTTCTACTTTACAATATTTTACATAAAATTCATCCTTTAAAAACTCTATGTACTCTTTGACCTTTTCCTTTGGACATAGAGCTACAATACAGCCTCCCCAGCCAGCGCCTGTTAAACGAGAATAGATATTCATTTTCTGAGATACGTTAACAAGTTCATCTAAATTTTTATGAGAACATTCGTATAAAGTTTTTAAACTCTCATGACTTTTTAACATTAATTTTCCGAGGTCTGACAATATTTCCTTGTTCCCGGAATTTTCGTTATCTGTTGTTGTTCCATTAGTCCAACCATTCATCTTGTACCCTGATTTAGATTTCATGCATATCTTTCGAAAGTCTTCAACTCGCTGAGCTTCTTCGTAAACGTGCAGAGCACGTTGTTTTAGTTTAAATTCAGTCAAATGTTTCGTGTTACTAGTCAAATACCATTCATTTAGATCTTCTTCACTGATTTCTAATAAACGACATATCTCTTCTTTAGTGTATATTTCTTTAGGTAGATATATAAGTACAAGTTCTATCATTTCTTTTATGCTGCTATTTAATAGTTTTTGAAGATGACTTAGAGTTATTATTTTTTCATCGCATGATAAACCCGACAAAAAAGCAATTATTTTAGCGGCTAATCTGCATTCTATAACCCTTTTATTAAAATCATTGGTAGCAGCTTTGTTAGCTTCAGCTAAACTATGGGCTACCACGAACGTAGCATCTTCTGGTAAGGCTACCGGTGTAGCATTTAATGGCTGAAACGATATGTATTGAGCACTGTATTTTTTTGCTAGGAAAGCTATTGCTTGATCCATTCCTCCACCTTGTGTTCCAATATAACGTTCACTTTTTGCACATAAAGATGCGATTTCTTTCTTATTCAATGAACTATTCTGAGCGTGTAGAAATGCTAAGCAGGCCGCACTTACAAGCGCAGAAGAACTAGATAAACCAGATGCTGGAGGAATATTACCATCGGTGTAGAGTTGAAGTCCTTTCCATACGCTTTTATTTGAGTGCTCCATTGCACCTTTAATTCCGCAAAGAATATAGTTATACCAAAAAGGTTTCCCACTCGAATCTGGTATAATTTCAAGTTCTTCGTTGGTATTTATTGTAATGTCAACACCTTTATATTTACTATCTGCATTATATAGATAAAGCTTTGGTTCGTCAATAGTATTTGCTGCCATCAATATATCCTGTTCCAAAGCCATAGGCAACACCGGATAACCACAATAATCAATATGTTCTCCAATAATGTTAACGCGACCAGGCACTCGAACAAAATAAGATGGTTTGCATCCGAAATCTTTGTAAAAAAGTTCACTTAATTTTAATATTCTCTCATTAAACGGAATGGTTAAGATAGGTACATCATTGACGTTGGCACTCATTGTTTAACAGTTCTGTAAATGTAAACACACCGTACCGCACCAATGCAAACTTGTTACTGAAACATCGCGTTATCAGTAATAAGCAAATAGGAGTGAAGTTTAATGTATAGTACTTATGTTTTCCCCAGCGACACAACGCATTATACGAGAAATTGATATAATTGATTACAGTATCGTTTTGAATCTCTCTACTTTTGTCACTTTGCAAACTTCACTTGCACACTTTTTTAATACCTAAATTAATATTTTAAATTGCAAAAATAAAGTAATATTCCTAAAGCTTCTAATGTTGTAAATTATAACCTAAGTTTAACAAACATCGCGTCATTGACCAATGACGTCTCTAACAAATACTAATAAAAGTCGTAAAATAACTGGAAACCTAAGTCGGTATGTGTGTCAATATACAGTTCAAGATCATTGTGAAATACAATAGGTCAAACTTGCTTGCTTTTGTTAAAAATGAAGAACTCGCTCATTACCATAATAAAACTGGATCTTACTTAATTAGAACCAAGACATGCAGTTAATTAGGTACCTAAAAAGATGGCGATATTATGTTCTTATCAAGAGATATGTGAATAAATGTTACAAAATACTTCAGATTATAACACTTGATCCTATGAAACTAATACTAGCAGATAAAGCATCAATAAAACAGCTGTTATAAAATTGTTGACCTATATGAAACCTAAGTTTGTCATCTAAGGCAAGTCAAGAACGTATTATGACTCATTTTTTATTCTAAGGATTTTTTTATTTTATTTCATATCTACTTAGAGAACTATATATTTTATGTAATTTTAGCTGAAACATAATTATAGAAACCATAAAACATGGACTATAAAATGTAAATAAATATATTATGGATGTTTTGTTTGATTTTATACCAAACATTGAATGGCGCATGGAGTTTTGAAAATAGTACCCAAGTCAACTAACAATGATGTTTAATAATGTAGATGACGTATGTCCATACTGCGCGGCATTTAAAAATTGATCTCCTTTAAGTTCTATGACATATATAAGTGAATGTGACAGATAATATAGAACTTATGCTATGGAAAGAGATAGCAGTCTATAGAATTACACCAATTGGTGTAATTTGAGCGCCTCAATTTCAGTTCGCTAGTGTCATATCTTTGTATATAATATCATTGCCTACTAATGTTACTTGTATATTTTTATATAGAAACTAGAATCAATATTCTAGCTTCTATATACTCAATGAGTAATAATAATTGGAAATATTACATCTTTATCAAAACGTTAAAAAGTTTTTTCCCTTTTAGTTCATATTAAATCAAAAGGAACCATTAGGTACACTCGCATCCTTTGATTATATACCTGTCTATCGACTGGCACGCCAGCGCCACGCGTTGTCAAATCGGTATCAGGCGCCAGCGTCCGCGCGAGAAATAAAATGTCATTATACCGTTTCCGACTTTGGCGATAAAAACGCTTGCCGTTCGCAAACTACAAATACTATCCTATAAAACGAATCACAGTTAATAAGCTGAATAACTAAGCAAACTAATTATCTAAAAATCAAGAGTTATAATTTTAATTTGCAACTATAAAAAATATATTAAACTTGAAAAACTGTGATGAAAACTATACTATATCATGATATCTCTTAATAAAACATTTATTTCACTAAAACCCAACTTAACTTTACATCCCCTTTAACAATACTAAAATGGACTAGGTTAAATATCCTTTCCAAAAATACCAGAATCATTTTAAAACTGATTTACAATCATGAAGAAAAACTTAGAAGAAAAGTGCTACTCCCTGCTATATTAGATGCGAGCTTGCGTTTGTAGTGAAAATGACAGCCATTTAAGGTCTCGTTCAAACGAAGTTGGAACATTAAACTTGCCTACTTTTTATAAGTTATTATTAGATATTTTGAACTTAAAATTAATAACAATAACAATTATAATTTATAATTTTTTTTTCTGCAGCAGCTCGTTCTTGACGGAAGGCGACAACGCCGCAACCCTGCGCTGTGCTATTTGCCTTTCAGCACGGATTTGACTTAACCTAGTACTGAAATAAAAAAAAATCATAAATATGTTACGTCTCTAAGTTTTTACTATGGAACAACCACGCAACAGTCTTCACAGTTGTACGAATGGTCAGGTCCGTTGGGGAAGTACCGCGACCTCACAGAAGACTGGCGTGAAGTGTAACACTGTAAGCCCCCGGCTCACTCACTAGGCGAAACACAAAAGAAAACAATACCAATGTAATTGTTAATTTTAAGTTCAGACTTATCACGTGTTTAACGGTGAAGGAAAACATTGTGAGGAAACCTACTTATTTTCGAAATAATAATAAAAAAAAAACCTATATTTCGAAGTTTGCAGTGGGGCCGGTGGTGGACTATGCCCTAATACCCTCTGTACAGAGGAGGCCTTTGCTTAGTAGTGGGACATCTATAGGTTGATACTTTACTTTAACTGATCCGAACTAGGGTCACAATCTTGATGTACCACCAAGAAATCCTAATAGAACTCCCGATGCATCATGTCTAACAATCTGTGCAATCTATTTGTCAACGCCGTTTTGGATGCTAGATCTGATGGGGTGCAGCTGCATTATATATACCGAAGGCCTTAACCTAAAGTCTTTTAAAGGTTTTAATATAGCAAACTCGTTTTCATCAAACACGATACATACACGGTAATTACCTAATCTGTGCTAGAAATCAGCGTTTTTTGACTTGATGTGTATCTCTATTTTAGTATTTTCTATGTATAATCTGTTTTTTAATCATACATCTTATTTTGTCTGCAATCTGGTGTTTGTTGATCATATACTATGTTTATTGTTTGAACATTTGTTAAAAAGTTTAATTAGACGGTACCGAAATATAATGGCTAATAATTTAGATTTTAACAAAATTTGCCGCGCTTGTTTATCTAATGCTGGGCCATTAAAAGAATTATTCACCGTTTGTTCTTCTGAAGTGTTCAAGTATTGTACATCCGTGGAGGTAGGAAAAAATATTAAATTTAAAATTATTGATTTTTTTTAAAGCATATTAACACGCATAGCAGTATTTTGCTGTGTTAATTAATAATTTTAGAATTGAAAAACATGTTATTTACTTAATGTGCGTCATAAGCTACACAGAATATTTTTTACCCAATAATAACATAAATAAGATAGTTATAGCAGTAGTAATTCAATTATTAATATGATAGTTATTTTGAAAGATTTCAGAAAATGATGGTCTACCAACATTGATTTGTCAAACATGCCTTGATCTCCTTAACAAACTGTATTACTTCAAGCAGGTTGTTGTTCGCTCAAACATACTATTAAAGCAACAATGTTCCATGGATATGGATAAGGTAATATAGATACTTACCCTTTTTATTTTCAATAAGGAATTCATTGCAATATTGATTGTTTTACGGTATTGAAGTAATTATATTTTCTTAAGACTGCATTGTTGATTTGTATAATTCTATTATTTTACTGTAAGTTCAACATTGTTATTAATGATTACACATGAACATATTGCAGGTATTATTTACTGACATAAGTTAATATTAAATAAAAATGAAAATTTACAGCTGGTTAAGGTGGAACATCATAATTCAGACAACAATGATATAGTGGAAGTTAATATCATGGAACTAACTGATGCCCATGTACATCGCAATCTTAGTATTGAACAAAAAAATCAACCCAAAATCAGGTTGGTGTAAAACTTAGCTCAGTTTTACTTTTGGAAAATTCTGCTTTGCAGTTTAGCTATTGAAACAGATTTTATTCACAGTATGTATCTGTAAAAGTCATAAATAGGCTTTTTTTTACATTGCCCTTACTTTAGGATAACATATATTATATACATTTGTAAGGATGTTTTACCTATATAAATTTCATGCAGAAAAACGCCCAGATGTGAAACAACTATCTGCGGTTATAGTTGCACTGTGAGGGAATCGAACCCCACAACCCACAACCTCCGACACTGAGGCCAATACCTTGGCAACTGCGCCATGCTAATATTGCAATATTCTTTTTTTGCTAATAATTAATGCTGTTTTTTAAAATGCTTAAACATGGTAATAAATATGATAATTGGTATTTGGACCTAATACATTTTAGGAGAAGAAAAAGGGGTTCAACAAAATATACTGAGCAACCCATAAAGAAGAGAGAAAGAATGAAATGTATGAAATGTGGTAAAAATTTTCAGAAGTATGAGAACTTTGAAGCCCACATGCGGAGTCATTTCGGTAAGAAGGTAAGTTTTATTTTGTTTTTACTTTTAGTAAAGTAAATTTGGTTTTAAAGAAATTGTTCCTATTTTAGCCTGATATCAAGTGCAAGTACTGTGACAAAACATTCCTGACTCTGCGCAACTTGAATAGCCACATCCGAGTGCACACAGCAATCCGCAAGTACCAATGTCGTACTTGCAATAAGAGTTTTGCGTATCTAAATGTATTGAAAAATCACGAGCTCATTCATGCAGGTGTCAAAAGACATATGTGCCACCTTTGTGATGCTAAGTTTGTGCAGGCGTATAACCTTAAGGTTTGTGCTATTTATTTATATTCAATATTCTATAGAGCATTTTAATAATGTGTATCAAGGTACGTTGAAAGTTGTTTTTCTCATTCTAATTGATGATTATCCTGTTTTTAATAATTTTTATACCATTGCAGATGCATATAGAGACTCATAACAATGAAAAGAACTATGGATGCTCACAATGTGGAAAAAAGTTTGCACAGCCTGGCAACTTGAAGATTCATCTCATTCGACATACTGGAATCAAAAATTTTGCCTGTACATTGTGTGACATGCGATTTTATATTAAGGTATGCTGTGGTTAGATACATAAAAATATATATATTAACACATGTATTTAGTTTGTTTGAAAAATAGGCATTAAGTTCGCCCTTTCCTAATCCTTGCTTAAGATAATTGCAATAAAGAATAAATAAATAAAAATAAAATAAACTGCAGTTGCCTCAATTCCTTGCAAAAAGCTTAAATATTCTATTTTCTCAAACTACAACATAACTTATTCACTGAATAACTAGAGCATATATACATATTTGCTACAGATTCAATTTCCAAACAAAAAGGAATGTAAAGTAAAATCTATGGTATTATATTTAACTATTCTTTAATTTTAGGCAGATCTTGTGAAGCATATGCGGTCCCATTCAGCAGATAAACCTTTCTCGTGCCAGCTTTGCGACAAGACTTTTAAGAGCAGGAGTTTTCAAGCGATACATATGCGTACTCATACTGGTAAAGTTTTTGATCAATTGAACAATTCATGTATCTATTTACAATTGAAGTGACGTAACGGAAGCAGAAACAAATGCTGAAACGGAAGTATAAATACTATAAAACAATGAATTAAATATAACCATTTTAAATGTGAGTTTAATAGATCAGTTTTCTAAAAACTACCAGTGCCGCCAGAATACCAATATCCTCTCGGCGCGATAATTTCGACAACAATCTACTTTTAATTAATGTTTTTAGTAATACTGCGACATTCTAAAAAACATTTTAGTATGAGTACTTGAACGACAGTTGTTGATATTCCTATATTTTGATATTTGCTATGGCAATTACATAGCAAATATCGAAATATAGTCATTTTTTTTACCGTTTTTATATTTAGTGCTAATCGGCACGCAAGATGGTTAATGAGATCCTCAATCCCCAAGAAACTGTTGACCCACCCCTCCTGTTACACACTGCATAACTAGTAAAATATTATTACAATCAATGGAGTATGTATTTTTAAAGCACTTACAATTTACTTGCCACACATTAATATGGGTACTAAGTGAAAACTTAAGTAAATGACAAAAAATTTTTTACAGGAGAACGGCCTTACGCGTGTGACCTTTGTCCAAAGAAATTTATGGCGCGAAAAGATTTAAGAAATCATAGAATGATTCACACCGGTGAAAAGCCTCATAAATGTCAACTCTGCAATCAAGCATTTATTCAAAAATGTGCACTGAACAGGCATATGAAGGGGCACGGAAAGGGTTCGGATGAAACGCAAAATTTAATAGTCAGGCCTCAGATGCAACCGATGGAAAACACCACGCCATTAGCTCTTTCGTATTGGCATGGAGAGGCCTGACCTTCATAGTTTTAAGTAATTAAAGGTATGTTCAAAACGGGGCTGGTAGGAATCTGGGTAAAAAATCTACTGTTATTTTCTTATTTCAAGTTTTAAATTTCCGGAATTGAGAATGCCCGTTTTCATCATCCTACACTCAAACGCTCCCTTACTAAAAAGTAAAAAAAAGCTAGGTGACAGATTTTTAATAAGTACATCGTATTTTTAGTTTTAACACTTCTTAAAACTTTTATTTCTAAAATAGTATAAAGCAATATCATCAAAACTTGTCGGACAAACGCCCAAATCAGAATTCTGATCAATTCAAAGGGTTTAACCATCCTTTTGGCAACTCAAATGACATTTGATAGCTGATTAGTTGACATCTATGATGATCAGTGTTCAGAAACCGAGCATCAGTGTTTCAGTAACGGGTTAAAATTATTTGCATGCTCTCACAAAAGACAAACTGTTACTTAGCGCTAAAAGACCGAATATCGAGCACTTATTTCTAAGTTACCCCTTAAGAGTTTCAGTTACGCTTAAGCATTGGTGACAATGAAAGTAGCTCTTAAATTTTCTAGGTGGTACGTTAAAGTTACGGATTGATGGTGAAAATGGGCATAACTATCATAAAAGCTCTGTTACACACAGTTTTAATTTACACATGGAAGTATACATAACTAATGTGCAAGTAATGGAAACAATGTTTTAAAATATTTATATTATAGTAAAAATTAATACATAAATTGTAAATTGCACAGAATACACTTGTTTCACGAATTTGTGTACAGATTTATATTTGTATAAAATTAAATAAATTAGATTACGAGCGTATAACGCAGCGTCAATTCAGTTTAAGATACAATATATGTATATATCAGTGTTGAAACAAACCAGCTTTAAGTAATAATAAATAATGTACAGAAATATTATTCACTACTTTCATTTATCTTTTGTTTAATTAGTAAGTGAAAGGTATATACACAGAATTTCGAGGTAGAAAATTCTACTGTAAGTTTGTTTTCTGTGAGTCCATGCTACATCAAATTCATAATGCAGGCATGCCCACCGATTTATTCAAATATTTTAATGTACATGATTATAGCACAAATGGCACATTAAACATGAGCAGGTATATTGCATGGAATGTGGCTCTCATGTAGCACCTGTATACCAGCTACTATTTAATAGGGTTGCTCAAATAATCGAAATTTTATATCCATTATCGTAGTGTATTTAAATCGCAATTATGTCCCTATTACTTCCACTATAGGTAGACTATGGATAGGTTCCACTGTTGATTGCGGTGCAATACTGAGTCATGTTTCAATGAAGGCATTTTATCATGTCGAGTTTTGCATCAAATAACCATGATTTTTTTATTACTGAAATGTTATATTTTAGTATTTGTAAATGATATAAACATAGTGGTAGGACCACGCAACAGTGTTCGCTGTTGCACGAATGGGCAGGTCCGTCCGGGTCAGTACTACGACCTCACAGAAGATCGGCGTAAAGTAGAAGTGTTGCATTTCTGCATTTCGTCTGGTGAGTGAGGTAGCCAGGGCCCACATTATTAAGTGGCAACGCATCTGCAACCCTACGGGTGTTACAACTGTTCATAGGCGGCGGCTATCACTTAACATCGGGTGAACCGCCAGCTCGTTTGACACTTCCTCACATAAAAAAAAAATGTAAACATAGTAGATCATACCCAAAATATGCTCTGTTCTCGTCTCTTAAACATTTCATTCTGTTCTTTTTGTGTTATACCTGTTTATTTACTATGATTTATATACAATAAAGTGATTTATATACCCTTCGGGGAGCTCGGGGTTTTCTTAGTTTCCCGTACTGACTGTCTAAGCTAGGGCGGATGGGAATTTATCGTGCACCTTCAGATGCCGCTTGAGGGTGCCCCGCTGAGTGAAGCCCTGGCCGCAGACACCGCACCTGTGTGGCTTCTCACCAGTGTGGATCCTGTGATGGTCGTCCAGCCTCTTCTTGGCGGAGAAACTCTTCGGACAGTAGGAGCAAGCGAAAGGCCTTTCGCCCGAATGAGTCCTCTTGTGCTCCACCAGGGAGGAGCTCGTCGCATACGATTTCTCGCAGAGGTCGCATTTAAACGTCTTCTTGCCTTCGTGTAAAAGCACATGCCTGACTAGATTGCTCTTTTCCGTGAAAGGGAATGCGCATATTTGACATATGAACTTCTTCCCGCTGTGCCGTTTCGATATGTGGGAGAGCAGCACAGCTTTCGAATAGAACTTCTTGCCGCACTGCTCGCACTCGTGCCTTCTCTCTCTGTTCTCTTCGTGCGTTCCCAAATGTGCCTGAAACGGTGAGAAGCGATATGCGACACTGTTCAATGAAATAACGAGAATAAGACATGCGTGCCTTCAAAGAAACAGAGTTAGAAAATTGTATAAAAATAAGTCAAGTAACAGCCTATACATGTCCCACTGCTGGGCAAAGGCCTCCTCTATACAGAGGGTATCAGGGCATAGTCCACTACGCGGCCCCACTGCGGATTGGCGGACGTCACATATCTTCGAAATAGATATATTTATATATCTATTATATAATAGATATATAAATAGTGATAGCTCAGTGTCCGGGCGCTCGCCTTTAATTCAATATACTCGAGAAACCTGAGTTCGATTCCCGGTGCCGGCACCAATGAAGTTTTTAACTTTAAGTGCTGACTTATCACGTGCTCCGCGGTGAAGGAAAACATCGTGAGGAAACCTGCATATTTTCGAAATAATAACAAAAAAATATATTTCGAAAATATGTGAAGTCCGCCAATCCGCAGTGGGGCCGCGTGGTGGACTATGCCCTGATACCCTCTGTATAGAGGAGGCCTTAGCCCAGCAGTGGGACATGTATAGGCTGTTACTTTACTTTTTTTTTTACTTTATCTATTATATAAAATTCAAATATATCTATAATTCTAAATATAAGTATCTATTTTTATTAAAATATCTATTTTTGTTATTATTTCGAAATTCGCGAATTGTGGCAGACTCCCCTAATGGCTTATGCACAGAGACCTTCCCACCACTGGTATTTTACCGTACCGTGTTGGCTTTCACGTTACCTTCAACACGGCGGCGGAGACGAACCTCCTGCCGCACACGTCGCATATGCACGGGCTGCGCTGGCCGTGGGTCTTCTCGTGCATCCGCAGAGTGTGTCGATTCTTCGAGGTCTTCCCGCATGAGCGGCACTTGAGGCTGTCCAGGCTGACGCGGGTGTGCTCGCTCTCATTGTGCCGCCTCAGGCCGCTCCACGTGGCGAACGTCTTGTCGCAAGCCGCGCAGCCGATCGACACCTGCAACGATTCCCATTATTCAGAGTCAAAGTCAAAATTTCTTTATCACTACATAGTATAAAACAAAGTCGTCCCGCTGTCTATGTGTCCCGGTGTATGCTTAGATCTTTAGAACTACGCAACGGATCTTGACCTCGAGTGATTCAACAGGAAGGTTTATATGTATGCTACATTGCACCCGTGCGAAGCTGGGCGGGTCGCTAGTTCAATATATGATTAATTCACCCTGTTATTGAACGTCAAAAAAACTACCACCGGCTCACTAAACTAGACTTCACTAAACCATGGGACTTGCAAGTGCAGAGCAAGAGTCATTTTCACACATCCTTGTCCTCAATGTATTCTTGGACATTATAGTAGGCTCTAACTATTAGGGTCTAACCAATTTATATTTCTTTCGGCGCATTTGGCAAAAATTTGTGAGGGTAGGAAAATATTTACGACGTACGCGCACACCGGCCCTCAAAAAGCGACATGACCAAGTTTGTTGCGTACCTAATCTTCCTGGCATTATCATGGCAACCGATAGCAACTTTTTGACATTTAATTGTCTGATTCATAAACGAGATAACTAAAATATACAGCATGGTATTAAAACCACATCCTCAAATGAACACACTTCTAACGCTAGTTGCCAATAATCATAAAAAATACAAACATTAAAAAATCCATAACTAAAAAATAATTTTCAAACTAATTAAATAAGAAAGAAACGAAATTTGCAACACCTATACAACAATTGATGTTTAATGAAAGTACCTACCTGACCTAAATGTTTAATTCAATTTTAATAAGTTTCTCTATACATGTGTTTATTTATGGTTGCAATAGTGGCACCACATTATATATTATTATTATATGACAACACAGGATATAAGAGATATTAAACACAGATTTATTAAAATTGAAATATTATTATTACCTTACCTTTTTACCCTCATGTTCTAATTTATGTGCCTCATATCGCTCTGGGTAACTGAATATTTTCTTGCAGAGTTTACATGAGAAAATTTGTGGCTTCTTTGATGTAGATAAATTTATTCTAGCAATTGATTTGACCAAAAGTTGTTTGGGTGGTGATACCTTTTTTAACCTGTGAATATAACTGTAACTTAGACCTATTTATTTGTTTAAAAAATATATGTAGTTGTGTTCAACAGCCGATGCAAAATTGTGAACACACTTTTTTGAATATGTATTGTTTTTTTTTATTTGAGAAGTTGGCAAGCGATCTGGGGGTTCATCTGATGTTAATTAGTGATTATCCCCACCCATAGACATTTTCACATCCATAGGGTTGCAGATGTGTTGCCACCTAAAACTAACCTAAAGTGGGCCCTGGATACCTCACTCACCAGACGAAACGCAGAAGCATGGCACTTCCACTTCACGCCGGTCTTCTGTGAGGTTGTGGTACTTACCCGGACGGATCTGCCTATTCGTGCAATAGCCGAAACTGTTGCGTGGCTCTACCACAATTGATTGACCTGATTTCTACATTTTCAATACAATAAACAAGCAAGCAATTAAAACACAAAATAAAATACAGAAAAAATCTATATTACTAATGTATACTAAATCAAGAAAAACATGCCACTTGCTGTGCAGCTGCTGTCTCACATGGCTCAAATAAATAGTGTTTAAGAAAGAGAAAGAGTCAGTATAGGAGAGGGTAAATAACACTTTTATATTATGTAACAACTTCTTTTATGTTATGAACCTTTGTTACAAAATATACACAAAGAAATACCTATTTGTAATAGTTTTCTTTTTAGCTCTATTGCCACTTGGTAATTCCTCCTTGACAAAAACTTCAGTGTTTTTGCTATTCTTTATATCATCTGAAAGATAAATATTTTATTACTTATTGCCTGTTTATTGGGTTAAACAGGTTTTATAACCAGTCCAAATTTTAGGTGTATATTTAAAATTTATTTATCCAGGATTTTAATCAGGTCTAAACATGGAATATAAAATATAAGAGTAAATGACACAATAGTAATACATCAAAATACAATACTTTTGTATTGTGAATCAATTTGTCTGTTTGCAACATGTTCTATTAAGAATTTTATGCCTCCTTATCTAGAGAAATACATTAGAAGTAATTTTGCAAATAGTTTAGTGAGTGAGTTACATAATAAAGGTTTGCTACACAACTACAAACACATTTTTGTGGTTGTCTATTGGCAGGAGATATTATAAAACAAGTAAGCCAATTTCTTAAAAAAGAAAGTGTTTTCAATCTTTAAGTTTGTATGCATGATTACTCCATTTTCATGAATGGAATTTAACTGAAATTGAGAAAAGAGATGGGTCTTATGAACAATTAAGAGTTTGTTCATATATAAAACCTCAAAATACTACTTACCATTGATGCAAATCTCTGTTTCAATCAGTTCAGACTTAATATCATTACTTTCATTCTCATAGTCATTGAGTAAATTCTCAAATTGTGAATCTTCATCAGTTGGTACTGATATGTTATTTTCTGATTTCACAGTATTGTTACATTCCAATAAAGTATTTTGGGATTTGATGCACGTTTGTTTAAAAGTAAAGAGTTTCGTAAGAAGTTCATAGCAAGTGTCGCATATTGTATTAGGTAGATCTTCGTTATGGTGAACCTATAAAATTATTGGTTTTGTGACTAAGAATAATTTAAGTTTGATATGTACTAAAAATAAAAAAAAATAATAATTAAATGTTTATTGAAACATATTCAGAATATTAAATATCTATAAGTTAGAAGTCTTTTGGAATAAACACCCAGTCTTTTATAGGATAAGGACAAAGTTTTTATTTCAATAAATTGTTATTAATGCTAAATTTGTATTAAAACAAGTTGTCTTACTTCAACCGAAGTACAAAAAGCGTAAACATTTGGCGAAACGTTATCAAAAAGAAAGTATTTAAAAGATTCCCTAGAATTTAAACACGCACGACATATTTTATTAAAATAAGCCATATTAGAATAGACGCAATTAGAGAAATTTCTTTTAAAAGTTTCAGTCGCTTTTAGTTTTTTTTGAGTAACGTTATAAAAGCAGTAGTACGATTGTTATTTTCATCTAGTTTCAATGTCATTGTCATGTCAAAAGTGAGTGACATTTTAATTATTTTTTCACGTTATGGGCGATAGAAAAAATAGTCTTACAACCAATCTTAATATCTAAGAATTAAATAATTTAATATATAAAAATAAGGATAAAGGATACTTGTAAAGTAACTACGTTTCGTTCATGGAAAGTAAACATTATCTGTGATGGATACTGTCAAGCTTTTATGAAGACAATTAATAAATTCATATTATCTCGCAAGTAACAAATCTTAACACTGAAATCGATTAATGCGAATGGCTTAATCATGGTCCTCGTAACTCTTTTCGAGCAGATTAACAATCAATTATAACAATTATCATCTGCAACAAAAAGAAATATCTTGATGAGACAGCATAAATGAAAGTCAATTAACAAAACAAATATAAAAATATATTATGTAAATTGTATAAAATCTCATATAATTTCTTTTATTCATAAAATTAAAATCATCACCGACACCGCCTATTATTTAATATTATTAACTATACATATACAGATTACATTCATCATATGGTGTAGTTTTTACTAATATTATATTTTATCTTATATACATTGATCATAACCATAAAGAAATATAGAACGCAAAAACATTATTGACAAAATCTTTTAATGTTAACATTGCATTATTGTAACTATGATGCAATTTAAGATTTCCTTTTGCCATGTAATATCATATAATTCGGACGAAAGGAATGGCGCCATATACATGTAGTCGCTTCGCCTCGCCATGATCGATATGTTCAAAGCTTGCCCTGCATGAAGGGTTTGAGGTATTGGTGGAAGCTGCGGTTGACTGGCTCAGCGTTGAGGGGACTTTTCATCGCCTCCTCCATGAGCCGCTCGTAAGCGCGACCGTCGTAAGAGCCCAAAGTGGAATGCAGGATCTTTAAATGGAGAAAGAACATTAAAAACTAACTATGAAGCAAAATGAAATCAGCCTACGAAAACATTTTGATACAAGATAATTAGCGAAACTTTAACAGATATTATATAGCTAATAAAAGGAACATAAATCAAACTAAACAACTGTCACGGAGAGATGTAATTGAATATTTTTAGTACTACAATATTTATGGTTTTGCCAATTTCCCGTCTAAACATACTCCCTCGTTTTAGTGACATTGGTCATAATGTTAAGTTGGAATAACAGACAAGGTCAGAATTTTTTTTTTGTGCATTGAAATGAATTATTTAGTTTGATGTCATTGATTATTTTCAAATTCTTGACATACTTTCATCCTCACCTTTGTGTAACATATTCTCAAGGGATATTTTATAACAAATATGAAATTGTTTTAGTTACCTCATCGCGAATGTCAAAGGCATCCACTAAACCAACAGCGTTAGGTCTCAGCTTGACCAGCAGATCTTCGTACCAATTATGAAGTTCTTCTATGTCGCGCTCCGATATCGACGTGAACTGGTCGCGGAACAAAAACAGTCACTATAACTCAAAATGTTTAGCGACACGTATACACATTTTAGATACGGAAAGGATGTCTACAGCTTTCACTAGTCATCGTTATCGGTCGTTATTTGCGTTAAGTTAACGTTATTAAGCAAGATTATTTTATTATCTGTCTAACATCTTCAAATCAAATTTAATGTCCCATATTGAATGACATACAAAAGAGTAAATATGCAAAACGAATAATCAGCGAGGAATGAGCTTAGTGCGCAAAGGGCTCAGTGACATCAAATGAATGGGTGTCAAACGAAATTTAATTTGGAGCGCACTTTGGAGCGGTTGGGGGTCGTCGGTTCGATTCTCACACGGGACAAGTATTTGCGTGACTCACAGGTAATCACTGCGAGTCTGGAAGATTCATAGTGATTATCCATGTATGCAAAAAAACCTTGTAACACAGAACAATGGTAGAGCAATGGTCCAATGGGGGTTAACTTAGTAAACAGGAAAAAGAAAGGCGACATCCGTCTCCGCAGATAACGCACCCATGAGCACAGGCGTGCCCAACATGGAGGGCTGTATCAAATTAGTGGTTTCTGGTTAGACCACGAATTCTGCATTCAACGAAGCTTTAACAGTCTACGAACTGAAAGCAAAAACATCAGCTAAAGTAAAGGTAAAAAAAATGATGGTCTCACTCGTAGCAGATCGCCGAGACACTGTAGGGACCAGTATACCGCGTAGAGTTCCACAAGCTGCAGCAGTACGGCCTTCAGAGATGCCGAGGTGGTCACCACCAGCTTCTCGGTCTCCGCTTGGAAGCTAGACAGTATGAAGGCGCGGCAGTGCGCCTACGGACGGACAATTTGTCGTCATTTTCGTTGTTACGTTATTATTTTAACGGTTACCAGCTTTAGGAGTTTATTGCGGGAAAATAGAATAGAAGCGAACATTTCAGTCATATTAATTTATAGTGTAAAAAAGAAAAAAAATTATTGCAGCAAGAGATTTTTGTACCATGACTCTTTCACATTTTGCGAGTGGTAATTATTTTGAATATTGAAATATTTGAAATTTAAAATGACAATCATTTTAAATTTCAAATTTCATTTCGCGTTCAGTGTAACGTATCAGCTAGTTTTTGGATTATTTTTATGTGAGCGACAATCGCCACCTATTGACACTGGCGAAATCCCGTGGGGTTTGCAGATGCGTTGGTGCCTTATAATAAAGTGGGCTCCGGCTACTTCACTCACCAGACTAAAAGCAGTAGTAGTTATGCTTCACGCGTGACTTCTGTGAGGTCGTGGTACTTACCCGGACGGACCTGCCCATTCGTGCAACAGCGAAGACTGTTGCGTTGCCCTAATACCGTAGAAATAGACGAAAGAGAAATGAAGGATGGGATTTAAATTTGATTACCTCTGACGCTGAGGCCAACTGCACAGAGGTCATGTTCCAGGCATCCTCGAAGCACATGCCGCTCTTCTCGCGTTTCTCGATTTGCGCCACGCACGTTCTGATTTTTCTGTTGGGGTCATTTGAAATTTATTCTACTAGATTTAAAATGTTACTGCACTATTTGACGAGCTGGTACTGCGTTGAAAAAGAGTTTAACAAACAAAAAATGCACGAGAAAACTGTAAATAATCAGCTGTTACTATATCGTAATACTTTTATATTTATAAAGGAGTTTCGAGGTAACATACATAAAAAACAACGATTCAAGTCGAACCTTACACTTAGCAACCGCCACACCGATTTATCGAAATGTAAAAGTGTTTCAGGTTTGCGAGTCACTCATGTAGGAATTACCCAGCCGCGATGCTCTGGAAACTTGGCAACCACGCAATCAATTCATAGAAATGTGAGTCATGTAGAAGTGTTCCAGGTTTGCGAGTCACTCATGCAGGGCTTACCCGGCCGCGATGCTCTGGAAGCGTAGCAACAGCTCCACCGATTGATCTAAACGTAAGCTACGTAGAAGAGTTCCAGGTTTGCGAGTCACTCATGGAGCGCTTACCCGGCCGCGATGCTCTGGAAGCTTAGCAACAGCTCCACCGATTGATCTAAATGTGAGTCATGTAAAAGCGTTCCGGGATTGCGAGTCACTCATGCACTGCTTACCCGGCGGCGATGCTCTGGAAGCCGGCGACGATGCCGTCGACGGAGGTGCGCCAGCGCGGCGCGTGGCGGCTGAGCCGCGCCTCGGCCAGGTAGGCCACGGTGGGCGGCAGAGCGGCGGAGGCGCCTCGCCACGCCTTCACCAGGTACCTGATCGCGGGCTCGGTTTTTGGTGGGAAATCCCTACTGCGGCGGGTCACACCTACTATTTGTGTTGCCACGCGTGAAGTATGATGTGACAAAAGAAAATATCCTTTCATAAAATATGAAGGATACTGATCATATATCTGTAGTACAACATTTCGATGTTTTACATTTGCCAGTCGTCCGGCGACGGCAAATTTTTTTACTTCTTCTAGATGTTCCCTACCGGTCAACCGACACTCAAATAGAGTGAATCACCTTATTCAGAGACAGCCGAATTATAGTATAGTATCACTAGTATGCGATCCGCAAATTCGGTTAGTCCAGTGTTTCTCTATTTAACTTAACTTTTTAAATTACCACGGCTTCTACGAGGCCGTGGTACTTCCCCGTATAAGTCTGCCGTTTCATGCAACGGCAGAAGTTGCGAATGTTGTTCCACGAGTGGGAGTGTGGACAATGCCCACCGCGAAGGTTACCTGGCGGTCTGGAGCAGCATGACGGTGTTCTCGCCCTCGTATGTGCACGCGGCGGTGACCAGGCCGTAGGTGAGGGGCAGATTGGACGAGAGCATGTACCCGTGGCCGCCGCAGGCCAGACGGCACCGCTCCACGCAGGCGGCCGCGTCGCTCGTAGTGATCGCTTTTAGGCAGCACGAGAGCGCGTGCAGCTGCGACACTTGGCGGATTTAGAAGACGGAAGGGAAAGGGATGGGAAGAACGCATATTAGACACTCGTGTCTAATATGCGTTCATTTGTTTAAATAAGGCGCGTTAATAGCGCTCACCGTGCGGTTCTGTAGTAAGAGGCTGTCACTAATTAATAACGGGATGAGAAAACACCGGACTTTTAAATAATATACCTGAAAATTGTTTACAAAAATCAATATCAAAATCAAAAATATATTTATTCACATAGACGCTGGCGCTTTCTTATGAAATGTCAAAAATTTTACATCAAAATTTATACGTTCGTAAGTTACCACCGGTTCGGAAAGCAGTTTCTGTTGATAAAAAACCGGCAAGAAACTCAACAGTTGCTCTTTTTTAAAATGATTAGTTTACATTATAATAGAACAAGTATGTCATTTTAGCCTACGTGAGTATCAACAGTATTAACCCCACACCTTGGCGTCGTCAAGATATTCCGCAATGGTATAATATGCCTTAGCCATAACTTCATTTTAAATTTTGCGTTTAAATTCATCTAGTGGCAGACTTAATACCGACTGTGAGATTTTATTACACATGCGCACACTTTGCCCCATGAACGATCTATTTACTTTTTGTAGACGAAACAATGGCGTAATTAATTTGTCCTTATTTCTAGTATTTCTAATTTATGTCTGTCACTATTCTTTAGATAACAATTAAGATTATGTCTAACATACAAAATATTACAATAAATATATTGGGACGCAACAGTGAGTATATTAATCTCTTTAAAAATATCTCGTGAGTGTATTCCGGGCTCCGATGTTATAGATTGCTCGGACAGCTCTTTTTTGAAGAATAAATATAGAATTTAGATCAGATGCATTACCAAAATGCCGTACGATAAGATGCTGTGAAAATAACTAAAGTAAACAAGTACAACAAACAAAAGTCGCTTGAATAGCACTCACAGTGTTGCTTTGTAGTAAAGGCCTGTCACTAATTAATAGCGGGATGAGAAAACACCCGACTTTTAACTAATATATGTTTTAGGTGCGTTAATATTGCGAGTGCTATTACCTAGTCTAGTATCTTAGTTTGGGAATAGAAGCTGTTGTTTCTTGCCGGTCTCTTGGACTGGTGGTAACTGATGTATCAATTTTTATGTAAAATTCGACGTGTCACAAGAACGCTCAAGCGTCTATTTGAATAAAGATATTAAAAAAAAAAGTAAAGTAACAGCCTATACATGTCCCACTGCTGGGCAAAGGCCTCCTCTATACAGAGGGTATCAGGGCATAATCCACCTCGCGGCCCCACTGCGGATTGGCGGACTTCACATATCTTCGAAATATATTTTTTTTGTTATTATTTCGAAAATATGCAGGTTTCCTCACGATGTTTTCCTTCACCGCGGAGCACGTGATAAGTCAGCACTTAAAGTTAAAAACTTCATTGGTGCCGGCACCGGGGATCGAACTCAGGTTGCTTACGTTTACGGTTGTCGAACAGTAAACGTCGCTGAAGCAGCCGATATGCTCGATTCAGAGCGTTACCGACCATAGCGTGACGGTGCATTTCCCTTCACTCCTTAAATACACGTCAAAGGAGTTTCCACTCCAAAGAGGATTCGAGACTCACTTCGGGTAAACGCTCCATGTCGCCCGTCTCAAGTTCGGCGGTGACGTTGTTGTACATGTCCCACAGCCAGCCGGCGCAGAGGCGGAACGCGTGGACAGTCGCGGTGCCGATCAGCAACTTGTGTTGCTGCGTCACGAAATCGAGGATCTGCGGTTCCGGCTCGCTAAGGACCACGAAATCAACGAACGAACGAACGAATGAATTAATTAAAATTGTTTACTGCACACCAAAATAAAATAAACATGAACCAACAACTTAAAATGAATGATTGAATGAATTAATGAATATTCTTTACTGCACACCATATAAAATAAACATGAAGCAACAACTTAATGTAGAATTATGGTACAATGGGCGGTCATATTTTTTAAACCTTTGGATGGACTAAATTTAAATTAATTTAGGAGTAAAGGTGTGGGTTATTTATAAAATTTATGTGTCTACTTATTAAAATAATATAAAATTTATGTGTCTAATTACTGCGTAATCTATTATCTACATATATAAGACATTTCCACCGATAATTGACTCTTGACGATACGTCTGGAACCATAAGGCGTTGAGACTTGAAATTTGGTAGGAATATTCCTTTCGCCGAGTAGAGGGCAGCTCGTTTTCAGTCTTCAAAATAGTTTCATAAGCAATTTAGCTACTATACACATAACAATGGATAAAACGTTGCAAATACAATGGAATGTAGTTGTCAGTGACATAACATCCACCATAACATCACTGGAGGTCAAATCTGAATCGATGGTATCATGAACCTAATGAATAACGTTAGTAAGTTAATATTATTCGAATATTTATTATATTAGTCCAATATTATGTACGTCCAATATTATATATTATATACGAAAGCTGAATAGGGCTCGAAACATCGTGAATTAAATGCGTTATGCGAGTTGAACTTAACAAAATTAATACGCCATCTTACGGCCTGAACGTGGATTTTTAAATATGCTCGAGTAAAAAACAATAAACAAATTAAATCTCAAGTATCAGAAATCCGGTTTAATTGTAATCCAAACGTGAGAACAACTTAAAAGCAAAGTCCGATGACATACTTTTGCTTTATGTTTAAAAATCTTGATCTTATTTGACTATCGGTCATTTAAAATTATTTATTTTAAACTAGCTGTGCTGACCGCGACTTCGTCCGCGTGGAGTTTAAAAAAAAATCTAAAATAAAAGTAGCCTAAGTTACTCCTTAATACATCACCTATCTGCCAGTGAAAGTTACGTCCAAATCGGTCCAGCCGTTTCAGAGATTAGCCAGAACGAACAGACAGACAGACAGACAGACAAAAATTGTTAAAAATGTTATTTTGGTATATGCACCATATACGTCCATGTGCATTTAGTAAAAAGCGGTTATTTTAATATTACAAACAGACACTCCAATTTTATTTTTCTGTATAGATAATTTAAACCTCATATACTTACTTATTTTACAAAGGCAATATATTAATATACACGTAAAGTCGTTTAAAATGACAATTTCTCTGTTGACAACACTTCAAAAAAAATCTGCAATATAACTTTTTAATATTTCCCAATGACAATAAAACTCCATTATAAGATTGTGGTATAATCATCTATATATTTTGAACTAGCGACTACATATTGAATTAAAAAATTCACTAGATATTGAATTTCCCGGCTTTTCTCTACTACAATATGCATGTATACTACATCCGCTTGAGTAGTAAGGTATATTTATTGCGGAACCGCATTAAAATTGCGTAGTTTTACACACACTTTATTTTAAGGTGGCAACGCCACAGCAATGCTACGGTTGTTGCAGATGTCGATGGGCGGCGGTTATTATTTAACATCGGGCGAACCGCCAGAGCTCGTTAGCACCTTCTCACATAAAAAAGCGAAGTATTATACTCTCGCCTTTCGTCTGGTGAGTGAGGTAACCGGGGCCCACTTTGAATATTGCCAAGGCATGTACATCCCTTCCCCTGCGGCCGTGATCACATAACATTATGAACCGCCTACTCGCTTGACAACTTTTCGCATAATATTGCCGACTTTCACTGCTCACTGAAGAACTATACTAGCCAACACGAATTCGATGCGAAATTATTCAATTTTTTGAAGAAAACTATAAATAGGACTTCTTTTCGAATATGACTTCTTCTCTTAACTAAGTTAGATTTATTTGAAATTTTGCACACTTATCAAAGACCGATTGCATTACAATAATTTAATATTTTTTTCTATTTTCCTAACGTGAAACATCATTGTTAACGATTCATAAATATGGAAGACAAACTATAGTTTAAAAAGAAGAAATAACGCTTTAATGGTAAAACCAAACTTAAAAGTAAAATATAAATTTCGATATAAGAATAGTGATTAACGTTAAAAATAATGTCATTGATAAGAAGCGGATGCTCGATATCAACCATTAAAACGTGTTTTCAACTATTTTTAAACTAAAATTAATTTTTATAGTCTGCGTCAATGATATAAATACGAGGTAGATATAGCACGCAAATAACGCCAATTAGTGTGTTTAGACAATACTTTAAACTGCTATCTCTTTCCGCATCATAGGTTCTATATCATCTGTCACGTTCACTTTTATACGTTATTTATTGTAAACGGGAAAACATTTTTAATCGCGGCGCAGTATGGACATGCGTCATCTTTATTTAAACGTCATTGGTGCCACGACATTCTCCAAATACTTACATCACTGCCGGTAACATGGTATTGTGCACATTATGAATAATATCGTTGGCAAATTAATATAATTAAGCTAATAGGTCATCTTTCGGTCTGAACGTGGATTGTTAAATATGCTAAGGCAAAAAAATGGGCCAATTAAACCAAATTAAACCGAGAGTAACACAAATCCGGTTTGATTAAAGTCAAAACGTGATATTAATTCGGAAACCAAGTTCAATAATAAAACACTTGGACACTTTTGCGTTGGGTTTAAAAATCTTGAATCTATTTATAAACTATTTCCTCCCTTAGCGGGAGCCTGCGGAACGGAACCAAAAATTAAAAAAACACCAGGTTGTATCTCATGAACCGTGATAGTCAAACAGTTGAAATTTTTACAGATGCTATTTCTGTTGCCGCTATAACAACAAATACTAAAATACAATATAAAAAAATGTTTAAGTGGGGCTCGCATACAAAAGACACGATTTATTTTTCCGATAGCATAGATAAAGGTACGGAACCGATAGTTAGACAGTTGAAATTTTCACAGACGATGTATTTCTGTTGCCGCTATAACAACAAATACTAAAACACAAAACAAAAAATGTTTAAGTGGGGCTCCCATACAAAAGGCACGATTTATTTTTCCGTTTTCATAGATAAATTAAGGTACGGAACCCAAGGTGCGCGAGTCCGCCTCGCACTTGGCGGTTTTTTTTCAACCACAATTGATTTCTAAAAGTTCGAATCGTGGTGAAGGGAACGGTATGTTCGCTGTACTCACTCCGGCCTTATCTGCGACTGCCTCCGCACTGCGGAGTACCTCGTGGCGATGGTGACGGCCTTCGCCATGTAGTTGCACACGTCGTGCACCAGCATCACCCTGACGAACATCATGGTGCCGTAGGTGAGCTTCGAGCTAGGCGCCTTCACGTAAGTGCCGTCCTGGAGCGACGACACATTGATAACCTTATCAACCCGCATAGAGCAATTCAATTCCGGACCACCGTCGGGGGTCCCGCCAGATAACACTACACACACAGTTAGTGCAACAGCAAACAACATAGTTCGTCCTCGCCTTCGAGCACGGCGATACCAACGTAACGCGCACACATGTACACCAGCGTTCCAGGGCGGTTCTCACCGCCCCCAGCTACCGACTAGCCAAACACAGTCAACGTCCATCGGGGTCACGGTCCGCAACGAACCTCGTTGGCCCTATCCACTGTGGAGGGCCTCAAACCAGTGGGTTCTGGGTAGCCCACCGGTTCTGCGTTCGATGAAGCTTTAATAGTCTTGGGACTGACAGCGTTAACATTAGTTAATACAAGAATTTATACAATACTAGCTGCTGCCCGCGACTACGTCTGCGTAAAATAGGCTGAGGGCGTAACATTCAGACAGAAATATTTATATACATAAAATATGTAAATATACAGCGTGTCGTTACCATCGCGACAATAAATGAACAAACGTCTAACGCTACTTGCCAATAATCATAAAAAATGTTAACGTTAAACAAAATCCATAATTAAAAAAATATTTTTCAAACAAACTAATGTATAAAACGCCTTTGCGTTATTCTGATGTATAAGCTAAATTATCGTAGTTTCATTAAAATCCATTCAGTAGTATTTGCGTGAAAGAACATTACACTTACATATTGAATGTCAAAAAGATTTTTTTTATATGTGAAAACGAGCTGACGTTTCACCTAATGTTAAGTGATAACCGCCGCCCATGGACATTTGCAACACCTGTAGGGTTGCAAATGCCATTTGTATCTAACCCTGCAACGTGAAACGTCAGCTCGTTTGCCACTTTGTAAAATAAAAAAGTCTCTGTTTGTGTTTTATTTTAAAGTTATTTCAGAAAGTATTGAAAGAAATGACTTATTACACGTTTAAATAAAGTGGGCCCCGGCTTCCTCACTTACCAGAAACGCAGTAACACTTCAGATTTTTTTATTTCAATTTCGATTTAATTTTATAAATTACGGGATCAGATAATAAACCCCAACGTTTGGGGTTTATCATCTGCCCCAAGCTCTATTCGCGTTATCTCTCTCCAAGCACACTACTAGACCTCAAGATACCATAGGCTTCTTTTTGCGTAAATCGGAATAAAAATAAATAAAATCATTGACGATAGTCGGGGTTAACTATGACATCAAGTCATGTAACTACTTAGTCTCCCCGTGACCATGAACGCTGGAAAGGGTCCGAAACGTCGGGAAGTTCAAATCAAAATAAAAACGCGATAAAATCCGTAAACTAGTTTCATTTAATATATTGTTAGATACGTTTGGTTTGTTAACTTATGAAAGAAAAAAATGTAAAGTGACCACAACGGACACGCTTTTTTATTTTCCGATATTTAAAAAAAAACTCCCAAAATCGAATCTCATAGTTGCTCGCGTCTGAGTCTGTGATGCAAATTCGTATGATTTTGGATCGCGGACTGGAGTCTAAGCCACAAGGCTAATGCTGCCATTAAGTAACAGTGTTAAATACATTTTACTGAACTGACTACACAGTTTAGTTTTTTATACTAATTGCAGTCTCATACCACATAAAAACAAAAAAAAAAGGTTCATCATCCTGTGTCTCTAATTACCGGATTGGAGCTGACTCATTTTAAACAGACAAACAGATTCTTAAGCATTTGATCTTAACGGGCAGAAGACTGTAATACTATCCGCTTTTTTAGGACCGGTGGGGTTTTACGGTGGTGGGACCACGCAGCAGCCTCGGCTGTTGCACGAATGGGCAGGCCCGTCCGGGTAAGTACCACGACCTCACAGAAGGCCAGCGTAAAGTGGAAGTATGACAAATACTTTCGCGTTTCGTCTGGTGAGTGAGGTAGCCGGAGCCCAATTGGGCTACGCATCTGTAACCCTCGGGTGTAGCAGATGTCCATGGGCGGCGGTATTCACTTACCATCACGTGAACCGTCTGCTCGATTGGCAACTTTTCACATAAAAAAATGAAGTTTCAAAGTATACTTTGTTTAATTTTGTATTTAAGCTTTTGTTTGTTTAGCTGAATTTATCTCCGTTAATAATTAGCAGTTCAACTTCATAACATTTAATAAGTTTGTCTGTTAGTCTTACAAAGAATTGTCGCCCAAAAAGTTATTTTGAATATCGAACAATTTTATCATTAACCGTTGAATTTTTTTGCGTTTGGATCGTATGTTTTGAGTTAAATCGTTGTCAAAACTCGAGAAAATTCTAGCTTCACCTTATTCTTTCCTTGCCTTTTGTAAATATTTACATGTATCATAGTTACGATAGTCAGCAGGCAATGCCACTGACGCAAATGTTTATAAAATAGACCACAAAAGCAACAAGCTGTGTAATACGTTAGGTGTCATTCCGTCTGAGGAATAAACCAAAAGGAAGGTAAATCCACTAGTTCGTTTAGGGTTTCGTGTATAATTTAATAACACATGTAAATTTCGTAGCAAATTTTAACACCATTTAAGAACCAATTTACATTTTAATTATATAATTAACAGATAATTATCCTGTCCTATTTTACAGAAACACTAGCGGAAAAGGGCCACACATCGCTGCGAGTTTTTTTTATTCGTTTTCGTTAGAACCTCAAAATAGAAAGTATATAAAAATACTGTATTTCTAAGGTGTTTTTGTTATTGTTGTGTGTTTTACTCTATTGTTTATGTATTTTGTGAACAAATATCAAGTCGATCCATCGACTAGTTTTTGAATTTTGTAAACACAAACATACGCAAGGTAAATTTTTATAAGTACATAAAGAAGTGCGACGTGCACCGAGGAATCGTTTGAATATTATCTACTTTAGGGATAAAGATAAATCAAGGTTGTACCGTGATTTAAGGTTAAACATAACATTATCATCAACTATTTTGGAGTGTTATTCCGTTGGGTCTGACTTATCATGTTGTTCGTATACATTATCGACAATGTATTTAATATGGATAAGATATTGGAAAAATTAATTGGCCGTAAAATAAAATCAATGAAAGTTACTTTGCTTTCTTGCCAAAGTGCAAGATAATTTTTAATTACTTCTACTTACTGTATTACTCTTAAAAAGTAACGTCATTCTTATGCGTTCTTTTCATTTTGATAGCTAAACCAAATTGTTAGTATATAATGAAATATTTAGAGACAACGAAACAAGATTTTGAGACAGATGGACTTAATCTAATCTAATCTTCGGTGCATTGGTCGTGTGTTCGTCAGTGCCAATTATGTGAGTGATATACAGACAATTATACCAAATTAGCTGTAGGGATAAAGATTAAAAAAAACTTAAAAAGGTAAACTCGAATGGCACCAAGGAGAAAGTTTACCGAGCAAGTGACACATAAAAAATCTTTTAGACAAACGAGTTGCCACACTCTCCACTTTTTTTTTACGTGGGATAAATCTTTTATGGATCCCCGCCGCCTTGTGGGTAGGCAGCAGGGGTATGTGGGAGTTACGGGGTAACCACTAAAAAACCCACGTTGCACCTGCGCTGTCGCTTTTGCCGGGGTCAAGGGAACACGGAAACGCAATCTTCCCCGAACCCCGGCGCGACTGTGGCCTTCTCAGGCCTCCTCTCTCCGGGTATTTGGACACCACAACGGCACAAACTCTACTTGCCTCAACATCCTTACTAATATTATTAAAGGCGAAAGTTTGTATGTATGGATGGATGTTTGTCACTCTTTCACGCAAAAACTACTGAATGGATTTTAATGAAACTGTACAATCATATAGCTTATACATCAGAATAAGACATATGCTATAATTTATTTACATATTTTATGTATATCTGTCTTTCTCTCTGAATGTTACGCCTTCAGCCTATTCTACGCAGACGTAGTCGTGGGCTGCATGCAGCTAGTATTTAATATTTGCAATAATAAAACCGAGCATATACCCACTGTAATCACGGTCCGATAGTGTTAATCGCCTGGTCAACGGCTGCGCTGGTAATTTTTTTTTTTCTTAAAAACATTGTCCTTACTTTAGGATAACGTTATCCTGTGTTGTAAGGACGTTTTACAGACATAAATTTCACGTTGACTAACACGTAGATCCGAAAAAGCTTTTTGTGGGTCGCACAATTAGTTATCCCATGTGGGAATCGAACCCACGACCACCGACGCCGAAGCGAATACCTTGGCAACTGTGCCGCGAAGTCAACGAAATTATAATCCTGCCTGATAAAAATTCCCAGTGTATGCGCCAATAAATTACGCCTCTTTAATCACTTTCAAACTTGGGCTCAATATATCACTAATTATTAATTATTGTTCTCTAATTCACAGATACACTGCCTGTCACGGATCGTGAATAGCTCTAAATGGTTATTCTGTACGCGCATGTCCTCTTAGTTATATATCACTACGGAAACACATCATGTAATGAAATAAATAACGTTTTTTAGCAAAGAACAAAACCCACTTCAAATATCTCGTTCACTATACATTTTTTATTTCATTATGAGCAGTTGTATTTCCTTCACAAATTACAATATGAGATAACCGAACACAATGCAAAAAGCATTTTTAAAAATCGGTTTATAAATACGGAGTTCTGAAGGTAACAACCAAAAGTATTTAGACAATATATGATGACGAGAAGAGTTTATTGATATAAGTTTTAGGTTATAAAAAGCGAAACATTTTTATTAATTAAAAGAAAAATATTTTGTTGTACGGCGTTAGGAGAGATATTGTGGTCCATAAAATGTTTGAGTAATACTAAACCGGGCACAAATTCTTTTGCCTGTGGTAGGGTCGGGCAATAGTTTCGGTTGTTACACGAATGGGCAACTCTGTCCGGGTATCATACAGAAGAGCGGCGTGAATTGGATACTTCTGCGTTTCGTCTGGTGAGCGAGGTAGTCAGGGCCCACTTTATTATGGCCCTACGGGTGTTGCTAATGTCGGTGGCGGTTATCACGTAACATCAGGTGGACCGCGAGCTCGCTTGTCACCTTGTCAATTAAAAAAAAATGTAATATTTGAAAACCGATCTCCTATTTGAATTCGTTGCTTGTTTCCGAACTGGTAACGGAAATTCACGGAAATTGAAAATACCAAACATACAAATTCAACACATTCTAATGATATAAACTTTTAAAACCCGTGGTATCGTTTGCCATTTAGCCGAGTTTTTTTACTTTTGCGACAACACAGTGCGTACCGACCTCTAGGACCTTTGAGTTCTTCATCAGCATGTGCTCCCTCGGTATCCTGACGCGGTCGAAGCCGAGGAAGCCGTTGTTGGTGCCGTTCATGCCGAGCTTGGCGCCTATCTCGCCGACCTTGATCCCGGGCAGCGGCACGTGGCTCTCCTCGTCGCGGAGCTGCACGATGAACGGGTGGATGCCGTGGCACTTGCCCAGGGTGTACAGCTGGGCCATCACCACGCAGTAGTTGGCCGTGTGCGCCACTGGGGGAGACAGCCGTCACGCTGACCGTTAAGCCGTTAAGCCCGATTTGCATCAGTCACGTGTTTAGTAATAACAATAATCATAATATTTTTATTTTCTCACCACACACCAAGTACAAAATTAAACTAAATCTTATGCTATGCTATAAGTAACATTATTGGTTGTGGATCGCTGGTGCCTGTGGCAGGTAATGAAAACCTGTATTGCAGGCCACCGAGATAGTCACCAAGGTAATAGAATAGTAAATAGAAGTGAGTAACCATGAAATTTTACAGACACGACATATTTAATGCAAAACAGTCGGTGAGTACCTTAAAATTATTAAAACAAAAAAAAATTAAAATAAAGAAGAACAGAAGATGTGTTTGCGCGCGCGCGCGCGTGTGTGTGTGTGTGTGTGTGTGTGTGTGTGTGTGTGTGTGTGTGTGTGTGTGTGTGTGTGTGTGTGTGTGTGTGTGTGTGTGTGTGTGTGTGTGTGTGTGTGTGTGTGTGTGTGTGTGTGTGTGTGTGTGTGTGTGTGTGTGTGTGTGTGTGTGTGTGCACACAAAAAAAGGGTGCACTTGCACCAAAAAATAGTAAGCGATTATATTTGGTTAAGTGAATGAACACACATATAGAGGATAACTTTTTAAAATTGTATTAAATATTTACATTATTTAAACATCAATATTTACCGAGTTATTAAATTATCCATAACCATCAACAACATACAAAAATACATAACATAGAGTCTATGAGTTCTACGACCTGCATCTGGCATAATGTACCTTGCAAATAGTGAAAGAATTTTTCAAAATGCTTCCAATAGTGTCGGAGACAATACACACAAAATCACAAAAATTTAAAAAGACTATAAATTCTACTGTAAAAACTATCATCATTTCAGCCTCCTAAGTTCACAGCACTACGTGGCCTTGGAAAAAAAGAGCACGGCCCAATATCAAAATAAACATTAGGATATCAGTAAGGCTAAACAGTACAAATTAATCCCCTAAAAATATTTACTCGTCTATTACCCAAGTCCACTCGATAAGGATTCCTAATCGGTAAACATTCCTAGATACCTGTTGTACTTTGCAACCCAGTTTTTATTCGACAAATGATATACTTTACAAAGAATGCACGTGGCTTCTAGGCATGAGTGCAAAGTTCTAAATAGCGGATCGACGACCTTGAACCGACCAGTAGATAGGATTTTCCGAGCAATTCAAACAGAACACGCTCATCGGACCACTATACAGTACAAATAGGGTTGACCATAAATATGCCCATCCTCTCTCTATAGAGGTCCTCTCTATGTCTCTTTCTTTCTGTTAATTGTTCGTTATTTCGTTTATTTACATAGTAAACTATGTAAATGAACGAAATATAAATATAATAGGTGTAGTCGCAATTTAGTTTAAATATTATAACATGGAAATGTTAAAGTTATCAGACTGAACGCATGTCTTCAGTCAACACAAGACAAGGTTTCCATCAACACTGAGACTATATTTTGTCTATATAAAAGTATTTTTGCACCAAAATCCACATCGTTTTAACATAGAACACCAGGAGAATTATACAAGTGACTTATATGGCGGTTGCCACGCAAAACATGTCGTTATGTGACGAAACATGGATAAGAATAACCTGTTTAGTTGAAATAATTGCAAACAGTGATCATTACATGTTAGTTGTTTAAAAAACGATAGATATATAAAATTAATAGAAATAAAATTTTAAACTCACGTCCGCCGGGCCACCATTTGTAGGAGGTTAGGGTTGGACTATGAAGTATAAACTCCTTCGTGGCCGGGTCATAGGTCGCCGTGGTCTCCAGCCCTCTGATGAAAGTTCCATGACCCAGCTCGGTCTGTTTGATAATAATAATTTCGTTAACACTTAAATTTCTAGTAAACGCACAATAATGCAATCAAAATTTACCTAATATCATCTCATGACCCAAAGGAGGTTGACAGGCAGAGTTGTAGATTTGTAAAGAGGTCATTAGGTCATAAAAGCGACGGTTAATTCGGGCACTGTGAGACAGTGAAAGTTGAATGTTAGATGATAGATACTTAGTTATCATACGACAACACGCGAGGCGAAAACACTGCCGTTTTGTGGCAGAACGTGAGAAAGGAGTAGATGATTCACATGATACTATCAACACATTCCACGTACATCTAAAACCTAATAAGGTTAAACGACATACGAACTATTCCAGGCTCCGGTAGCTCAGTGCCAGGACGCTAGCCTGTAAATTCATTTCACTCGATCGTTACAAGTTCGGTGTCGAGCTAAACGTTTATTGCAGTCTTAAGGCGGCGACACAAAATCAAGGATAATGCGTATCTAAGTAACATGAGTGGCGAGGCTCCGTGGAAGTACCACGGTCTCTCGGTTTTCATTCATTCAAACAACGCATTTGAACCCGTCCCTGCATCGTGTAGGTCCATGGTCGACGGTAATCATTTAACATTAGGTTAACCGCCAGCCCGCTTGCCAACTTTTCACACAAAAATACTTACAAGGTAAGTGTACATAAGGAGAAACGTTTTGTTCGTACTAATCTATAGTTATGAAGTGATGTTGTTTTTAGTATTCAAAATGCTTTGGGCACTGGTGAACATCCACTATTTTGCGACTCTAGACAAAAGTATTTAAGAGACATATGTATGTATGAGACATCGAATTATATTCTGCAGACGCGATACTTAATTCCTCAACTGAACTTTGTTCTAATCACATTTTAGTGTGTGAAATGAAGAATTAATTAGTATCATGTCGTTTATTGAAAAAAAAATACCTATACTGACATTATCTTGTTTTCGTATTTATTAGAATTTGTAGAAAGAATTACCAAAACTTTCTCACCGCTGTGGGAATCACACTGACGTCTTCGGAGCGCCCAGATGCTTTAACCACTAAGCTAAACCTGATTGCGTGATTGCCACAATTGCCAAAATCTGAACGTCTTTTAATCTACATTGCTTTTTCGCATTTGAAGCAATGCTTGGCGCATCCATTGTTATATCCTTTACAGCCCAAAACCCCTAGCCCACCGGTTCTGCGTCAGATGAAGCTTTAATAGTCTCTGGACTGAAAGCACAAACATCAGTTAATACAAGATACAAGATCCTTTACAGCATAAAACAATTTTGAATATCGTTTTACAACGATAATTCCAACAAGAGATGTCGATGTGAGCGATGTTGTCGTATTTTTTTTTCATTAACAAAAACACTCTATTGTTCGGTTTTTTATTTGGCATGTCAACGTTACACTACCTACTACGTCACAGATAAGTTCAAGGAAATTTACAAGATCATAACAAATTTAGCAATATACATTTTTACGTTTAGCGCTAGTCTATGCATTCTACATTCATGACGAAACTTAAAATGTGATTTTGGCATGAATCTTTATACTTAATATAATTGAACCTGTCTTCTGGGTGTGCCCTTCAAAAAATGCACATTTAAAAAGTAGCAAATATTTTTTTTGTCTTAATCTACTTTAAAGAAAGGACTTCCGTTAGAGTTACGGAGTCAGACTGCAAACTATTTGCGGCTCATAATCATGGCCCACCAGCACGAACTTCTTCAATTGAGGTGGCAAAAAAGTAAGAAGCGTTGGCTTTTTTATCGATAAAATTTTGACAAAGTAAACGGTTGTCGGCAATGAACGTCTACAGCACCAACGGGCTATAGATTGCCAACCCTTAAAAAATAAGACCCTGTATCAAATTTGCTTTTCTTTAAGGCTTTATACGTAGGGATATAGGGCTGGCAACAAAAAAAAACAAAAGAAAAAAAAACCTGTGCGTATGTTCCAATGATGCTCAAGTTGAACGCTCGGCCAATCCAGTAGGCTTGCTGCTCGACGGTGGCCTGTCCCATTAGCGTCGGTATGAACATCACGTAGTGCAGAGTCAGAGGCGATCCGTCGCCAAGTATGGCCGTGCCGAGATTCCCGCCCAAAAGGGCCCTGAACGGTGACAGACTTTTAGCTTGTACGGCATTTAAGATAATTTTATTAATACAGAGATGGATTTAAACCGATGAAAAAGTATTATTTTCTCCTCAAAGATTTCTTGTTATTTCTCTCTTATTAGTATTCACACAAATACTGAAACAATAAAAAGTACTTCATTATACGGTCATAAGTAAGTATATTTAAGAGTTACATTATACATACGTATGACCTTGTCTTAATGAATGAATGTCCCGCAAATGTAGGAAGATTAATAAAAATGTAAAGTTTTATGGTTAAATGAAACTTTTTACTGTAGTTTTTAAGCAGCAGTTTGTAAGTTTACTGTGTTTAACATACGTAAATTTCGCGTGGACAAACACCTAGGATTATATCTGTGGATCACCAAAAAGGTAGTGTGGTGTGGTTTCTAACAGAAGAACACAAAACTTGTTCTATCTTTATTCAATAACTAATGCTTTTACTTTTAGTCTAGAACTTAATAATGCTTCTGTGGACTACCTGATCAAATCCTAAAATATTTAATAGTGATTATGCCCAATACCATAATATTGATAAAGTATTGAATAATTTAAATTCAAGGGACCTTCTAAGTGTCATCTTCTCACCTATAGTTTTCCATTCCAGCATTCTCTTCGTCCTGGAGTCGGCGTAACATTTTGAACAGCATGCATGCTTTCTTCACCGCCAACTCATACTTCTCCTTATGGCTGAGATAGTCCGAAGGCACATCGTCGATATGAATCCCCTCTTTAAATACCATCTCCTCTGTGAAATAATGCTATGTTTAAGGAAGAGTCGATGAAGTGTGACGCAATTTACAAGTTTAAACAGTGACGGATTTGGATATCGAGTTTTGGGCTTATAAATAATTGCACGATTCACTTCACTCTGTAGTGTTATAGCGTAACGACAATCAAGTTTTCATAGTATTGTATATTATATATTTTCATAGTATATATTATTCTTGGTAATAATTGTCCATTTTTGGGGCGATACGGGCGGAATGGGCGTTCAAGCAATAAAACAAAAATTATTATTAATTACAACACAAATTTATTTATTTTTTTATTTTACGCGATTTATTTTAACGAAAAGTTGTCAAACGAGCAGACGGCAGAATGTTAAGTGAATACCGCCGCTCATGGACATCTGCCTCACCCGAAGGTTACGGATGCGTTCACAACCTTTTGAAAATTGGGCTCCGGCTACCTCACTCACCAGACTAAACGCGAAAGTATTTGTCATACTTCCACTTTACGCTGGTGTTCTGTGAGGTCGTGGTACTTACCCGGACGGGCCTGCCCATTCGTGTAACAGCCGAGGCGGCAGTGTGGCCACCGTTTTTAAAATATTTTTTATTTGCGGGTTGTATCAATCTACACTAATGAAATCTTTATTAAGTAATCTAGTTCACATTTTTGTTTTCCGGTGTGCATTTAAACGGGATAAATATTTCTAACATGACACGTCAACCTGCATAACTACATTGTAGTATTATAAACAAAATCAATTATTTAAATGTGTATATAGCTTAATCGATGTAATAAATATCAAAAGTACAAAAATTTATTTAGTAAAGGTTGTTTGGAATTATAAATAAAAATAAGTAATGTTCATACTACATTAGTCGCATTAAACTTGATTTTAACATCATAATATAATCTTATGACTTTTCTCATTGACAAACGTCAGGAGGAAAATATTCTGATCTCAAGATTTGGTCGACCGCTATCAAAGAATTGTATCATCCAGTGGTACAGATTGACTAATTCAGTATTAAACTGGTGACAAGGCAGAAAAAGGTTTACTTCGATAAGGACCGCATTCTGTTACTTCAAGTTCACGGAAACACGCAGAGAACGGTAGTGGTGCGGTCCAAATAACTTGAGGTGCATCTGAGTATAAGTGAGTAACGCAGTTACTCAGTTTCAGTATACAGGGAGATTTTTTGAGAAGTGCCCAAATTTACACAGGAGATTCAGACTCCGTAGTATAATCGTTTAATGAAATAAAAAACAAAGTTTTTTTTTTCCAAAAATGACATTCTATTCCCTAAAAAACAGAACGTGTTGACAATGTGGTAGTCGTTCATAAATACCTAAATTTTACTGTGCACGAACTTGTATGCGTGTTAGTTATGAATAGTAATAGTAAAGTAACAGCCTATACATGTCCCACGGCTGGGCAAAGGCCTCCTATATATCGAGGCTATAGTCCACCACGCGGCCCCACTGCGGGGTGGCGGACATCTATAAGTTATGAATAATCGCACGTAAAATAAATGAGTTGCGTATAAATCACGCACTTTTTGAGATATGTTCAGATGAATGTAATTAATTACCTGCGAGTGATTTTAAATATTTATCATTTTTTATATAACATTATTTATTAGAATTTATTTATTATTAGAATTTAATTTAAAAAATGGATACACTTAGAAAAGCTACCCTGTATATGTGTTATCTATGGAGTAATGGCTGGTTTCAATATTCTTCTTATCCAGCTAGATTTGGTAGGACTTGGACGTAAGTATTACGGAGCTAATGTCAAATACCTATCGCTAGTAACCAAATGTACCTATCACGTAGCATATAAATAAAATAAATAAATGTAAATGTACCTAAACGTAGTGATTACATTCTCTTTGGTACCTATCTGTAGATTAAATAAAAAATTGAAATCGGCCTTTAGCGTACAATTTGCAGAAGATTTGAAGAAGTTGGTATAGGTTCGTTTGTACCTGCCAAAGCACAACCAGACACCTCACGTACTGGTAAGCTTTGCACGTGAATATTGCCTTTCGGACTAACGAGACGAGACAGTGCAGATTGAAGAATTCTCTTAAATAAGAATGATGGAAGGCAGCGTATATGGAGACGTAAAGGAAACCGTTACATTCATTCTGATTTTGTAAATAAAGGAACATTTGACGGCGGCTCAATTATGGTGTGGGAGGAGGGATGTTTAAGAGCTGGTACTGAGTTGGTGGAGTGAATACGACTGCTGTGCGGTCTATCAGGGACATTTCAGACGAACACGTGTCATTTCTCACTTTGTTAGAGAAGGCTTTTTTATATATTGATAAATAGGTATCTAGAATGCCACCCCCAACATTCTGAGCAATATACGAAACGCGTTACTTGAGGAATGGTTACCCCAAAAACAATTGAATACATCATTTGCAGCATACCCAGACGGATGGAAAGTAATCGGAGCATGCGGAGGAGGACATGCGTCATTAAAACTTAAAAGTTACACTATGATTTCGACAACTCCTGTTTGTTGTTTATTGTAATGAAAGAATTCACAGTCGCGTTTCGCTACGCGTCCATTGAACTAATACGCTTACTTAAATAAGCTTCGCATGCAACTAGGTGTGCACTCTTTATTCGTTTTTTTTTCTGTATGCAGACTTTCGCAACGAATCATGTTTATGTGACCGTGGTAGGGCCACGCAACAATCTTTGCTTTTGCACGAAGGGGCAGGCGCGTAAGGTTATCACTTAACATAATGTGAACCACCAGCTTGTGAACCATCATCTCATATAAAAACATGTTCAGTATCACGGTGGTTTATTAGCCAAACCGTCAATATATTTATTACAAATATCAACTGCAAAAAAGAAATGACAATATTGTTATGAAATATTGTAGTTTTTTGTTGATAAAAAGCCATGGCACTTAGCCAACGTGTTAAAATAGGTATAAAGACCGAACGGGCAAGGTCGTAATAATGACCCTAATAGTTTACAAATGGGAAAATTACTGCATGTGTTGGCAAACTTTAAGACGATGTTCCACCAGAGTTACCTCATTCACGTGACGAAATATAAGTGTGAATACTAAGGTCAAGTCTCAGTGTCCATGGTTTTCGATAATCGTATGACCGACAACTCGGAGACGTCAGTTAGCGCTTCTTTAGCATTTACTTCATTTACGTGACAGATTTAGTTTTATTGTTCGATCTTGGAGGCTGAAGATCATCTAAGTTAAAGGACGTAATTTTCTTTAATACGTACCAAACTTTATTTTCACCGTCAAGTAAAAGTAAAAAAAAAGTAAAGTAACAGCTTATAAATGTCCCATTGCGGATTGGCGTACTTCACGTATCTTCGAAATATTTTTTTGCTATTATTTCGAAAATATGCAGGTTTCCTCAAGATGTTTTCCTTTATCAGTGAGCCGCACATGCAGCACTTAAAATTAACAATTAACAAACAAAACACCGGGGATCGAAGTCGGGTTGCTCGAGTATATGGAATTAAAAGCGTGCGCCCGGAAAATAAGCCATGACGGCTTATGAGTAACTAAAAGTTTTTGTGTAAAATGTTACATATTATATATATGTTATGGTTACATAGACTAATAGCTAGCAAACTTTGTTAAATCAATAGTTGAGATTGGGCCGTCTCTTTCGCAAAATTAATATTATTAAATAATCTTAACTAGATTATAATAATTATGGCACTTGATTTATATCATTTCTCTCCATTAACATTATTGACACTGTTTGTATTTAGGTCCTTTGAGATAAAGTTATGATGAACTGTGAACCTCAGGAATAAACAAATTTTATTTTAATAAAGTCGTAACTACAACATGCATAAACATATATACATGAAAGATTTTATTTTTCCTTACATTATTATTTTAGAACTATTGGAATACGTAAATAAAATTTTATTCATAAAAGGAATATTGAAAAAAAATTTACAACCGTATTAATCAAATACTATAGTAAAATACAAGAGTATTTTGTTAGTAAACAATACAAATGTAGCTAGTTTAATAAATGAGATACATCTCATCGCGTAATATTATACTACAAAACAAAAGTTTAACCTCGTTTCTTTCTTTCATCAGTTTTATGTGGTCCACCATCAATAAGATGAGTTAGTTCCGTCACATTAAATGTGCAATTGTCTCTTTCTTTTTGTAAGTCGGGATTCACTTTTACACAGTTTGACATTTTTACGAAGACGTCACTGATTTCACAACAATACAAATTATACGAATGCGACGTTCATTCAGTTTCACTGTCTACGTTGGAATGGAAAATATAAATTGTTGCCCTATAATCGTAAAAAACGTATTCCAAGAAAGCGTAATAAAATGCTAGAATAAACATTTCTTTCATTGTTTTAATTTTTTTATTTAAAAGATTATACATTTATATACGAACAGTAATTAAACTAGACGTGACTGCTAATTACTATTACTGTTGACCCATAGTTTCAAGCCCAAAAAGTGCTTCATTCGTTAATCAAATGTTATAATATATAAGTTTATGATTTCTATAAATTCGTTGTTATAAGTGTGATAAGGGACTACAGCATAATTGCCCAAAATATATTTTTAAATGAAAAGACATATAATCACAATATATCACTGTGATAATAAATAATTTACTTATAGCAACACACAAGTCCAGAATAGATTCGACACCGCCGCCATATTTCTTTCCTGTGTGCGTTGTGGACCTCACCGTGTCAAGATGAGGTTAGTTTTAAATTTAAAATACTTTATGATATTTATTTTGGAAAACAGTGTGAAATTATCATTCTTAGACGTCATTACTTAATTATTATCAAGATTGAATATTCTCAGTGCATTATTTGATTCAATTTAAATGTCAACACGATAAATTTTGATTGCCATGTGGTCTTCTAGAAAATGTTTCAATTTTTCAGTTCCCTAAAGCTGCAGAAGAGGCTAGCAGCCTCTGTTATGAGATGTGGTAAAAAGAAGGTGTGGCTAGATCCAAATGAGATCAATGAAATTGCAAACACCAACTCCCGTAAGTTTCACCGGCATGTATATCAATAATTGATAATTCATTCATATTGCCTTCTATCCCCCCTTTTATTCTTAAAATAAGGTCATAAAAATAAATAAGGAAATAAGGCAATTTCTAAGGTCGTTTTAAAAAGTTAAAATTCTGTAGTACATTATTTGCTTATTTTTTTACTTCGATTACTAATGTAGTGTCAAATCAGAGAGTACCTATGTAGTTTATTGTTCATATAATTCTGTAAAATAGTGAGTTAATTTGGACTTAAGTAATAACTAATGTATGTTTGTTCTGACTAGTGATTGATCAATCCTCAAACTATCAATATATCCAACCCGTTTGATACCAATGACTACTTCAATATTTACCATGTTGAAGTAAAAGAGTGGTATTAAAAGCAATATTTCACAGCCTTGGACAAAAAAAACAGTAGGGAAAGTATGCCTAAGATGCATTGTCATAAGCCTAAATATTTTTATTCTGACTAAATTACTAAATGTATTTTACTTTAATGTCTATTATTTTTTAAAGGCTAGATATATTTAAGAAACTATAGTATCAATAACTCTATAACACTTTGAATTGTATTGATGTGTATATATTATTTCTGCTGTTGCACAAAAGGGCAGGCTCGTCTGGGGAAGTACGACAGCCTCATAGTAGACTGGCTTGAAGAGGAGTAATTAAACTTTCATGTTCCATATGGTGAGTGAAGTAACCGGAGTCCACATTTTTTTAAAGGTTGCCAATGTATCTGTAAGCCCTTAGGGGTTTAAGATGTCCATGGGTGGTGGTATTCACTTATCAACAGTTGAACCAGCTGTTGTTAAGTGAATACCAACTTTTAGTAAAACTGATATTTCTATTTTGAGTATTATTCAAGGTTTAGCTAATCCTTGCATTAAATACATTTTGTATCAAAAAGAAGTAAATGTTAGAAAAACCTTAATTATTTAATACACTTCTAAGTCAGATTGTTTTTAATTACATGTATCATTTGTTTTTTTTTCTCATTTTCCTGAAATTTCTCTAACTTTATATTAAAATATCACATCATGGTTTATTTATTATGAAAAAAATTAGTATAAGTTAAAACTTTCACAGCATTTTTATTGAAAGTGGTTAAATATATTATAACAACGTCTAATGTGAATTTTCAGGACAGAACATCCGTAAGATGATCAAGGATGGTCTCGTCATTAAGAAACCAGTAGCAGTACATTCGCGTGCTCGCGTGCGTAAGAACACAGAGGCTCGCAGAAAGGGTCGCCACTGTGGTTTTGGTAAAAGGAGAGGTACTGCCAACGCACGAATGCCTCAAAAAGTAAGTTGTCTAACTTTAATCTTTGTAATATTATATAAACAAACAATTTAATGTTATTTGTGTTGCCAGATATAATAGTGAGCCCAAATGATGAATGCATTTTATTATTCATTGTCTTTTATAATTCTTTTGAAAATTCTTTGCTTTTATGGACGACTGTTGAATGCTAGATAAGCTGATTTTAATACACTAGTAATTGAAAAAAGTAAATAATATTTGTGCTAATAAAATATATCTGGCTGCACAAATTCGTCTGTATTTTCTATTCAATACTTACTCAATCCAGTCAATAAGTTTACCTTAACATCGCCATCTGCTAGAATCATGTGGAACTCACAGATATTTATAGCTCTTTGTCATATAATAAACAAATACTTTACAATAAAAAAATATTGCAATTATGAACTGACATATCTATCTCTAAACTATTCTATCTCTCAAGTTGGATCAAACTGCACACAGTGTGCAAAATTTGTTACATTTTGGTTCAGTACTTTAAGTTCATGGCCGACAGACAATGTGATACAATTTATATATATATATATATATATAAAGAAAAAACCAAAAAAATAAATAAAAATTTTTTTGCTGTCATGGTTCACATACCATTCAAAACTCAACTTTTTCTAGGAGCTATGGGTGCAAAGGCAACGGGTCCTGCGTAAATTGCTTCTTAAGTATAGGACAGCAAAGAAGATTGATAGGCATCTGTACCATGCTCTGTACATGAAGGCGAAGGGTAATGTGTTCAAGAACAAGCGTGTCCTGATGGAGTACATTCACAGGAAGAAGGCTGAGAAGGCCAGGACTAAGATGTTGAGGTGTGTTGAATTTTTAAATAACATTCTCTCTCTCTCTCTCTCTGTCTCTATTTTTGACAATCAATCAATCAAAAATCTTTATTGAAATAGACGCTTGTGCATTGTTATGAATCTTCAAATTTTATATAAAAAATTATAAATATAGGTTTGTAAGGTACCTGTAGACAATTTTAGTCCTAGTATTTATTTATTTATTATTATATGTTGGGGATATTTATTTGTTTTTTTCGTTATTATATGTTTATTATTATTTATTGTTGTCCTAGTATTGTAGTTTTGGTGATAATTCTTGCATGTAATAGCAATCAGCACATCTCTAATGCACCTAACCTTTGTTCTTCTTATCTTAATGATCTATGTTTCCACTTGATCATGTAACACATTCCCAATCATTGAGTGGGACCATTATCTTCAAAATTCTTTCAGTTTTTTAATATTTAATGAGAGCTTGCATAGCAATATCGTAAATCAGCTCTAGTAATTGCTACAAAAAATTGAATGTGTGCTGCCTGAATAACTTTAATTTAAAGGCAAGCACCTATAGAAGCTAAGCTAACGAAGTGTTTAACGAAAAAACAATTACATAGCTAAAGATGCTTCGGAACCAAATTCCTAGTACAGTTTTAAGATATATATTGTTAGTGATTAGAATTTCATCCAATTCATGTCTTTTCCATACAGGGACGACATATCCCTCTTTTATACACTTATCTGCGTGACCTAATCGGCGTGGTCGACTTTTCCGCCAGAGGATGTGGGTTTCATCCCCAATACTGTAAAAGTGTGTTTTTCGAAGTGCCTGGGTGTTGAAAACATCTATAACTAGTTTTTCGCCTGCGGCTCTGCCTACATTTAGTACATGTGATGTATAAAAACTACCTAGTGTACCCTTCATACGCGAGTCCGATTCACACTTGGTCGATTATTTTAACTTTATATAAACTTAAAATCATCATCATTTTGCAGACCATAACATATAGCTAACTATAGTTTCATCTCATTAACGGTGGTAGGGCCACGCAGCAGCTTCGGCTGTTGCACGAATGGGCAGGCTCGTCCGGGTAAGTATCACGACCTGACAGAAGATCGGCTTAAAGTGAAAGTATAATATTTTAGGGTTTCGTCTGGTGAGTGAGGTGGCAGGAGCCCAATTTTCAAAAGGTTTTCAACGCATCTGCAACCTTCGGGTGTAGCAGATGTCTATGGGCGGCGGTATTCACTACATCAGGTGAACCGTCTGCTCGCTTGACAACTTTTCACATAAAAAAAAATCTAATTAAATTGTAACTATTATATAGCATTTTATAGCACATATCTTCAATGTGGCTCTTTAAATTGATATAACTTTTATTTATGAACCAATTTAAATACAACTAACACTAAATCTTAAGTGAAGCTTTAAGTACAAGGCATTAGTGAAAGTTGCACCCAAATCGGTTAAGCCGTTTTTGATATTAGCGCGCTCAAACGCAGAGATACAAAAATTTTGACAACCATTGTTTTGGGTTCTACTGTGTTGAGAAAGGCCCCCAATAATAGTTTTTTTTTCAAATATATTCTATGTACAGACAACAATGAGTTCCATTTTTATTATATGTATTGATTTGTATTCAAGCATGTTTATCATCTACTCGGTAGATGATAAACATGCCCCTAGTAAAAGCTTTGTTTAGTATGGGATGAATTTGTGTAAAAATATGTTATTAAAATATTTATTTACTATTTTTATTATTAGCTATTGTTTTTAATTGTTATTAACCTTTTTAGTGACCAGGCCGAAGCCCGCCGTAACAAGGTGAAGGAGGCACGTAAGCGCCGCGAAGAGCGTATTGCCGCAAAGAAGGAAGAGCTTTTACAGACCTTTGCGCGGGAAGACGAAGCCGCGGTCACCGCGAAGAAGTGAAATGACTAGTTCTATATTATAAAAAAATGATTCAATAAATTATTTGAATCAACCAACTTGATTATTCTGTGAAAACACTTGTGAAATGTGTTCGTTCCATTATTTCCCAACAAACTTCCTATAAAAATGTACAGACCAGTAAGCACCTCAACAAACTATCTGCCTTCTATTTTGTATAATGTATTCCAGTAGCTTGTCAATATTGGTACAACACCAGTTGTCATTAGGGTCCATTAGGCTAAAGTTATGGGATATCTCTTTTTCAAAGAGTGATTGTAAAATGTAATTTCAGAAAGTGTTTCCTGTAAAGTAAACACTACATGACGCCAATAATTACTAAAAATGGAGTAAAAGCAAAGTAGGTTGATTGATACAGAGATTTTCGCGCGGTGAAGATATCGACCGCTTAGCTTAGTAGTTAGACCTCGGCGTATTACCCGGAGGGCACAGGTTCGAGTCTTGATAGCGGCAAGATTAAACTGCGACAATTTATCTAAAAATTTTAAGTTTCATCTGAAAAGCAGAGAATAGCACTAACAAAATAAAATTAATTAAAAATTTCAATCGAATATTTTTAAGTTTTGACTTCGATTTCTGCGTGTATTAATAAAGAAAAATGTTACATAGTGACTACGGTATAAATACAACTTAGGTGTTAATAATAGTTTCTTACAACAGAACCGGTCTAGTTAGTGAATTAAGCGAACATGGCGATTAGATAAATTAAGATCTTTGCTTCGTAAGAAAATGGTATAGGTACCCACCCCATTAGGATTTTAGTTATTCTGTTTGATGATTTATTTTCAAAGCTACATAACTCACAATTTTTGAAGCGCCAGCCTTATACTTTGTAATATGGAGGCAGTCAAAATAAATATTGACTCAGAGTTTTTGGTGATTATTGGAGCCCTGTCTACTTAGTAGCCCGAATGATGAAATTTGATATCTTAAAAAGTGGTCAGAATTAGTTATGAAATCGTCATAAATGGTCAGTGATTTTTAGAAATTGGTCAATGCTTTGACACCCAACTACAGTTTATAATTCCAAGGTTATCGGAAAAAAGAGATCGGATCTAAAATTATTTCAATAGGTTACAAAATGGTCACAATTGGTCAATTCATTTGGTCAATATGCGAAAGGTGACATTTCTGGAATTGGTCAGCATTTATTTAAATCCCCGTAATGACGGGTAGTTGATAAACTTCTGTGGATTTTTGATGAATATTTTTTTTTAAACATTGCTCTTCAGGATAACATTATCCTGTGTTTTACGTTTTACAAACATACATTTCAGGCGGAAAAACACCCAGATAAGAAAAAATAACTATCTGTGGGTCAAACAAACGGTTTTCCCGTGCGGGAATTGAACCCACGACTCCCGATGCCGAAGCTAATACCTTTGCAACTCCGCTACGGAGTCTGTCCTGTTCCAGTTATATATCGTTGTAGAGTTGATAAATAAGCACCTCGTATTGCGTTTGACAAGATCGTTGGTGCAAGCACCGAGATTTGAACTGTAGTTGTCGGGCATTAGTTATTAAAATAAAAATACAGTACGGTACAGTACAGTTTATTTAGGAGTGTATAATCTTGCAGTTTTGTACTTTTCGATGGAAGACTACAAAACAGCATCACCCACAGAACATGTGAAAGTTAATGCCATTGATTGGATAAGCACATACCACACCGAATCTAGTTAAATGAGGTCACATTATGGTCGCGTTTCGGACATGGCACTTTAAATATTATTCCAAGTTATATTTAAAGTATTAATAATGGTGGATCATTTTTATAATAAAAAAATCATAATATTTTCCTACAGCAGAGCCGTGATAGATCAGTGTCCGGGCGCTCGCCCTTAATTCGATTTGCAACCTGAGTTCGATACCCGGTGCTGGAACCAATGAATTTGTTAATTTTAAGTGCTGACTTATCACGTGCTTAGCGTTGAATGAAAACATCCTGAGGAAACATGCGTATTTTCGAAATAATAAAAAAATATTTCTAAAATATGTGACGTCCACCGATCCGCAATGGGTGGAATATGCCCTGACACCCTATTGACAGAAGAGGCCTTTGCTCATCTGTGGGACATTTAAAGGCTGTTACTTTATTTTTTCCTACACCAATCATCATCTAATTTAGTTTTATGCAATATGTCTTTTTTGGTACTAACGGAAAATACCGTACTGTGTATAAAGTTATAACGACACGATAAGAACTTGTACTATGATTAAGGAGAGCAATGTTATTATATATATATATATATATTATAGACTTCAAACTAATATATCATGATTAAAGCGTATTTGAGATAAAAATTAGCAAGTGTAATACACTAATGAAATGTTAGATCGAACTTAACATTTAGGAATTGTCATGTGCAATGATTTAATGATAATTTGAATACAATTTGTATTTAAATTTAACAGCGGCATATAAAAAACCCGTTAATATGGCCGTTTTATAAAAAGGTCGAAGATTTTCGTATAATTGTCTTAATTGCATTGCTAACGAAGCTTCGTTGTTAGTCAAGTCGAACCTTTAACCCAATCGTGACTAAGTGGTTGAAGCGACAAGATTGGCCGAGCAGTGACCCAGTGTCCGTTTCGTCGGCTACGAGTGCAGACATCACGCAAAGTGTTACGCGCTCGCTACTGTACACCCGGTTATTGTGTCAACATGAAGAGAACCAATTTGGACTTGCAGCAGGAACGTGACAAATGCTCCTTTAATGTGCAGGAGTTAACGACTTTAATCGATGGTGGCCCGGAGAAAACTGCCGAGCGTAAGGAAAGAGGTATATACGCCTATTCATTAGCAACACAAATTTGCTTATTAAGTAGATCAGGCAATATATTTGCTAACTTTTTTATGGTCAATCTTTGTTAATTAATGTAAAATTTAGTTTTTCGAGGATCATTTTTGTGAATTACGATTTATTGTTGTGTGTATGTATTATTCAAAAAAGGATATCTAGCAAAAAAAATAAGTACGTTTATTTTGAATATCTCCAAAGAGAAATCTATTTAGTATTTTTTTTTGTAGTACGCGATCCTACAAACTTAAATTATTCAAAATATTGCGTATTGCTTTTTATTTATTTTTACAAATGTAATGGTCAATATCTTAAACTTCGGCCATCAGGTAAAATAAAAAATGTGTAAAACCTTTGTTCGACTCATTATATGGTTATGGATAGGTATTTAAATAAAAGATACATCTTAATAATGTAACACGGCTCGGTCTAATTTAGACCTCGTAGTAAAATTCTCGTTTTCAAACAAATAAAATAATTAAAACAACCTACTAAATTCAATTACGAATGGGTTGAATGGAATGTTTGATTTGAGCATATCGAGGATCTCATTATTCAGCTTAAATAAAGCATTATAATTTGTTAGAGATAAGAAAAAGAACAGATTAAAGACAGTATTAAAATCCATAGTTGAAGGATTCAATATTTTGAGAGTATAGTATCCCAAATAGGGCTGGCTATCTTACTAATGATTATAATTTGATGACTCCGTGGCGCAGTTGCCAAGGTCAATACCTTCTGCGTCGGGCGTCGTGGGTTCGATCCCCACACGGGCGTCTGTTTATGTGACACACAGATATTTGTTTGTCCACGTGAAATTTATGTTTGTAAAACGTTCTTACAAAACATTACTGGATGCTATCTTAAAGTAAGGGCAAAGTTTTTAAAAATAGAAAGAAAAGAATGAGCTACTTTCTTTGTCTGATCTTGCGTATCCTGTTTTTTATATTGTTGGCATATCCAATCTCCATCCTGGAAAAATTAGGGTAATCATGTGGCGTTGTTTCCGGCTCCTCTGGTGCCGTGATTATTTCATGTTTAGTTCATAATTATCTCCTATCAGGAACACTACCTTGTTTTAGAGGATGTAATGTTGAGTAAAAGAGAAGTATTCGATAGCGTACCGGAAGAATATCTCAGCCACAAAGAGAGATACGAGAACGCTGTCAGGAAGTCCGTGGTACTTTTTAGTTTGGTACGCAAAATGCAAGAGGAGGGCAAGACGAGCATTACTAATTATAGGTAAATTCTATACATATGAAGTGACATCAATTAACAGACATTAAATTAGTAATCGTCTATTTGTAAAAGTAAATTAACACCCTCTATATATGTCTCACTCCGGAGCAAAGGCCTCCCCTTTTAATGTCCACACGCATAGTCCACCACGCGACCCCACTGCGGCTTCATATATCTTCAAAACATTTTTTTACTATTATTTCGAAAATATGCAGGTACAATCACGGTGTGTTTTTTCACCGTTGAGCACGTGAAAAGTCAGCATTTAAAATCGCAATTAACAATTTCATTGGTGTCGGCATCGTGATTTGAATTCAGGAAACCTTAGATACTTGGGATCCTGCACATCAAAAGTCTTGAAATAATTATGTCTTTGACTCATTGTCATGGCTGATGATAAGGGTGTCGGATTTTTTGTATTTGTATTTTATACGGTGAGGAAATGCCGTTCTTGTTAACCATGCCGTGTGGGTTCAGTTGATTAGATAACGTGCAAATCATTTTTATTTGTCATTATTATAAAGTTTTTTTGTTAAATTTTGATTCCTATATAAATCAATATTTTGATTTCTATATTTAAATAAATAAATAAGAAGTTTTAGTTCGTTTTTATTTTAAATAGCTTAACCTTATGATTAAGCCTTATATAATTGTATAAATTTGTATAAACATATTGGTTTTTCAGAGACGTGGTAGGCGGACTTTTGGGTACAAGTACTTTGAGAGACGGGTCACCTTTGGGTCTGCATTACATTATGTTCATGCCGGCTATTTTGAATCAAGGAAATGAAGAGCAGCAAGCGAAATGGCTTTCGCGGGCTTGGAATTGCAGCATAATTGGCAGCTACGCTCAAGTAAATGTCATTTAATATAAACGAAACCTATTGTTGGTAGCGTGATGCAACAGTCTTCCCTGTTGCAAGAATGGGCACGTCCATGCGGGGAATAACCACGAACTCACAGAGGACCCGCGTGAAGTAGAAGTGTGACACATCTGCGTTTTATCGATACCTCACTTAGTAACCTGGGCGCACTTTACTAAAAGATAGTAACGCATTTTGCAAGTCTATGTGGGTGTTGTAAAATCCATGGGTGGCGGTAATCACTTAAGATCATGTGAACCGCTAGCTCACTTGCTATCTTTTCACAAAAAAAAAAAACAAAGTAAAACCCTATATCGTTTTCTTTTGCCAATCCGAAATAGCTGTCTTCACTTTTTGGGTGATAGCGATACGTTAAGGATGAAATTCGACATTCTGTAAGTGTAAATGACAAGTTGTTTTATGTTTGCGTGAAACCTAAAAACATCTTGTCGATTTCTTGCATGCTAATTTTCGGTTATAACTAATATTACATATTAGAACTTATTCGACGTTAACAGCCTTAGCTATCTCTTATTTACTTCGTAAAATGTAAAAAATGGTCTAAAAATTTAATTCGTATGAATATTTGTTATTCAGACTGAACTGGGCCACGGAACGTTTATCCGTGGTCTGGAGACCACAGCGACCTACGACTCGGCCACCGAGGAGTTCGTGCTGCACAGCCCGACGCTCAGCTCTTACAAATGGTGGCCCGGCGGACGTGAGTAGTTATTTGAAGGCAGGGCATTAAGCTGCTTTATTATTATTCTAGCACTAAGCACTAAGACTGAGAAAATATTACACTCAATGTTAACTAGAATTTTGAGGATGTCCGTACTTACATTATTATGCATAAATAATTTTGATTAACATAATTTTAGCCTTAATGTAACTAGTATCACGTATAGGGTCTTAGTTTAAAAGGATGCTCATGACTTCAATTTCATCCTGTATAATGCTTGATACATTCTCAGTAGGTTTTGCTTTGGTCAATCTGTGGATGTTTTGATTTTTGTGACAACTATGTTGTATGTAATTTGTATACACATTTCTTACATAGTTGTGAAATAACAATGCTTTGAAAAACAGTTAGTTTTCAATACAAACAATTTCCCAACCCAATTACGCCGTTATATATTAAGTACCTTGTTGAAGTATACGTATAAACCGACTGTTACGGAAAGTAAATAAAGAATATCAATGAACTTGTTTGACAAAAAATGTTTTATACTACCGGTTTACAATTTTATAGAACACTTTGCTATTGATTTAGTTAATCTGTTTTTTTCAGGGCTTATTTATCAATGGCCTGTCATAATTGAGTATTTTGCGATGGATGTAATTAAAACAAGTGTTTGTGAAATTATACCCAAGTCGCTTACTCATATTATCTTTGTGCGCTATTTTGTCTGCTAGTTATTTAAATGACTAAACAACTAACAGATTCCCTCGTTGCATTTTAATAGACATTCCGTTCATTTCAGTGGGACACACGGCGAATTATTGCATAGTCGTTGCTCAACTTTACACAAAAGGCCAATGTCATGGTATTCATTCGTTTATTGTACAAGTTCGGGACGAAGACACTCACATGCCGTTGCCTGGAATGAAAGTAGGAGAAATTGGCGCGAAACTAGGCCTTAACTCTGTTAATAATGGATTCCTTGGTTTTGATAATGTACGGATACCGAGGAGTCACATGTTGATGAAACACGCTCAGGTTTTGAAGGTTAGTAAATTATTCATAATATTAACGCTATTAGTGGTTTTTCCTAAAAATAAAGGTATGTTTGTACTTATGGACGCATGTAAGAAGTTATATTGCTTTAGCCTAACGAAAGAAAAATAACTAATAATGTTATCCCCTGTACTCTGTTTGTGAGAAAGACATATTGTGCATTCAATGCAATTGATAACGGGTTAATCAAATAACGGAATTATAGGTAATTGCAAAAAGTTATTGGTTGCTATGTGTATACCGCGAAGTTTGTCGCATTGTAACTAACTTCATCATGTCGCTTTTTAACTGTCAGTGTGTGCACGCATCTTAGAGATTTTACTCCTATATTTTTTTTATCTTATATTAGCGACAAGGGTAAACAAAGATAATTAATGAATTAACCTATTTTAAAATAATTATAAACCAATCTTTGACCTTTAAAGTTTTATTTAATACCTTTGTGTTTATATTGAGTTCTTCACCTTCTGATGCCTGTCAATATTTCAGGATGGTACCTACGTAAGATCCCGTCACAGTAAACTAAATTATGGAGCCATGGTGTTCGTAAGGGTGGTCATAGTTTTCGATATGGTCAATTATTTATCTAAAGCAGTGACTATCGCAACCAGATACTCAGCAGTACGGAGACAATCGCAATTGAAACAAGGGTACACTTATCACAGTCGAATAAGCAAATTTATTCAAGAGATTTCTTAAGTTTAAAATTAATGTTATACGAGTGTACATAAAATGTGGGACGAGCTTTCACCACATCAATTCGGCGAAATCACGTTTTCGCGTATCTGAATACAAGGTTATCGTTTAAACCACGCAAATTATTTCTAAGCCGAACCACGATTCGTTCGTTTTTCGACCAATTACGTGCCGCCTACTTGCAGAATTGTTGGCGGGAAAATTTAATTTGCCCTCCTCGTATAAAGCCGTGACAGCCAGTGTCCGCACTTGCTTTTAATAGTTTAATAGTACTTATAATTCAAAAAACTCGAGCTCTCTCTTAACTCATTGATAGTTGGCAAGTGGTTAGTGAAGCGCCTGTGTCTGGCGCCAGAAGTTATGGGTTGGCTGTGAAATAATATTACTAAGATATGTGAATCCAGCCAATCCTCAGTGGTCTATGCACTTATACCCTCTGTAGAGTCCTTTGAACAGCAGTGGGACATATATACTACTTTACTTTCATCGGAAAACAATTAGAGGTATACTATGCAAAAAATATTTGTTCACGTGAGTGAAAATAGTCTGTAGCAGACTTGTCATCTTTCTCAAAACAACCTTTAACAGGAACTATGCCGTATGGAATCTGCATAGAGTGATTTTAAATTTGCTTTGCTACCTTTTTAGAGAACCCGAATGCCAGATCTTGGATTATGTGACACAGCAGCACAAAATTTTCATCGGGATAGCCTCTTGCCACGCCTTTCGGATTACCGCCAACAAACTGTGGAACACTTTCCATGCCATCAATGAGGAGTTGGTTGGTGGAAATTTGGAGCGTTTGCCGGAAGTGAGTTTCTTTATTTTTTATTGTCTTTTGCGCTTTATTTAAGACAGACATATACCATTATTTATATCATTACTTTAATTTTGTTGCATTTTTTACCAGTAACTTGTATTTTTGTGGTTTTATCTGTTTAGTTTTATTTTATTAGTTAAATTAAAACTTCAGTTAAAACATGTAGAAAAAGTACGAAAAGATTGTCGCCGCTGTGGGAATCAAACCCACGTCTTCGGCATTCGCGGCCTGACGCTCTAGCCACTGAGCTAAACGGCTGATAGCCACAGCGACGAAAATCTTAACGCCTTCTTTCTACATTGTTATTTAGCATTTGAAGCAATGAAGACGAAGACGTGGGTTCGATTCCCACAGCGGCGACAATCTTTTCGTACTTTTTCTACATGTTTTAATGTTCAATCTTAAGTGCAGAGATTAACACTATAAAAAACTTTAAAAAACTTCAGTTTTTCATTTACTGTTAAGTTTAATAACAATTTAAAAATGTTACAAACAATTCTAATAAGTAATAATTCAACGACCGTGCGGTGTCTAGTTAAAATAAAGTACTTAGTATCTTTCTGTTTTTAGTGCCATTATTTCTTTAATACTTCTGTGAGCAAGAGACAAACAAAAAACTAATTACAGAATTGCAGTAAATAAGCTTTAAAGTAGTTGCACGTGTCTTGACCTTAAATGAAAAAACTGGTAAAGGTAAAATAAATCGCAAAAATATCTGTATAGTTTTGGTTTCGTATAATGTATTGAGTTTTTCGAGAGAATTAAACATTGCTTGGAAAGCTGTAAAAGAGAAACTAATATTTCATGCCAAAGAAATAGCGTAACCAATGAAATGAAATGACATGTATAAGTCGCGTCGAAAACAGCATTGTGGAGTAACGCCTAATGAATCAAACGGGATGAAATGAATACTACTTATTTTACAGTTGTTATCAGTCGAGTAAAATATGTAGATGAATTTTAATACTATGTTGAACACTTTTAGGGTCCGATTCATCATAATTTGTTAGTTTACCGTTTTGTTTATTTGTGTGTTTAAGTCCTTAGACTTGTACCATGACTGTTAAAGAAGAATATGTAATAGAATATCATAATCATTGTTTCAGCCTGTTTGAGTCCACTGCTGAATATAGCCTCCCATAGACTGCCACGTAGTATAATCCTGAGCCACATGGATCGAAAATGTAATATCTATAAAAACATACTTATGTAGAGAGAGATCTTCTGAGAACAAAACTGGAGACAACTTCATTATCATCATCATCATCATTATTTCAGCCTGTGCAGGTCCATTGCTGAACACTTTGTTCTTTTGCCGCCCCCTCAGACTAATCGTAGAAGGAATTTATCCGTATTAGCCAAGCCTGGCGAACGGGAGGACAACTTGGGTGTTACTATAAGCTGATCCATGAATTATGTATCAAAGATAGCTTATGTGTTGAGAATGTTATATTCACAGTGGTGTAATTTAAGGTCCAATTATAGTTGCACGCGCTCGCGTGCTGCCTAAAAGCGATCACTACGAGCGACGCGGCGGCTTTCGTGGAGCGGTGCCGTCTGGCCTGCGGCGGCCACGGGTACATGCTCTCGTCCAATCTGCCCCTGATGTATGGCCTCGTCACCGCCGCCTGCACCTACGAGGGTGAGAACACCGTTCTGCTGCTGCAAACCGCTAGGTGGGTGAAAGAATACCGCAAGAGGAACAATAATTCCCTTAAAAAAATGATCGTTCTTTGTGCTTGTTCTCGACCATTACGAAAAACGTTCAATTTGTGTGTTGTGAAAGGAAAAGACGGTTATATTGCGAATATAAGAATATCCGTAAATTTAGTTTAGGCTTGGAGAAATAACCAGATTTGATCCGGAACTATATGAAATCCAGTGTATTTAAAATGATGACTTTACGATTATTTCAGATTTTTAGTAAAGACATACCAAAATTTGGAGACGAATGCCTTGACACCGACCGTGGCTTACCTGAAATCGGCCATTGCTAAATCCCATGAACGCTGGTCTAACACGGTCGATGGAATCAGAGACGGGCTACAAGTTGTTGCAATGAGGTTTGTTTGGAGACAAGTATTACCCACTACATATACATAATGTATACGTATATTATATATATGTATAATATTGACCGACTCAATTTGTAATTTTGTACGAATTCTCGGTCAATTCAATTAAGCTCTAACATCTAAGAACTTTGAAATACATTATTTTTATTATCCTTCCTGTCCTTTCCAAGTGTTATGATTTAAGACGACGAAAGTGTGTAATGCACTACTTTAATTTACTTTCAGAAAAATTTCGTATTGTGTGGAAAATATCACAAAGATAGTCAATAGCGGCATGTCTTTTGAGGACGCTTGGAATAGAACCTCTATACAGTTGGTTGCCGCAGCGGAAGTATGTAATATTTTTTTTTACATATTATTAATTAAACGAATACATGGTTTTTACTAAAGTAAACCTTTGTTCTTAAGTGTCTTTTAACTTTTGGTTTTTACCAACATTGATATCATAAAATTTATCATTATTAAGGTAATATTCACATTAACAATTGTGGGTTGAGTGAGTCATACCGAAAACGTGAATCATATTTTTTTTGTCTGCCCGCTTGATAAAGAGCAATGCTTGCTTTGCGTCATGCTAACATAAATGAATTATTAATAGACTTTATAAAATTTACAATGTGAATAATTTTTCTCATTAGCGAAAAGTACAATGTTGAAATTAATAATTTATACGTTAAATGGTCCGTCTGGTCATTAACCGTCTGAAATTATTTTAGGTCCATTGCCGCGTCATAGTTATGACCACATTTTACGAGGAAGTGGAACTTCTTGCTAATGCAGTTTCTGCAGAATTAAAAGAGGTCCTTCATCAGCTCGTGGAGTTATATTCCGTTTATTGGGCACTGGAAATGCTCAGCGATTTGCTACTGGTAATTTAGTAATATTTATCGGCCGTTTGCGTATATAGTCGTGTACTAACTGTATGAAAGGTTTTTGATATTGATTAGGAGCAGCAGGGGTTTTTGATTTATTTTGATTAGTAGGTTGGGAGCAGGCTGTATTGACTAATGTTATATAAAAGTAAAAGACTGTAAATAACCAAATATTTCAATCTCCGCGGTCAAGGATATTTTCGTGATTATATTTACCATTGGCGGGTGAACAAGTTGTGGCATCATCAGCATTTCTTATAATAAGTACCTGGAGGACCGAGCTTTGCTAGGTTTTTTTGTGGTAAATCATATATTTTGGAAATAAAATGATCTGACACGCACCGCGGCCGTCTGATTTAGGGCCGCCCGATTACCGACCGAGCTATTATAACATTTTTTTGCGGCGAAATTTACCGTCATATTCGAATGATATTTTTCATTCCCTGAAAACGGGGATAAAAGGACATTTTCTAAAAATGAAACCTAGCTAGATCGATATTTCCCCCCGAATCTGCGCACATACTAAATTTCATGAAAATCGCTGGAGCCGCTTCCGAGATTCCGATTATCATCATTTCAGCCTATATATATATATATATATATATATATATATATATGTATATATATATATATATATATATATATATATATATATATATATATATATATATATATATATATATATAGAATCTGCAGAAGAATTGCTCGTTTAAAGGATAAGATTAACAGTTTTATTGGTGATTGCGTCAGGATTTGAACCAAAGTGATCGAGTATAACTAATGAAAATCGAACAATAGAGTTGTGTTTTGTAGAGCGGAAAACAAAGTTTTATATCGAGCTGGTAACAATTCATTCATTTCTGCAGAAGAATTGTTCGTTTAAAGGATAATATTAACAGTTTTATTGGTGATTGCGTCAGGATTTGAACCAAAGTGATCGAGTATAATTAATGAAAATCGAACAATAGAGTTGTGTTTTGTAGAGCGGAAAACAAAGTTTTATATCGAGCTGGTAACAATTCATTTATTGGCCGTCTCTTCTGTAACACCGACTAGTGTCAACTTAAGAGAACAAACAAAAGTTTAACCTTACAAAGAGTTTATTAAATTAGTGTTATTGATTATATGCCAGATGGGTATCTATAGTGATAACTTAAAGTTTTTAGTTTGTAAATCTACATTACATCAATATGTAATCGGCATTAGCTATCGTTCGTAAGCGATTACACGGCATGTAACCGTTACGCGAATCTACTGACTTGCCCATTTGGTTTGCTAACTAGTGCGAAACGTAATCATAAGAATTACAATTTGCCTCATTCACCACAACTGTGCGAAATAATGAAAACTTTGGATTACTTATTTGGTGTAAATGTGGTCTTGTTATAAATAAATATAATAATAAAGCCCAATTTTCATAAGGTTGTCAACGCATCTGGAACCCTCGGGTGTAACAGATATCCGTGGGCGACGGTACACCCTTAACATCAGGTGAACTTTCTGGTCGTTTGGCAACTTTTCACATAAAAAAAAAGTCTCCTAGTAAACAAAAAAGATTAAGTACAGTTAGTTAATTTACAAAGCGGGTTGTGTATGTGATCCTTTGATATATGTTTCCATTTGTTTTTTCTATATAACAGAAAATGGTCTTGTTAAACAGTATACTAAAATAACGCAAGCGGACGTGGACAAAATGCGTTTATGGTATGAAGAGACCCTGGGCAAAATTAGAAGAAACGCTGTGGGTTTGGTGGACGCTTTCGACATACGTGATGACGTGAGTATAAAAATACAACGATAAAACATGTATTGCCATTTTTATTGCGTAACACTTACTGGACAGTCAGAGGAAAGCTTTGTGCCGATCGTTTAAAAAAAAACTGCGTTAGAAATCGACACCGCGGTTTAAATAACAGTTAACGGACAGTTAAATTCAAATTATCAAACTTGACCGTGACGTGGCAGCGCTTTAAAAATTTGTAGAGCCTTCACTGTTCATAATTATATACACATACACTGCATCATTTTGCCACGCTCCTTATTTTACCACTATATACTTCACAGAATCTGTGGTGCATGTTGGTTTCTATGAAGGGTTGTGGTCAGTCAGCCGACCAGTAAAAAACCTATCCAGTATCACTAAGATTATTTTATTAGACATAAAACATTACAGATATTGAATAATACAAATGTTAGGGTTCTGTGCCCAAAGGGTCTGTCTGTCTGTCCGTCTGTCACCAGGCTGTATAACCGTGATAGTTAGACAGTTGAAATTTTCACAGATGATGTATTTCTGTTGCCGCTATAACAAACAATACTAAAAAAATATTTAAGTGAGGCTCCCATACAACAGACATGATTTTTTTGCAGTTTTGATAATGGTACGGAACCATTCGTGCGCGAGTCCGACTCGCACTTGCTTTATTAGATTAGACTATAAGATTACACTTGCCGACCCCACGACGTAGGTCAGATAAGTGAGATTATACCTGCACTGCCTCAGGTTAAATCCGGCCATTATGTGTTTTATAATGATAAACATTATTTTTAAGTTAGTTTTAACATTCAAGGTGAAACTTAAAATGTGCAAAAACTTTATGATAATATGACTGGAAACAAGACGGCGATTAGCATTATTAAAAATGTCGCCAGAATTTGCTCAAAATTTTATTAAAAACAAAGTAGATATCATTTTTTTACTAACGAAAAACAAAACCGACTTCAAAATATGTATTTTATAGTTGATTTTCAGGAGTTTCCTATGTGTCTCCGGATCTCAAGATCCAATACCAATGAAATATGGGACCACGTGGGAAGCACCAGCTTTCAAATAAAAAAAGAATCATCGAAATCACTCAATCAAAAGTTCTGAGGTAACAAACATAAAAAAAATGCAGTCGAATTGAGAAACTCCTCCTTTTGAAGTTGGTTAAAAATGTGCGTTGTGATTAACGTCGGTGTGAATAGCTAATAGTGCTGTTTAGTTCAGCGGCTAGATTGTTTGGCGAGTATCTCGGAGGACATAGGTTCAAATCCTTGCAGTGGCGAACAGTTTTCTTCCGATTTTCTGTCAGTCAGTTCTTCTAGAATAAATAGCACTATAAAAATTTATATCTTTTTATTGGCCGCTTACACTAATTAATAAAACGACTGGTCGCAATATGGAGAAGACTCAGTTTTTGTTCATTTATCGACTAAAAATATTTTTTTAAGTTCTGAATACTAGTAGTTAAAATAAATATAAACTAAGATTTACATTTATTTTAACTATTAAATTTAATTAAAATTTTTAGATTCAAACCTAAAAATAAATTAAGAGCAAAGGCGACATATCTTGTTACAAATGTTCATCGTTAATCTGTAGTTCTTTGTAAGGTGTTTCATACTGTAAAGAATGCACAACAGATGGCGTCGAGAATTGCTAAAAACGCAGTAAAGAACATTGTAAGACATATCGAGATATTCGCGCATTGATTATTCGCTTCAAATTCATGTCCGTCACGCTAGCAGAGTAATGTTCAAAACTGGATTTAAAAATGTTCGAAATTACGTGCTAATTAGGTGCCAAAATCTAAAATTATGTGTCAAATCTAGTGTTTTCTTGCGGCAAAGTCTTTGCTAATAGGTAATAAATGACTAATCGGAATCTTTATTAAGTGATGATTAATGTCGATGTCAGATGCTGCAATCGACGTTGGGCGCGTACGACGGCCGCGTATACGAACGCTTGATGGAGGAAGCAGCGAAGAGCCCTCTCAACGCTGAACCCGTCAATGACACATTCCACAGATACCTCAAGCCGTTCATGCAGGGCAAACTATGATACAGACGTATTGACGTTGATTGTGATAGTTTTTTTATTTTTTTTGTAATAGAGACCTGAGAGCAATATAAACTACAATCAGGTGAGTTGTGAGAGGTTGTTAATTGTGATATAAAAAAAGATTTGAATAAAAAATAAAAATAAAAAAAATATTTCTCCGAGCCTTTTTATTCCCAAAATGAGACAGTTTTATAACCTTGTCGTTGTAAGCTAGTGGGAAAGGCAAGCTCTCTGCTATCGTGTATCTGTTTACTATCCGTGTGACGATTTCGATCTTAATTTGTACCTATACGTATGTATACAACGACTAATGGGTACTTATAAAAAATCTTTAAATATTGAATTTCGAATACAATGCCGTTGTTCGGTTACCATTACAATATAATTTGTTATTCTATTATAATTTAAATTAGTTATCTGTTTTTTTTTAATTTATTATAATTAAAATAAGTAATTTCAAACTTGACAATAATTTATTCTTTTGTTCCCGCGTTATTTTAGACATTAAAGCTAAAACATAAAATCTACTCATGAAATAATTAATTGTTGTTGGTGAATAATTATCATATTATACACATATTTTTTATTGTTATCGGCGAATCCATCTTGGATGGACAGCTTTCGGGAAATTTCGTTATATCTTCTCATCTAATATCCCATTAGATGGATATTAATCCCTCAATGTTTGAAGATCAAGTCTTCAATCTATGTTTGTTGCCAGTGCCCGCTGAAACGAGACGTAGTCCTTCACTGTTAGCCGTATGAGGAAGCTCAAAGTCACTTAACGAGCTATGGAGCGGGCTATGTTTGGTAGAGTTTCTGCGTGATAGAGTTCGCAATAAGATATCCGCAGTGGAACAAAAATAAAGGAAATAGCTCAGAGAATTAGCGGGTTGAATTGACGATGGGCCGCCCATATAGCTCGTAGAACCGATAGACGATGTAGAAGAAAGGATCTTGGGTGGCAGCCTCGTACTGGCTATCGCAGTGTGGGGTGATCCCCCACTAGATGGAGTGACGACTTGTGCAAATGTGCTTTCAGGCAATATATGGGCCTATGTTCAGCAGTGGACTCAAACAGGCTGATATGATGATGATAATACACATATATTTTTATTTCTACCAATACCAAACAAATTCTGTTTATGGCACTACTGTAAGGAGGTTTTATTTTTCTGACCGATGATAAATTTTGACATTCTTAGAATAAGAGAGTTTTAAGTTGGATTTTACTGCATTAACTTTTAAAACATTATAAATTAAACTGATGAGTCCATGAGTATTTCGATAATGAACTAAGCCTAAGTTAAATCTAAAGTAAGTACAAGTATAATTTTATGATATAAGAAAATTCGAAATTAAATGTAGAAAAGTTTTCTAATCTCCTTTTTTTAATGTAAAGTTTTTTTATCATTAACAAAATCGCGGCATGATTACAGTAGTAGTGATAAAATATGCTAGTAAATTAAATTTTTTGGTAATAGTCTACATCACGGATATGTCCTTATATCGCTTACAAATATTTTAAAACGATTAAACAACGCAACTGAAATATTACGGAGTAAAAATAACGGGTTACGCCTACTTTCAAGGGAACAAAATAATTAAAACTTGGTAGATAATTGCACTTAGAAAATCAGGTGACGTCGGTCGCCGCTTTCGCTAGGCTCCATAAACTATAAAAATTGTTGGTACTCCTGACGAACTTAGCCTATCATTTTTAAAATAAATGGAATGTTGGAATTTATCTTATTTTATAAATAATAATGTTTTATGTATGGTGTATCACTGTATGTTGTTGACAAAGTTTTACGCAACGAAATGGCGGATATTCCTAGTGAAACTAAAATATGCAATTAAAGTTGCATCGAAAGCAGAGTTGGTGAAACAGCCAGAGTAGGCTGTTGAAGCAGAGTTTAACAGCCTATTCCTATCACACGATATTTTAAAAACTCTTGTAGCAATAATTGGAAACTTTGCAGTGTTATTGGAATTTTCATAAGTACAAACAGATAAATTAGGAAATGGGTGACGTAAATAAATACTTGGTGAAAGAAAGAGAAAGATGCACTTTTAATGTAAAAGAGTTAACCAACTTAATAGACGGCGGAGAGCAAAACACAATGAAAAGAAAGGAAATCGGTAAGTCTTTTTGTCAAGTTTAGACTGTTTATTCTACATTGATGATGGAAAAATGGCGGGAAAGACTGGAAAAGGTTAGCCTAAAGATGAGTGCCACCAAAACAGAACACCTGTTTTGCGGTTTCGGTGGCACATCCAGTTTCTCACATAGAGCCTTAAAAGGTGTACAAGGGTAAACCTTCCAATCAGATCCGATTTTAAGTATCAGCTCATTGATTCAAAACGACGGTGAAATTGACCGAGATGTCACAAAAAGGACAAATGCAGGATGGGTGAAATGGGTGAATGGTCTCAGGAGTTTTGTGACCGGCGAATACCCGTAAAACTCCAAGGGAAGATTTACAAGTCGGTGGTGAGACCTGTGATGTTGTAGGGATCTGAATGTTGGGTAGCAAAAGAGACGAATGAAAGAAAAATGCATGTGTTGAGATGGATGCGTGGTGTGACCAGGAAGGTTGAGATACGAAATGAGTATATAAGGAAAAGCTTAAAAGTGGCACTAGCGATTGAAAAAGTAAGGAGTGGTAGGTTGACATGGTATGGACACATTATGAGAAGGGATGAAAGTCATGTGACTAGAAGAGTGCTGAACATGAATGTCGTTGAAGGGTGCAAAGCTAGAGGAAGACCGAGAAAGATTTGGATGCACTGTGTGAAGAATGATATATCTGTGAAAGGGGTCAGTATTCGACTCTCAGGGGACACTATCAGTCGTCAGATGACGATTGATATAGGAAAGTGGAAGGATATGTTGTTCCGACCCCACCTAGTGTGGCATAAGGGCAGGAGAAAGAAGAAGAAAAGGCCTACGTTGATGACGGTATTTTTAAAAATAGGTTAGTTATAATACATGTTTCAATGGCTTCGAAAATATTTTTTGATTAAAAAGCAAAATAAAGGTAAGAAATAGAGAGCTAGTTTGGGACAAGAATATAAATTCACAAGCATTTTTTTGGTTATGAGATTTTGTGATTAAGGGGTTCGTGAAAAGTTTTATTAAACAACATTTTCTATTTATAACAGAGAATTACGTGTTTAGTATAAAAGGCCTCAAGGACGAAGTACCAGAAGAAAATTTGAGCTATAAAGAGCGTTATGAGAACGCCGTACGAAAAGGCTGTATCCTTTTCCCGCTTTTGATAAAATGGTCGGAGAAGCCACGATCCTCCATGGATTCGGCGTAAGTAACCTTCCCCACAGCTTCCGTATTAATCGGACATGGCAGTCGACTCAAAGTGTTTGAGAAAATAATGCTGGATCAAATGATAGTACATTTTAACAAATATAAAATTTTAAACCAGCACCAGTTTGGATTTACTAAAGGTAGATCTACAACTGGTGCAGGGATAGAATTAGTTTCATATATCCTGCAGTCCTGGGAAGCTTTCATGACACCATTGGTGTGTTCTGTGACCTTTCCAAGGCATTTGACTGTGTAGATCATACAATTCTAATCAGGAAATTGGAATATTATGGTATTCGCAATTGTGCCATTGACTTTGTTTCCTCATATCTTACTGACAGGGAACAAAAAGTAATCATAAATGGTATATTGTCAACGGGGTCAAAAGTAAAAATGGGCGTTCCTCAAGGATCGATCCTGGGCCCTTTTCTGTTTTTTAGTTTATATTAATGATTTGCCATATATAGTGGAAAAAAGGTCTCAAATTGTTTTTTTTTTGCGGATGACACTTCAATACTGTTTAAAGTTAAAAGGAAAGATGATGCACTGGAACAACCAAATGAAATACTAGATGTTGTGTCTGGCTGGTTTGCTACCAATAATTTACTTTTGAACTCCAATAAAACAAAATGTATTAGATTTACTCTTTCAAATTTGTGTCACCAATCAGGAATCTCTATTGATGAGAAAATCCTACCCCTTGAGGATTCAACAGCATTTCTTGGAATAAGCGTTGACTCCAAGTTGCAATGGGGATTACATGTAGATAAGTTAGCTAAGAAATTGAGCGCTGCCGTCTTTGCCATACGCAAAATCAGGCAGCTAACTAATGAGGAAACTGCAAAATTAGTTTATTATGCTTATTTTCACAGCATAATGTCCTATGGTGTCTTACTTTGGGGTTCCGCATCCGGTCTAGACACAATATTTGTATTACAAAAGCAGGCTATACGGGCCGTCTATGGCTTGGGTCCACGTGAGTCGCTACGACAAACATTTAAGCAAATAAACGTCTTGACGCTCCCGTCGCTTTACATACTTGAGAACATCATGTATGTACGTAATAATATCGACCTATTTACGAAAAAAAAATCCACATCGCGTCGGGGCCGTGGTGACACTCTGGAAGTACCGAGGTTTAGATTAGCTAAAACCAGAAAGTCGTTTCTTGGAAGATGCATCAACTTTTATAATAAAATAGGTGACATCCACAAACAACTAAGTATAAACAATTTCAAACAATTTGTAAAAGCTACCTTAATGGCAAGGGCTTATTATAATATCCAAGAATACATAGAGGACAAGGATGTTTGGAAATGACTCTTGCTCTGCACTTGCAAGACCCCTGGCTGCTGCTGATTTTATACCCAAATAAGTGTGTATAATTGCATTAAAAAATATATATATATAACAAAAAGAACAAGACCGCAGAGTTTCTTGCCGGTTCTTCTCTGTGCAGGTCTAGTTTAGTGAACCGGTGGTAGATTTTTGTTGACGTTCAATAAGAGCTTAAGTTAGGCCTATATTGAATAAAATACTTTGACTTTGACTTTGACTTTGACTTTGACTCGGCAGTCTCTTGATCACGATTGATAAATTTTAGTATAATTTAGTCTTTATTTATGCCTGCCGTCTTCGGGAATCTCTTGGCGATATTAGTTTGAATAATTTCACCAAGAGATTTCGAAAACAGAATTCAATACAGTAAAATATGTGACAGTGTTCATGTGTGAATTTTTTTTTGATTACTTAATTCAAACTCGGCTGAAAGTGTACGAAAATGGGCTTTTGGTACGTCGTTAGTCATCTAATCTACTGAATTTGACTATCTTGCATGGATATTGAATATTTCTATACAGATCTTATGTAGGAGACCTGTGTAAGTAATGATATTTTTTAATTATGTTGTAGGACTTCCAACAACTACAAAATAGTTTCGGGCGTGATTAAGGACATATCTCCCTTCATGTTGCACTTTCGAATGTTCTTGCCGACTATCGCGACGTTAGCTTCCCCCGAACAGCAACGTGATTGGCTTAAGAAAAGATCGCAGATGATTGGAGCTTACGCGCAGGTATATACCACGTTTTTGCGTCACAATAAAGTAGATGATAGCTATTATACATGCCACATATCACTACACGGTCCGGATTTAGAGGAATAGGAATAAATAGAATCGGAAACAACAATTATTCAAAACTTTGTTAGTGTTTACTACTCTGAATTCGATTTTTTTTTTCGAAGTCTCTATTGGGGGTGCCCCTGTTTTCTGGAGGCCCCATGGACTGTGGCCCCGGTTGCCTTCCCCTAAATCCGGCCCTGTCACTACCATCCTATTTATTGCTGGTATACTTTTTATTTACCAAAGGCAATACAGCTGATGTGTCGCGATTTGGAATTGTTTGCGAATTAATGCATTCAAATTGTAATGTGTGTTATAATATCTGAGTGACGATAATGGCGCTAGTCCTTTAATGCAACTCAGCATATTTGCATTAATTAGAATTGCCGGGGTCAGATACCGAACTATCGACCTGCTTTGCATTAAAGTTTGTTACACCTTTTGTTCACAACTGTATTTAACTTTTTCAGACTGAACTTGGGCATGGAACATTTCTGAGAGGCCTAGAAACTACGGCTACATACGATTCAGCGACTGAAGAGTTTGTTATACATAGTCCCACGTTGACGTCATATAAATGGTGGGCCGGTGGATGTAAGTTACGTTAAAAGATAGCCGCCTACCCTTCTTGCATTTTAAAATCATTAGCGTTATGTAATTTTCGTAATTAATTTTCTGAGTATTTAGAATCTTTAACTGGTTAACTGCCTTCTAGTTGTTTTGTCATTAATTAGAAATATTGCTGAGGTAACATCAACTACATTATGGATGTGGTTTGTTAAAAAAAGTCGATTTATGTAAACTCTTAGTTTCAAATGCTTACATTTATAGATATAAAACAATAAAAGGACTGATAACATTAACATATAATCAAATTAGAATTGATAGCAGGTATTTTTTTTAAAAAAAATTAAGCGGACATAAAATTTTCGTTGTTTCAGTGGCACAAACTGCCAATTACTGCATAGTGATAGCTCAGCTATACATCGGTGGGAAGAATTATGGTATCCATGCATTTCTGGTGCAAATACGCGACTTGGAAACACACAAACCGCTGCCGGGGATTAAAATTGGCGATATTGGGCCGAAACTCGGGTTCCAAACGGCCAACAACGGTTTCCTTGGATTTTACAAGTATAGGATTCCCAGAACGAATATGCTCATGAGGAATGCTCAAGTGCTTAAAGTACGTGTGGAAATAAATGGTCATTACATTGATATCGCTCCTTTTCGGGCATAAAAAGTAAAAAGTAAAGCCTTTAAATGTCCCAATGCTGCATAGTCCACCACGCAGCCCACTGCGGATTGGCGGACTACACATATCGTCGAAATGTTTACATTTTTGTGATTATTTCGTCAATACGCAAATTTCCTCACGATGTTTTCCTTTACCGCTGAGACTGTGATAAGTCATCACCGGGAATTGAACTCTGGTTGCTCGAGTGTATTGAATTAAAAGCAAGCGCCTGGACAATGCAGTATCACGACTCTATGGCATTATATTTTAGCAATTTATAGTTTAATTTTCAAGATTTATGAGACATCGACAACTTATATTAAGAAAATATTTATATCATAAAGGTTTTTTCGCAAAATTAAGTTTAAATTCAAATAAGTGGGAAGTCGTTGGATGCAGGTGGCTCAGGATCGTGCTTCGCGGCAGTTTATGTGTGTTCAGCAGTGGCGTCGAACAGGCTGAAATGATGATGATGATGAAGTTCACATGTTCAAAGCATTTTGACGAGGCTGTGGCGTAGAATAAAGAATTTAGTACTTAATCAATTACTATCTTATAGCTCTATAACGTGATTACCATGAAAAAGTGTTAGTACTCATGTATGCAAATCGTGAGAAAATGTTTTGTACTTATATTCACAGGATGGGACTTACGTTAAAGCTAAAAATGATAAACTCACTTACGGTACTATGGTTTTTGTACGAGTTACTATAGTAGTGGATGTCGCTTTCGAGCTTTCGAGGGCGGTTACAATAGCTGTGAGATACGCCGCTGTCAGACATCAATCGCAGCCTAAATCCGGGTGGGTATTTTAAATGAATAATTGCGATTATGACAAATGCTAAATTATGATAAATGAAAAATTTTAAAACATTTACTACAACATCTGCACATGCGAATAGAATCCAGTTTCTAGCCCTGAACGTTAAATCTTTCCTACAAGCTCAAATGTTATCGTGAAATATTATGCCTTTTTTACAAGAAATTAAACACAAAATGGATTTTTATAGTAGCACAATTACCCGTTTCCAAACAGCTTCATATTTCGATGCATTTTTTTTAAATATTGCCCTTACTTTAAGATAACATTATCCTGTGTTGTAAGGACGTTTTACAAATATAAATTTCACGTGGACAAACACCCAGTGTGGGTCACACAAATAGTTATCCCGTGTGGGTATCGAACCCACGAACCCCAACGCCGAAGCCAATACCACGGAGTCATCCAATCCATCTGACGGTTGACATCAGGCAGGTGGCCGTTCGTAGGTTGGATAAGTGCGGTGGTTGGAGAGAGATGTTGAAATCTCTTTTATTGGGCTGTTATCTTTCTGAACAGATAGATACGTATTTTGATTTTGTGAGAAGGTGGCAAACGAGCCGGTGGTTCACAACAACGCCAATGAACATTTGCAAAACCCGTGGGGTCGAAGATGCGTTGCCACCTTTTAATAAATTGAGCCCCGGTTACCTCACCCATCTGTAGAACGCAGAAGTGTAAACTTCTACTTCACACTGGTCTCTGTGAACTCGTGGTACTTACCTGAACGGACTTGCCCATTCATGAGCTGCCGAAGGAGTTGCGTGGCCCTACCACATAAAAAACGGATGTGGTACGGCCACGCAACATTTATTAGTTTTTACTTTAGGGAAGGGGAATGTCAGATTCTGGACTACGTGACGCAACAGCATAAGCTGTTCATAGCTATTGCTACAAGCCACGCGTTCACAGCCGTCGGCAGATGGTTATGGAAGACTTATAAACAGGTGGAAAACGATATGGGGAAAGGATGTATGGAGCAACTACCCGAGGTACACTATTCTTCCAAGAAAAACTTGGTTTATTTGGGAAAGTTTGTCTAAGCATTGCCAAAAGTGGGGTCGAGGTACTTTCCTGAGCCTGCCCATTCGTGCAACATCAGATGCTGCTGCGTGGCCTTACCACTCTTCTGATGTTGAAAATGGGCATCAATATGAGCTCCCATTTTAACGGTGGTAGGGCCACGCAGCAGCCTCGGCTGTTGCACGAATGGGCAGGCTTGTCCGGGTAAGTACCACGACCTCACAAAAGACCGGCGTAAAGTGGAAGTATAATACTTTCGCGTTTCGTCTGGTGAGTGAGGTGTCCGGAGCTTGATGAAGAAAAGGTTGTCAACGTATCTGGAACCCTCGGGTGTAGCAGACGTCCATGGGCGGCGGTATTCACTTAACCGTTTGCTCGCTTGGCAACTTTTCACATTAAAAAAAAGCTGCATCAATAGAGCTCCCTACAAAATATGATACTTTTTAATCTGTTTCTTGTACTCTCCTTACATCAATTTTAAACTTGCAACAAGTTTGTCTATCTTATTAATTTAAAAAATCAAATAAGCGTCATCGGCAAACAGATTTTGAAATGTCCTCTCCTCTGTAAAAGGAACGTAATTAGCATATGCCACGGTCAAAAATATTCTCTGAAAACTGTCTTCGACCTCCGATTAATACAGTCTACGTTCATCGGGGTCATGGTCCGTACTGAATCTCAATTGCCCCTCCCTATAGATAACGCACGCATGAGCATATCCGCGGTCCTACCCAACGCTGAGGCTCGTATCAAACTTGTGGGCTCTGTCTAACCCTCGAGTTTTGCGTTCGATGAAACTTTGATCGTCTGCGAACTGAAAGCAAAAACATCGATATAAAGTTTTAAGTCATCAATTCCGTGAAATTTTATTTCTTAATTATTTTGTTTGGTTGCATTAACATTATCAAACGCAAAGTTATTACTTATTTGTAGTTTTTTGTCTTTAATTCCGTAAAATTTTAATTCTTAATTATTATGTTTGGTTGCATTGCTGTTAAAAACGCTAAATTATTACTTATTCGTGAGATGTTGTAATTTGTCCTTTGTTTTTATTGGTTACCTTGTACTCTTATCTTGTTTTGTTACAGTTACACGCCCTAGCGTGTTGTTTGAAGGCGGTGTGTAGTAGAGATGCAACAGTGTGCGTGGAGCAATGTCGCTTCGCTTGCGGAGGGCATGGCTATATGACTTCCTCCAATCTCCCCGTCATATATGGTATAGTCTCAGCCACAGTCACCTTTGAAGGGGAGTACACTGTGATGTTGCTCCAAACCGCCAGGTAAATACATACTCGTTTCGTCCTTTACAATGAAAGGGAATCGTTAAAAACAGTCTGAATCAAGGAAGTAATCAAAGAGTAAGGAAAATAAGAAAGTTAGTTTTTATTTTATTAATTATTAAAAATCAGCAATATTGAGATACAATGGAACCCCGGTATTCCAGCGCCCCCTGTAATGTGACAAGCCTATCACTGTGGGTATGTTTTGAATGTAGGCACAAAAACATTATTTTGGCAAATCTTCACTAATGCATGATTGCTGTTTTATTGCGACTGTACGCGCCACCACTACACTGTATTGTGTCTCGACTCGTTTTGTTTACTTAACTCGACACAAATATGTAGTAGTATAATTTGTAGTTCAGAGAGAATCTTATCATTTGTTGGGTTACAAGGCACACTTTTTCAATAAATTCCGAACTATAGCGGGGTACTCTATAATCCGACAAATTCGATAGTCCGACACTGCCCTGCAAAACGTATGTTGGATTACCCGGTGTTACCCTAGTTATTAAATTTAACTCTCTAAAATTCTACGGCAACTCAACTTATCTCAATCAAAAGTCGAAATGACTATGTTTGTAAGAAGTAAAAGAGTATGACGTAAATTTTTTCGGTTGTGCTTTTTTCCATTATTAGATAAGCTTAGTTTTCTACAAAACGATGAGATACAAATTATTTCCACAATTCTTAATTAAGCAGACGGACAAGAAATTGATCCTGTTGGGATTTCGTTTATACCGAATATGATGCGGAACTCTAAAGAGAGGAATGTAGAGTTTTAGTGGACTATCACTACATAGTATAAAAAAGTCGTCCCGCTGTCTGTCCATATGTATGCTTAGATCTTTAAAACGAAGCAACGGATCTTGATGCGGTTTTTTTACTAGATACAGTGGTTCAAGAGGAATGTTTATATGTATGATACATTGCAACCGGCGGGTCGCTAGTGATTTTAGGTAACTAACGTTATGTTCTCGAGATTCGTTAATCATATCATAGTTCAAGTATTTTTAGAGTTCTTCCAGGCATGATTATAAAATGATTTTCGACTAACGAAGTATTAAAAATATTATTTTGTCTATCGTTTGTCTTAACTGTCACTGTTTTGTCAAAATATGTACCACTGAAATCAATACCAGTTAGGTACTTTAGTGCTTATATTTTAACTTTTAAGATTATTTAAAATACGCGCAGGTTTCTAGTCAAAAGTTTCCAAAGGGCGGCAGAAGGGAAGGCTTTGACGCGTTCATTCGCATACTTAGCAAAGTTTTTGGATAACTATAAGGAGCACATTTGCGAGTGTACTCCACAAGGAATTATCGACGGCTTCCAATTGGTGGCGGTGGGGTAAGGGTGTCATCATTATTATTGTAACTCTACTAGAGAAAGTATGCACTCGAGGCTTTAAGCATGGTGAGGATGGGTATAAATTGAAAATGCTGTTCATTCTATGTTAATTATTTTAAATGTGAAACAGTTATGTCTTGTAAATTTAGATGGAGGGTAGAAATTGAAAATTCTGTTTATTTTATGTTAATTATTTTAAATGTGAAACAGTTATGTCTTGTAAATTTAGGAAAACAAAGGAGGCGTATAAATCGATTTTGGAACATATAAAATCGGGAAAAGGTTATCAGGATGCGTGGTTCCTTTCTTCAGTGCAGCTGGTCTATGCTAGTGAGGTAAGAAACCTTTGAATGTGCTGTAAATTTTATCATTATATTAGCTGAATACGGCCACGCTTCGCTCGACAACTTCGAGCCTCGCAATAAAAAGCATATAAAATAGTCTCCTGTTAAATAGCTATGCCGTGAAGAAACATCAATTCAATCCATTGAAAAGGTTTTGAGATTTGTTGACACAAAGATTTACGAAAGATATAAAGAACATTACACTTAATATATTATAAACAACATCGAAGAAAGATATATTATAAAGAACATCTTTATACTTAGTGTAAAACATAGTCGCTCCCGATATTTGTACACTTACGATTTTGTTGTTTTGATTGTACGACCATTCTAGTGAGTAATGTAGGTAAATTTAGTATAGTTATTTAGTTGTTGCATTTTGAGCTTTTGATATTGTCGCATAGCCGACATCTCAGCGACGGAGAACACGGTTTCAAAGGAGAAATAACAACCCTCTTCAAAAATATAAATCGTGATATGATTGAATAATTAAAGTTCTCGTTCTTCTTATTAAAAAACTTACCCAGTTTGTTGTTTCTTACGAACAAAAATGAGTACTTTTTCTATTGTAATTTAAGGCCACGCACTAAGCACGTCTCTTTTTATTCATTTAAAAAGGTGTGAAACGTTTGCCTTATATTTTTAACTTTTAACGTTTATAAAAATTTAAAAGATTAAAGTCGCAAACATGTTCTTAATTTTTTTTTAATATCCTACGAGTTTTGCACAAAATTGCGATAAGGTTACCAAACTGAAAATATATTTTAAACTGAAAATTTCAGGCACATACTCGTGCCGTACTCTGCGACACTTTTTGGAGGGAAACGCAAAGAGTTATATCGGCTTTATCGAGTAGCTTGGCCACGGTTTTAACACTTTTAGCGGAGCTATACCTTACCTATTGGGCGTTAGAAAAGTGTGGTGATATGTTATTAGTAAGATAGTTTGAATGGTCCTTCTTAGAATAAGTCGATTTATCTCTGCATAGAAAATTAACAGAGTATTTCAAGTCATTACAGTATGTTTCTTTGTATGCATTCCTTGTATGCATGCCCAAGGTTACATCTAAAATTATTCAATTGTTTCTTTTCGATGTTTAAGTATTGAAAACAACCAATAGCACTATTCAGTACCAACTAAGATAGATTTTTTTTTATTTTTTTTATGTTAAAAGTTTTCAAACGAGCAGACGGTTCACCTGATGTTAAGTGAATACCGCCGCCCATGGACATCTGCTATACCCGAGGGTTTGCAGATGCGTTGCCAACCTTTTTGGAAATTGGCTCCGGCCACCTCACTCACCAGACGAAACGCGAAAGTATTATACTTCCACCATACGCCGGTCTCTGTGAGGTCGTGGTACTTACCCTGACGAGCCTGCCCATTCGTGCAACAGCCGAGGCTGCTGCGTGGCCCTACCACCGTGGAAAGTCAGAAAATTTTGGCGAAAACATGATATTCACATTTCGGTTGTGGTACAATCGTTTATCATGGTAGTGGCTCTTACTAATTATGTCATTTATCACGTACTTAATGAAAATAACTCTCTAATTACATTTGACGACTATTACATATATAATAGATAACTCCATAATGACGATTTAAACTCCTTAATGACATTAAAATCATAAAGCGATAATTAACAATCATGTTGAGCGTATTTAAAAGAAATCAAACAAATCATGTCTTTCCTTTTAGTATTCGTGTATGACGAAAGGGGGCGTTGATAAATTGCAAAAGAGGTACGAACAACTGCTGGCACTCATTCGGCCCAACGCCGTTGGACTCGTGGATGCTTTTGATTTAAGAGACGAGGTATGATTACAGGGACATTGAAATTGTGAAATATAGCTAAAGCTTTATTTTTTATGCTTCTCCCGATCAATGGAACTCAAATTTGAACAATGTGATTATAAAAAAAAGTTAACAAGATCCCCAGTTTCTTGCCGGCTATTCCCTGGACAGGTGTATCTTACTGTGTTAGGACCACACAATCACACAACAGTGTTCACTGTTGCACGAATGGGCACGTCCGTCCGGGTAAGTACCACGACCTCACAGAAGACTGGCGTAAAGTAGAAGTGTTACCCTTCTGCGTTTCGTCTGGTGAGTGAGGTAGCCGGAGCTCACTTTATTTAAAGGTGGCAACGCGTTTGAAACGGTGTCGTAAATGTCCATGGGCGGCGGTTATCACTCAACATCAGGTGAACCGCCGGCTTCTGGTTTGCCCCTTTTCACATAAAAAAAAGGATTATTGAATAAACTAATTTTTCCTTGGACTTTGATATTTCTTTATTACTCTGAAAAGCTATTATATTTTTGTTGTGGTACAACTTTTGCTATTGCACGAATGACCTGATGGAGAGTAGATTTATTCATACTTTTGTATTTCGTCGAGATATTAAGGTAATCTAGAGACACTGTCGTTGTGAACGAAAGTTAACTGATATTTTAAATATGGCGGCGGTAGTCGTCAGGTAAACTATCTATAATGGCTGCTTGTTTGTCATTTATTGTCGTGAAAAGTTTTTAAAAGAAATGACAACTAAAAAACTACCTATTTAATTGTCGGTGGATTATATTCTGTATAGAGTAATTATGCTCATAATAAGTTGAAATTTTTATTTTAGATTCTATGTTCAACTCTTGGTGCGTATGACGGTCGAGTGTACGAGCGGTTAATGAAACAAGCAATGAAAAGCCCCCTTAACTCGGAACTGGTTAACCAAAGCTTCCATACATACATCAAACCTCTTTTAACTAGATCTAAAATTTAACTTGAAACTTTGTTTACAACATTTTTGATGATTTTTTTATTTTGATATATTACTTTACATTTTTTTCTACTGTAAATATTTTTTAAACTTTTTTTAAAGATTTTGTTTTTAAAGTAATACATTTTATTGAATGTTATGAGCGTTTTATTTTTAATGATACTTCTACGTGAATAAATGTCAGTAATTTATTTAAAGGGAAGGTATCAAAGGAACAAGGGTACTTTTGGATATCCGCTTCCTATTTTTTACCATTATGCACCATTTTTTAACCCATTTTATCGAAACGTAAAGCAGTTATAATATCATTTTCTTTCACTGGGCTTTTTGTGTCAAATTCACCATTGGAACTCTAGCGTGCGTATTGATTATGAAAATCTTATGTAATCATAATGATTTTCGTAAAACGATCATTTTAATCAAAATCAAAAATATATTTATTCAAATAGACGCTTGCGCGGTCTTATGAATCGTCAAATTTTACATAAAAGATTGTATATAGGTTTGTAAGGTACCACCAGTTCGGAAACCAGTTGTAAGTTACCAGCAGTTTCTGTTGAGAAGAGGCCGGCAAGAAACTCAACAGTTGCTCTTTTTCAAAAGCAAAAGTTTACAATATAATATTCTGGTATAATAGTCTTATTCTAGCCTACGTGAGTATCAACAGTATTAACTCCACACATTGGCGTCGTGGAGATATTCCAGGTTATTTAGAATAGTCAATTTTGAGATTGTTTGCGTTTGTGTGGACAGATTATTTTAGTAACGTTATCGAAACTCAAAACGCGTAGTGTTATCTAAAAAACACGCAGCAATACATGTTTAAAATGAAATCATTCCTGTGGCGAAAATTACTGCAGTACGTTTACAGCCTTCGAGATGAGGTCAACGTACGAAACGCATGTGTGAGGATATCGTACCGGTCGGGTTCATCGGTTACACAAAGCAGAAACTGCGCCTAGGCTCTACTAAAATAAAAGTTCTTGCTGGCTGTTTGGTGTTTCACTTTTCGCGTAACACTATTTTACCATGTCGTAGCTTTCATTTGTATTCAAAAATTTTCTAGTTAGTAGTTTAGTACACAGCGACCTATACCTACTATAGCGGATAAAATTAATATGTCTTGAATTCTTGATCAAACTTTTTTGCAAATTAATGTAATTTCATGAAACGTAAATGAGCACTGATTATATTTTACATTAGTTATTTGTTTCTATAACCTAATGAGATAATAACGCTTGTCATTTGATCAACACAATACACAACGTCAGTAACAAACTAGCACTAGTCGTGTTAACCGCTGACAGCGTTATATTGACAAAAGAGCAATTTCTGATTGTTTTGTTTCTACTTAAGTGAACTAGTTGTGGTCAAGAGACGTATTTTTTTATGTTTCCTATGTAATTTATAAGCCGTATAAGGTATGTATATTATATTTACTTAATAAAAGGTGATTTTGTTATTATAAATTGTTATTGTAGTATATATCAGTTAATCAGATATATTTTACTTGATCTTGATACCTACTTGCTTCGCTAGATGGCATTATTTAAAAATTACAGATTACTCTTATAAAACAGATTAAAAATACTCTCATAAAACCATAGACCAAAAATTAAAATAACAACAACGTTATGGTAAAATACATACATCATATATTCATCCATATGGATATAATAAATGAAACCTGTCATGGTTTATCTCACTCTCTCAACTTTCATTTCAATTTTAGGACATTAAATTATTATTTTTAGGGTTCCGTACCTTATAAAGTAAAAAAAAATAACCCTTATGAGATCACTCTCTGTATGTCTGTGGGTCACCACCAATTCTCTCAGTCTATAGTCTGTAATAGTGTATAAAAATCAAGGTCCTCGACACGATAAAAGGACATGGGTAAATTTAGATTTTCGCTAAGACTTCTAAGTACCAAAATTAACCTTCATAATTTTCCCTTCATTTCTGCTGTAAGACATTGCTTTTAACCAAAATTGAAAATTCTAGCTCTACCGGAAGTACCCTATAGGTTCTGGCCCGAAAATCTATGTGGTACTTCCCGTTGACCTAAAATCACGAAATTTGGCAAAAAGTAAGGGTTTACAGCACAAATAAAGGAAAATTTTGGTACTTACAAGTTTTCGCGAAAATTTAAATTTGCCCATATCTTTTTATTGTGTTGACTCAGGACCTTGTTTCTTACCATAGATTTTTATACACCTTATAAGACCTACATACAAACTTTAGTATCTGGTATAAATTAAAACTTGCTTGGTCCACCCGTTCCTGAGAAAATCAGTGGTTTAACAATTTTATTATGGCGGTACGAGTATAGTAGGTAGGTACGGTACCCTCAGCGTACGAGTTCGACTCGCACTTGACCGGTTTTTTTTGTAGAAATTTTGTTAATTAAGTCATTACGCATGTTTTTAAGACTTTTTTAATTTATTTAGAATTTGATCGATTCCGTAAAGTCAACAGTAGATTAAATTATAAACCTAATGGGTTTATGATTTCCAAAACGGTTAGTATATAGTAAATGTAGAGGATTGATTACTGTGTCAATAATAAAACTTAATTTGACTTTAATTACAATAATAATTGTAAGAATCACAAATTCAAATAAATTATCGTGGAATTTAATGTTTTCTTTTAATGTGAGAAGGTGGCCAGGGAGCTGGCGGTTCACCTGATTAAGTTTTAACCGCCGCTCATGGACAAAAACACCCGTAGGGTTGCAATTGCGTGGTCACCTTTTAGTAAAGTGACCCCAGCTACCTCACTCACCAGACGAAACTGTATAACAGTTCCACTTCACGCCGGTCTTCTGTGAGGTCTACTTACCCGGATGGATCTGCCAATCAGTGAAACAAACTAATCTGTTGGGTGGCACTACCACAGTAAATTAATGTAATTCATGAAGAAATAGGCAAAAAATAACATAATAAATATATTAAAATGATAAATATTTATTTGCTTACTTAAAGTTTCAACTTAATCTGAACTACTGAAGTTCAGATTAAGTTGAAACTTTGCACTTTGCTTGGACACAGAAAATTATATATGTAAGTACTTGGAGTAAGATCATTTATTATCGAATAGCGTACCTATCAGTCATTTCGTGGAGTATCCAGATAACGATATGTTTTTTTGATCTTTGATTTGCAGTATGGCTTGAAAATAAGTTGGCGAAAAACGTGTTTAATAACTTTAGATATTGGGGTTTTTGTGTTTATTTACAATTGACAAGACTGATAAAGGAGAAATATAATAAAGGTAGTTATAAAAATTAATAACATTTTTTGGCTTATTATAATTTATTTATCATTTTTTGTCACGTCATATTTATAACTGGGAATACTATTTAAAATTCAATTATGTGATATATAATGATGATGTTATACCTCTTTAGAGTATCAAAAGAAAAGTAACTTTGTTTGTGAAAATTACATAAGTTGCAATTGAAAACCGTTATAAGTTGTAATTATAGGAAAATGTCAAAAAGTTGTTATTGGTTGCCATGCTAATGCCGTGATGTTCACGTTATTACAATCATGTCGTTTTTTGGGAGTCGGTGTGCGCGAGCATCGTATAAATTTTACTCTCATATTTTTTCCGAACGCACCAAAAGAAGCATAAGTTCAAAATTAATAGGTAATTTCGTCACTCAAAACTGTTTTACTATTTTATAAATACTTTTTTCTTTTTATTCTTTTTTTTTAAACTTTGCCTTCACTTTAGGATTACACTATCCTGTGTTGCTAGGACGTTTTACATACATAAATTTCACGTGGACAAACACCCAGATGCGAAACAACTATCTGTGGGTCACACAAATAGTTGTCCCGTGTGGGAATCGAACCCACGACCCCTGGACGCCGAAGGCAATACCTTTACGACTGCGCCACGGAGTCATCAAATCATCATACTACTGTAGTAGAAACTGTACTGTATGTTGTCTTCACTGTATGTGCTTCTGCTGTTGGATGGCATCCATGGCTTAACATAATACCGGCGTGAAGTAGAAGGTATGGGCTTTCGCGATTTATGTTGTTGAGTGAGGTAACCGGGGCTCAATTCAGCCTAATGGAATTGTAGATACCTATGGGCGGCGGTAATCACTTAGGTAACATCAGGTTCCTCGTTAACAAACTGCTCATAGTAAATAGAATGTTACTACGAGGAACTGCCGTTGTTGTTTTTGTAGAACATCGTATTAAGTAAATTATAGTTTATTAATGATGGCAAATTAATATCAGTAAATTATGTTGATTACAATAACGTAAATTGTTCGTAATTATTTCTTTTATCAATCATTTTATTGATATATTAAATTATTGGTAATGAGATTTAGTGTTAATGAAATGTCTGGTGGTTAATGTAATATACAAAATTCTCGGTGTTTGTAATTGAACTCCTCCGAAACGGCTGGAGCGATTTTCGTGAAATTTTGTGTGCATATCGGCCAGGGCGGAGAAACGGACAACATCTATTTTTCATTCCCCTAAATGTTAAGGGTGCCCCCCCCCCAAACATTTTTTTCTACCCTACAAATAATTTATATGGCAAAACAACGTTTGCCGGGTCAGCTAGTAATTTTATAAAAATTTTTTTCACGTAATCCAATCGAAATGACGCTTGAAATCTTCCTTTATTAACCTTAATTTTCTTGGTTATGTTTTTATGTTATCTTAACGTGCTATTAAATTTCCATGTAAAGAAGCCATTATGTCGAATTAGGTTGTAATTACACGTTGATTATAACAATGGATCCCATTGCGATGTTTACTAAATTTCGTATATTTTCAGAAACCGGAACAAACGGTTTTTAGAATGTCAGATTATTAATATGATCTTGGGAACAACTTAGAAATAAATAGATATCTAAAGAGCATAAAATTTTGATGACTCTGGTTATTTGTTATTACTTATTAGCACATTGGTAGGTTTCCTAATAAAATGTATAATTAAATTAGTGACCTTAACTGTGACATGTGTAGGCAGAAATAGAGTTATATTCAGCTCCAGTCAACACTAACCGACTGGACCTTACTCTCCACATACATTTTATATTTCGCCTAAATGTAAATGGTGGGGCTAAATAGTTATATTTTGCTTTTAGATACCAAGATGTCTGGCTTTATAGTAAATGAGGACCTGGTAAGAGAAAGAAGTAAGTGCACGTTTGACATTAAAGAGCTGACACACTTGATAGATGGTGGTGAACAGAACACGCTGGAGAGGAAAGAGATTGGTGAGTATTTTAGTAGTTCTTAAGTTTTTAAGTTACCCAAAAAACAAAAAAATGCTTTATAGCGAAAGCTAATATGTAAATGAAGTTTTATCAAATAATTATTGCAACAATTGTTTTTAGAATAATTTAAAAATAAAGTAAGAAATAAGTTAAAGTGCATATGGTATACAGGAGTAGATTAAGAATCTAGAACTTTGATTCGAAAATATGTTAAAGAAAGTGGAAGTTATGAAATGTTATTGATTATTGGAACATCCAAGTGAATCTCAATTGTTAGATTTTTCGTTTATTAGTGGTTTCGGAGATAAGTTTCACGGTGGAAGGGCCACGCAGCAGCTCTATTGTTGCTCGAATGGGCAGGCTCGTCCGGGTAAGAACCACGATCTCACAGAAGACCGGCGTACAGTGGAAGTATAATACTTTCACGTTCCGTCTGGCGAATGAGGTGGCCGGAGTCCAATTTTCAAAAGGTTGTCAACACATCTGGAATCCTAGGGAGTTTCAGATGTCCATGGGTGGCGGTATTCACCTAATATCAGGTGAACCGTCAGCTCGTTTGGCAAATTCTCACATAAAAAAAAGTTATTTCTTGGCGTTTTCAATCATAAAATTTTACTTTCAGAGGATTACGTGTTGAGTATTAAAGAGCTTCGGGATGAAATTCCCGAGGAATACTTGAGTCATAAAGAGCGGTATGAGAACGCGGTAAGGAAAGGATGTATACTTTTTTCACTTCTTTTACAACGTTCCATAAAGAGAAAGAGCTCTCCAGATTCCGCGTAAGTATATAAATAGTTTAATTTTCGTCAAATTATTGACACTAATTTTGTAGAAAATTCTAAACATTTTAAACTGAAAAAAAAAAAAAAAAAAAATTTACCGCTGAAATGGGCCGTCGTATTTTGTTCGAAGGGTAAATTATTGTGCTTATATTGCTTTTTTCAACGTGTATTTAAATTTTCATCGTAGACGTACAGACTGCACAATTCTGTCTACTCTCTATTTTTCAGGATTTCAAACAACTATAAAGTAGTGTCCGGCGTTATAAAGGACATATCGCCATTCTTGCTCCACTTCGGCATGTTTCTACCCACGATCGTTTCGCAAGCCTCGCCTGAGCAGCAAGAACAGTGGCTCCAGAAAGGATGGCAGATGATAGGAACATACGCCCAGGTCTTGATCGATAACTAGTACTTATTGTCTGCTTTAAAATCAGTTTTTGATACCACACGTGTTTTTATAATAGTAACTAGTTGAACCCGGCCACGCTTCGCTAGGCTTAAATGGTACTTAAATACTTGGTAATAAAAAGTATATAAAACTCTCCTGTTCAATAGCTATGTTGCATGTCAATCCAACGGCTAGTCTTCGAGTTTCGTGTTCACAAACATCTGAAAACTAAACTTTTATATATAGAGACTGATACAATCGTGAGCCATATTACATCTAGTCCAAAAAATAATACTATGTGACAACCATGCTCTGTTGAGAGTGACACGATGAAGAATAATTCATAATTTGTTCTACCCCTTCATTAAGTAATATCAAGTCTGGCGTAATAAATAAAAATATTAATATAATTATTATAAATATATAATACATATAAGCATAAACATACACAAATATATACATACTTAAGTACATAGTATTAGATATTTTTATTTCAAGAAGGGGAAATTAAATAATTTTGTTTTATAAAGCCTCCCTGTGTATAAGATATGTGAGAATCCGACGCTTTTCCTATTTACAGACGGAACTCGGGCATGGGACGTTTCTTAGAGGCTTAGAAACCACGGCCACTTACGATCCCGCCACTGAGGAGTTCGTAATACACAGTCCCACGTTGACGTCATACAAATGGTGGCCCGGAGGCTGTGAGTTCATAAACCTTGTTTCTAATATCTGAAAACTGATATACAGCCATGAAATTAAATAGTGTTGCATATTTCATATTTTTTCTTCTTTCTACCGTCTTTATCGCAACTAGGTAGGGTCGGTAGATGTTGAATCTTATCCTTTAAACGAGCAATTCTTGTATATATATATATATATATATATATGTATATATATATATCGGAATCTCGGAAATGGCTCCAGCGATTTTCATGAAATTTAATATGTAGGTACGTAGATTCGGGGGCGAAAAATCGATCTAGCTAGGTTTCATTTTTAGATAATGCCCTTTTATCCCTGTTTTCAGGGAATGAAAAATATAATTCGAATATGACGGTAAATTTCGCCACAAGAGAAAATGTCATAATAGCTCAGTCGGTAATCGGGCGGCCCCAAAACAGACGGCCGTGGTTCGCGTCACGATCATTTACACATTTATTTTTTTTACTTTTTTTTCGATTCCAGATCATTGCTTTCTTTATTTTTAATTTGTTATTTTGTTCCCTTTTTTTTAAATTCTTTCTTTTGTGAAAAACATCAGTTCATATTTTCTTATTATTACGTCGGTAAGATCGAAAAATATTATGCTTATTTCATTACTCAGTAATTTGTATCTAAATGTAATTTCCAAAATACACGATTTACCAAAAAAAAAAAACAAACCGAGCAAAGGTCCTCCGGGTACTTATAATGATACTAGCTGCTGCCCGCGACTACGTCTGCGTAGAATAGGTTGAAGGCGTAACAGAAAGACAGGTATGCATAAAATATGTATATAAATTATAGCTTATGTCTTATTCTGATGTGTAACCTATAATATTGTAAAGTTTCATTAAAATCTATTCAGTAGTATTTGCGTGAAAGAGTAACAAACATCCATCCATACATACAAACTTTCACCTTTATAATATTAGTAAGGATTGGTAAAGGCTATGTTTTTTTACAACCGGCCGCCGGTAGGCCTGGTAAGGCATCAACCCTCCTTGCTAACAATGGAAATTCCGCTAGTAAACTTAAATTCAGTAGTTATAGTTTCTTATAGTGTAATTAGAATGCTATTCTATAGACAGTACCTCGTTCCGTATCTAACGTTCTATATCATCCGTCATAAATAATGTATAGCGGAACAATATTTTTTAAACGCCACGCAGCGTGGACATGCTTCATGTATATTATTAAACATCATTGCGTATATGTATGACATTCAGCAATTTTCTACTTATATTTTACCTGTTTTCAGTGGCACAAACTGCAAACCATTGCATAGTGATGGCTCAGCTATACATCGGCGGAAAGAGTTACGGCATCCATGCATTCCTGGTGCAAATACGCGATTTGGAAACCCACAAGCCTCTGCCTGGGATCAAAGTGGGGGACATTGGCCCGAAGCTCGGCTTCCAAACGGCCAACAATGGTTTCCTTGGCTTCGACAACTACAGGATTCCCAGAAACAATATGCTCATGAAGAATGCTCAAGTGCAAAAGGTGGTTTATCCAAATTACATAATAGATTGATTGTCAGAAAGATTTAACATTCAGTGGTATCAAATAAATAAAAGTAATATAAAATGTGAATGAAGACTTTTCACAGAACTATCCGTACCCACAGATGATAGTGATAGTTGTTAACATACAATCAAAACGTAAATGATTCTGCGTTCTAGGATAGCTCTATCTTATTTCTCTAGTATTTACTTATGTATTAGTACTTATGTATTAGTCACTTGTGTTTAAGTATTTAATCGCTATTTAATAACGTGTACATCAACTGTTAAATTACACCAAATGTTATTATCGAAAAGCGAAATTCGGGGGACTATTAAGCTAACTTACGGACGTTTCCAAGTAATTTTTACGTTGTATCCTGTTCAGGATGGAACCTATGTTAAGGCTAAGAACGACAAGTTGACATACGGAACCATGGTCTTCGTGCGTGTGACAATTGTGACGGATGTCGCGTTCGAGTTGTCCAGGGCGGCCACTATAGCTGTGAGATACGCCGCCGTGAGGCACCAGTCTCAGCCAAAGGCGGGGTAAGTATTACTAACGACGCCTATTTAGAACAGAACAATGATCTGTCTGGAAGAATTTTACTAACGATGCCTATTTAGAACAATGATCTGTCTGGAAGATTCTCAACAAGTAAATTTTCAAAGAGAACTTATTTGCTATAAAATTAGGGCTTTGTTTCAATCACCAATGAACTATCGGCTCGCTTCGAAATTTTCAAGAGAAAATATTTTCAATTTTGAAATGCACAAAGAAATTAAGCAACCGTGGTAGGGCACGCAACAGTTTTTTATGTGAGAAGATGACGGTTCTCCATCGACACAACGTCCCGAAGGGTTGCAAATGCGTTGCCGACTTTTAATAAAGTGTGCCCCGGATACGTCACTCTCTAGACGAGACTCAGAAGTATGACTCTTCCACTTTAGGCCAGTCTTCTGAGGTCGTGGTTCCTACTTCTGCGTTTCGTTTGGTGAGTGAGGTAGCCCGAAGCCAACTTTAACGATTACCATCAGGCCAATCACCAGTTCTCAAACTGAGAAATATCACATAAACTCTACTACTTGGTTATCACTGACATTCTATTATATGTAATGAATCTGCTTCAATAAGTATATTGGAAGCAGATTTATCATATATACTTTTGCTTCAATTTATTATTAAGTGAACGAAGAATTGCTATTGCTATTTAGAGAGCCGGAGCCTCAGATTCTGGACTACGTGACGCAGCAGCACAAGCTTTTCATTGCAATTGCGACGAGCCACGCATTCAGGGTGGTTGGCAGGTGGCTGTGGAAGGACTACACTCGGGTGGTGGCCGATATGGGTGCAGGGAACATGGACCAATTGCCTGAGGTTGGTGGCTTATCGTATTTTACTTCATATCTTACACCCCAAATCCGTAGCATTTAACATGTGTGACTCTTTAATTATCATAATATACGGCGTGTCGTTATAACCGTGACAATAAATGAACACACATCTAACGCTACTTGCCAATAATCATAAAAAAATATAAGGGTAAAAAAATTCATAATTCAAAAAAATTTTTTTTCGAACAAACAGCCCATCAATTCATTCAACCCATTCATATGCTTTGTGACCTTTACATATGAACTTTACGTTACAGTTTTAAACGTAAGGGTGTTCTAAAATTGTTTGTTTTGGAAAATTTTATAACTCTGTAAATATTGATGTTTAAAAAATGTAAATGTTTAATATAATTTTAAAAAGTTATCTTCTATAATATGTGTGTTCATTACTGTCGCGTTTGTAACGACACGCTGTTTATGTACATAAATATTAATAACATTAAAAATACGTCTGACAATGAATATAGCGAAGTTTAGTCCTAATTACATTTTATTGATATTGTTTCATCCAGCTAGTGTTTTAGTGAATCCAGTACTCTTAGTACTCTTCAACAACCAACCTGCCGTTTATGACGTATGAATGTGTAAATGTAAAGAACGATACATATTCCGCGGGTTAGTAGGTCCGATACTAGTTATTGGTCACTTTCATCGTCTGATAATCGACCACGTCGCTTGACTGATTCATACGGAAAACTACATAATCGACAGCGGAGATATCGTACAAGAAATGTATTTATTACATTCTCCGAAATATATGTTCTTTAATTCTCCGAGATCTTACGTAAGGCACTCAATCCGACCATTAGTTTAATGCACGTCTCTATAATATACGAGTCCAATTAGGATTAGAAAAAAATTGAATTCGATGACTTTTATCATAATAGTCCATTACTCTAACTTAGGTGTTACATGGAGGATGAAAGATACGTTAATTATAAAACTTTAACCTAGACTCACAATAATTTACTGAAAAGAATACAAAAGAAATAAATACACATTTCTTTAAATAACATTTTTTATAATTAACTCAAAATTTTATTATTGATAAAATAAAAAACACAAAACAGTAACGGATCACAAAACTAGCTATAGACAGTTAATACAACTCAATAATTGGACTATCGATTGATTTTACTGCTACAGAACTATTTTGTTGAGGAGTACCATAATTCTTATCGTCGTAATATATATTTTGAATTCGATTCCTAACTTGTTTACGAGTTTCGTTCCTTCCTCCTAGCTGCACGCCCTGGCGTGCTGTTTAAAGGCGGTGTGCAGTAGGGATGCGACCGCCTGCGTGGAACAATGTCGTTTCGCTTGCGGTGGCCATGGCTACATGATTTCCTCCAACCTCCCCATCATCTATGGAATCGTGTCTGCTTCCGTCACATATGAGGGGGAGTATACGGTAATGCTTCTGCAAACAGCCAGGTAAATATTATTTTTCAAATTGTAATTTGCTTTCTGCGTCTAATATATCTAGTTGCTAGTGTACTATAAAATTTAGATTTTATGTGAACAAGTGGCAAACGAGCTGGCGGTTCAACTGATGTTAAGTAATAACCGCCACCGTAGGGTTTATAAGCCCCGCGCCGTCTGGGTATAGATTGTTGTTATGTCATTTGGGAGCGACAATTATGCTTCCATGTTTATTTGCCTTCACTGTCCACGCACACGCCTCTTTCCTGCATATACCATATTATTAAATTTGACACCAAATTATGAACGCATTTTTTATCTAGATAATGCTTTAAAATGATCTGTGACCCTTTTTGTAACTCGTAGTTTGTTGTATTTAAATTCATTTTCATTATATTTTCCGCGGTTACGGAAATCATGTCGAAAATTTCCTACTTAATTTTTTACTGATGTAGAGTCAGATATATATTTATTAAGAAAGGTAAAAAATGTAGGTACTCAACTATTCCACGTTATCTTTGTCTACTATCTGTAGGTGTATGAATATTTTTAGATACCTCGTCAAATCCTACAAACTGGCGCTAGAAGGAAAGTCATTGAACCCAACAGTGGCATATTTAGCCAAGTTTATGAACAATAATGCCTTCAAATGGGAAAACTCACCTCAAGGAATTATCGAAGGCCTTCAAGCTGTAGCCGCGGGGTAAAAAAAATTGATTCAAACACAAATCTTTACTTAGATTTAAAACTTTTTATCTTGCATCAAACCGTTAAATTCCATTTTAATTCTCTCATCATTGCTTTGATAATAAATGGCACATACTTTATACCATTCATTTTTATTGATAATCAATTATACGTATAGCTATATATTTTGATTAATCACGTTCTATAACAAACATGAATAAAGTTAAAAAAAATATATGGTAAGCTTTTTCTTTGCACTATAGCTATCATACACTACTTTCTGGCCTTATGGTTAGTGGTGATAGAGTCATAGGCGGTGATTATTTTTGTTCAATAGTGAATTTTTAATGTCAGACATTTGCGTTTAGGAAGACAAACGACGCCTGCGAATCACTCCTTGCACACGTAAAATGCGGTAAGGATTACGAGGATGCGTGGAATCTGTCTTCCGTGCAACTGGTCATCGCTAGTGAGGTAATGAAATCAAGAAAAACTAACAATCTACTATCGAAATTTTATGAAATAGTTGCATATTTAATTTATTCTTTTAAAAATAATCATGAAAGACATAAAATGTGTATACAGTTTTTGATATTTCAAATATTTCACTGTCATAAAACATTTTGTTACTTTCAGGCACATGCACGGGCGGTATTATGTGAAATGTTTTGGCGGGAAATTCTAAAAGTCTCGTCAACTGTCACAAATAGTTTGGCATGCGTATTACAGCAATTGGCAGAACTATACCTCAGCTATTGGGCGTTGGAAAGGCGCGGTGATATTTTAATGGCAAGTTAATGTACATTTGGTGGTACTGATTTCAATTTTGTTTATCACGTTTCAATATTCACGCCCGGTTTCTGAAAAACCAGAATGATCTTCTTACTGATTAGAATAATCAGTTCAACCATCGTTTTGGCGACTCACATGACAATTGGAAAGCCATTTGACAGCTGATTAGTTGACATCTACGATAATCGGTGTTTCAGAAATCGGGCCTAAGCGTATTTAGAAATATTCATGGTCATTGTAGTAGGCTAATATGAATTAATACGTTAGTACGACTGAGACTTTGTTTTTTTTTTATGTGCGAAGGCCAGCGAGCTGGTGGTTCACCTGCTGTGATGACCGCCGCCCATGGACCAATAAATTAAGTGGGCCTCTGCTACCTCACTACCAGGACACGGTTTCGTGGCCCTACCAAAGCTATTGCTTAGAGATTATTCTAGATTGTTCTTTTGCAGTTCACAACTGCTTCAAAGGAAGACATGACTCGGCTGCAGCAAAGATACGAAGACCTACTGGCCCTCATTCGACCCAACGCCGTTGGACTCGTGGACGCATTTGATGTGAGAGATGAGGTATGTTAAGAAATGTAATAATTGTATTGTTTATTTATATTGTATCGTAAACAAATAATATGGTATTGTATTATATCGGGGGATTTTCTGCACTTTCCCAATCAGTCTGAATTATCAATGTAATCCATTATAGATTATATTAAAAGCGGGTTATCGTATTAATATCGAATATATTACTGTCATTGTTGTCATTGGATAACCTTGAGAAACTCAACTTTATTAATCTTTCATCACTAGTGTGAGTTAATAAAGAGTAACAGCCTGTTAATAAATAATACTTAGGTAGCATAAAGGTTTTATATCGACCATCTGCGAGGTTGGCTTAAGTCCAGCAATGGATTTATTTAATGTTATGATACTAATCTATCTTAACTCTTTTATGGATATATATATCTATATATAACTAGCTTTACGCCCGCGGCTTCGCTCGCATTGAAGTCCTTAAATAAATATCTTTCTTTAATCTTTCAACCCTTTACAACATTTTTTTTCAATTAAAAAATAGCCTATGTCCTTTCTCGGACTCTATACTATCTGTGTACCAAATTTCATATAAACTGGTTCAGTAGTTTTGGCGTGAAAGCGAGACAGACAGAGCTACTTTCGCATTTATAATATTAGTTTGGATTTCGTGAACTGATCTCTGTGTTACACTATTTTTGGGTGTACACTGACAGGCCGGTTACCTGTCACCCATTGGGACTAAGATCTTTCTTGTGTACCTTGAATGTAACTGTCCACTTTGATAGATTTTAGGTGAGTTGAGAGCATTTTCTCCAAAATCTCTAATAATAAGAAGAAGTTTTATCGTTATTTACTGCCATTTTTATGTCCTGATAACGAATGTTGTCGATAGCAAATATGTATTTGCACCTACATGGAAGGTCATCGGTCTGAACAATACAATGTCATCGGAGTGATATAAGGAAGTTTTATTTAAACATTTTACAGAATTAGTCGCATATATTTTGTCAGAATTTAGATTATGTTTTCAGTGCTTTACTGAATGGACTGAAGCCACTTCCGTTCTATACAGAATGCGCTTAATCGTAGCTAAAGCCTTTCTTGATTCGACCATTTACATTTTAATCTGGGTTATAGTTTACTAGTTACCCGCCCCGACTTCGCGCGGGTGCAATGTATTATACATATGAACCTTCCTGTTGAATCACTTTGTCTAGTAAAAAAAGCCGTATCAAGATCCATTGCGCAGTTTTTAAGATCTAAGCATACATAGGGACAGACAGACAGCGGATTGACATTGTTTTATACGATGTAATGAAGAAGTGCAGATCCGTAGTCAGTAATTCGATAAGTACGTCTCTCGTCAGAGTTAAAGTAAAAATGACGCGTCAAGTATAGGCACATTTCGTTACATGCGAGAGAAGAAAGATAGTAGAAGTAACGTAGATGGTGATGTACGCACTCAATATAAAGCGATAAGAAATATTCAGAATACATTTTTAAAACTAGAGTTTTCCTCATACCGAATGTACGCTACTGCATGATTTTTTTACTGATGTAATTTTATATGTTTTATTTAGATTCTCTGCTCTACTCTTGGTGCGTACGACGGTCGAGTGTACGAGCGTTTAATGGAGCAGGCAATGAAAAGCCCCCTTAATTCCGAGCCGGTTAACCAAAGCTTTAATAAGTATATCAAGCCAATCGTGTTCAAATCGAAAATATAATATTTTTAGACGTTATTTTGAATGTAAAATAATCATTATTTTGTGTCTATATGTATATATTTACTTCGTATTTGTGTTATATATAATAAGAGTTATAAATATTTTTTTACATATTAAATTGTAAATATTTTATATGGATTTTTGTTCCTTAGTTGAATGGTAAGTTGAAGTGGCTTTAGGAATTTATAATAAAAATAATAAAACATTTATACATTGTTTTCTTTTAATCATTTATGTAGGACTTTTAAATATAACAAGTAAATATTAATAATATGTTAAAATATGTATCCTTGTAATGAATTTCAAATTTCATTTTAGTTGCTAAAAGGATGTTTAAACTCTTTGAATTGATCATTCTTATCATAAAGAAGATCATTCTGGTCTATTCAGAGAGTTTAACCATCTTTTTGGTACCTAAATTGTAAGTTGAAATCCATTTGACAGCTGATTAGTTGACATCTACGTTGATCAGTGTTTCAGAAACCGGGCGTAAGTGTATGAATGTGAATTAGCATACAAGACGTGCCAAATTCGATTTAAGTACTAAAAGGCACATTGTTCCCTTTGGGAGAAAATAGTAAGGTACTTGTCGCTACTACTACTATCGTACTAGTCGTCGGAGTTGACATATTTTTGAATGGGATTCAAAGATTTTTCCTTCATCGCTGAGCGCCTGATAGCACAGTAGTCAGCACTCAAAATTAACTGTCTTATTCGTGCCAGCAACGGGGATCGAACTCCAGTTTGAGATTGTCAGCTTTTCTTTCGCCTTTCTTCGAAATCACGAAGCCTTAGGGGTCAGGTTAGATAAGTAATCGGTTAAAAATATGTTACAAAACAAATTCCCAATAACTGTACACAGTAAATAGTCCACATACCGAAGATAACTTTGTAAAACTAAGCCTTTTTACAGCGAAAATTTAAACTACGCCTTTTTTTTACCAGCTCTTATTGAAGACTTCGTCGCCTTTGCAGTAACAATGGACGAAAGTACACGTTCCGATACCGTTCAATTAGTCACTTTTGAGGTTACTTTATGTGAAAGATTATATTTATATACTTTATGAGAAATTATATTTATAATTTTAATAATGTGAATTTTTCCTCACAACCTAGAGCGCCATTGACAATGTAATGCTTATACAGCGTGTCTTTACAATCGCGACAATAAATGAACACACATATAAGAGATAACATTTTAAAATTGTATTAAACATTTACATTCTTTAAACATCAATATTTACAGAGTTATTAAATTTTCCAAAACAAAGAATTTTAGAACAGCCTTACCTATAAAACGTATGTAACGTAAAGTTCATTTGTAATGGTCACAAAGCATATGAATGGGTTGAATGCATTTAAAAGAGACAAAACATACTGTTAGAAGGAGAGGCTTTTGATACGACGCTGTGGTGCGAGTTGTATAGGATGTTACAAATTTACGTACGTACTAATTACGTTAATATTTTTTTATGATTATTGGCAAGTAGCCCTAGACGTGTGTTCATTTAATGTCGCGATGGTAACGACTCGCTGTATAAAGACTTGTAAATGTATGAGGTGCCCCTAGGAAGGAAACCGTACTCAAAATAGAAATGATGTCGGTTAGTGTAAAAGCCAAAATTGATGAATCTGTCGAACAGTTTACGGTTTTCGTTTTAAATAAAATGAGCGGAACATGTAACACTACGTTTTCTAGTAGACTATTCAACTGGAATTATCAGACTGACCAAAGATCTGTGAGCAGATTACATTATTCCTATTCTGCCAAACTTTCGCATTAAAATTACGGAAAAGGTATATACAACGTTATTTTATATAGGAATTTAAGCATTTAATGTTTTGAAAATGAAAATACATTTTTATTTTATAATTAATTTATTTTATAAAGTTATATGTTTAATTATTATGAAAGTATAAATCATGTGAAAACCTGCACATTTTCGAAATAATAACAAAAATATATATTTCGATGATATGTGAAGTCTGCCAATAAACAGTGTAGGGTCGTGTGGCGGACTATGCCCTAATACCTTTGCCCAGCAGTGAGACGAATGTATATAGGCTGTTACTTTACTTTTTATTTTTATTATAACTCTATTTAATTAAAAAATTTTATGTTACGGTTAGTCTTATTTTATTTTAAAATTAAAACAAATGTGTGAAATTCTGGCTGACGGTGTAATCCCAGCATCTTTCTTAGTTTTTAGGGTTATTTTTAATTTTTATTAGATTTTTCTACCCAAACTGACATTCTACTTGGATTGATTGAAAATGTAGGTATCTCTACATCACAAATTGGTGACTATGAGGCTAACTCAATTACGTTGTCTTCCGCTCAGTAATTATTGCAGCACTTTGCTAGTACGCCGGCGGCAGCTTTGCGCCCAGTGGAGACCAAATATTTATTTATTTGAAAAGTAAAGTGAGGGTGGCTTAAACAGTCGTCATCGATCTCTGCTTTTCTATGTAAATTATGAATGCGAAACGATAAATATATTGCGTGTAATTTCATCTTGTAGTCGTCGGTAAAACTGTCTTATTTTCAAACAATAAATAATATGTTAGTGTGTTAGCCACATACACTGGGTCACAATTTCCATTAATTTTTAACCGTAATATTTAAGACGCACTTGAAGTGTACTTTGTTAGTGACAGACGACCGCTCTTTGTATCTCAATGACATTCTACGTTTGCACGTAAGAGTGCGCATGCACCGATAAAATGCATAGTTGTGTATGGTAGAGAAATAATTTTGAGTGAGATGTTTTTTTTTGTTTACAAGTAACATTTCTATGAGGCTCCAATAGTTTCTCCAAATGTTTTGTCAAGTTGCCTGTTTTGTTGACGAGATCAGTAGCACACAAGTTAGGGTTTCGATCTTTGGGTAGGACATGGGTCTTCAGCCACCTCACTCACCAGGATGAAAGCCTCTATAATTCTAAGTCTGTTATTGCTCTACCATGGAAAAAATCGGAATAAGCTTCTTTAAATGCTGATTTCTTTCAGCATTGTTCATTATTTTGCGGATGACAAGGTCTGTCCCACCATTTTTTCTCGTATCATTTCACTCAATTGATTCGTATTTCTGCTTTTTTGCTATAGAAATGTACCTGCATCAAAACCATCGCCTTATATCTGTTCGAGGATACGGCAGTGCGTTATATATTCTATAACCTTACGCTATGTTCGGTAAGAAGTCGAGACACACTCGGGTGCCTATGACCACTCCGTTTAGCCTTTTAGCTTCTCATAGGCGCGAAAGTTGATAATTAATTTATCATACGTAATTTATGTGCAAAATCAAATTACTCACACTCGTTCGTAGCCGATCGGAGTTCCATTCCTAGCCATTTAATTTGCATAAGTCGTTTATTCCAGCCAGTATCGGTGTTCACGTTTCGTCGAAATGTTCAGTTCAATTGTTCGGACCGCGCGAGTAGCGTGTGCGCTCCTTTGGTGCATAGCGGTTTCGCGCGCAAATAAATTGAGATGGATGCAGAAAAGACAAGAGCCGAGGTGAACCCGGACTTGATGGGTGAACGGCTGAAATGCAATTTCAACATCGAAGAGGTCACGTACATAATCGACGGGGGCAGAGATAAAACTCTGCAGCGTAAACAAGATAGGTAACTAATATGATAATATGATTGTGAAGCATGGTAAAAGTATCGTGAGAGTAAAACAATAAGTGATTTTCCATCCCCAAAGGATTAAAAAGGATTAAAGAAGGATGTTAAAATTTTTTCCACGTGTTATTTTGTATCCTCAGGAATTTTAATTACATAATAATAATAATGAGTAACATAATAGATATGATTTTACTGAGAGCTTAAAATGTTAAAAAATTGCAATCGTTCAGAAAAATAATTACTTAAAATTAAGTAAGATTAAGATAAAATTATCTTAATCTGATCCATCGCTAGGTAATATGCACTATACGTGGTAACACATAAATAATTTTCGTCAAATATTAACTTCAGATATTTTATGCTAGTCCCGACATAGTGTTCGCGATGAATCTATAAATCTCACAATTACATTCAAATTAAATTTGTTGCCGTCAAATACTGGAAAAAAGGTAACGGGCATGTTTTTGTAGTCATGTATGAACATTTAATTTTTCAACAAAACTGAATGTTATGCTTCACCGACAGGTTGAGTTAACAGTTTGAACAAAAACAACACTTTTTATTTAGATGAAAGTGTTAGCGTCTATAAAGTGATAACTAAGATTTTGAGGTTGTAAGTGATTCTCTATTTTGAAAAATATCGAGTCCTGGAAGTATTTAATTAAATATTTAATATGATTCCGAAATATCCGGAATTGGATTCAGAGAACCTGATGAGCCAGTTATCTACGTAGGGATTTAAAAATCTTAATACGAGTTATTATACAACTGTATATATCACTAGGATTTACTGAACGTATAAAAATAGGTAAGGAAGGCCATACAAATCTAAATATAATATTAAATATACACACTTGTATTTTACGGCTTTTGCGTTATTACTTTACATAAAGACTATTACTGTACAATATGACATCACATTAAGTATTAAAATCATTGTAAGCGATTATTGCGTTATGTTTTAAAAATAAACTTTTTAAATACAGAAATAGTATTCATTCTTGTTTTTTCTTGTTAAAAATAAAAGGTATTCTAGTTTTGTTGTTACAATTAATCAAATTAAATTTTCAGTTTTGATTTCTCCGTCTCTATTACAGAATAGAAGGCTCTGGAAACATAATTGTTTAAATTCACCTAGCAAAGATAATATTTAAAGGTGTAAAAGTATCTAATTTAAGTACTTATTGCAAATTCAGTTGCATTAAAGTAAAAGTGCCATTTTAGAGATAAGACAATTGTTTTGCATTCAGTTAGGCCTGTTCCTTCATTAAATATGCAACAAGATAATCTAATTAACTTCTTATCTCTTATGGATTATTTTACTGCTGTTTTTTTTAATCAAGGTCAATTTTTTGCTTTGCTTTTTTGCACTCTCCATGATTAGTACTTTCATTGTTACTTACCTGCATCCAACAAAAGGACAAAACATTCTTTACATAAATGGATTATAATTAATTTTGGGTCGATGACTCTATTTGTATTCGAAGGGAACAACCGGGTCAAAAAGGCTAAGAAATAAATATTAATCAAGTCACATGTTTTATCGACCCACTTTTGTTAAAGAAATCTGAGAAAATTACTTGATATTACTATTATTATGATATATGTTTAAACGATTTGTGTGTGTACTTATATTTTCTTTACGGGATCCAAAACGGTTGGATCGATTTTGATGAAATTTTAATTAGGGCTAACTGTGCAAAGACTGTAGGTCCATAAAATAGAAATAAACTTAGTAAGAGATAAAAAGTTCTATTATTAAAACTGAAAAAACATTATTTTTGCTTAATAAATGCATTAATAAATAAAATTCATGAAATTCATTATTGAATATCAGAACACGTTTAACTTAAACAAAAATTCAACAAACAGCATTCGCATATTAATTGCAATTTATAACCAAGAGATGACAATATCGTATTTCAGAGGATATTGCCTTGAACAGCGGAGCTTCAGAAGACTCTGTACCAGAAGAGTGTTTGAACCTGAAAGAGCGGTACGAGAACGCTGTCAGAAAATCATGCGTGTATGCCAACATCGTTAAGAATGAACTGCTCGAAATTACTGGATTGGAAGCACTCGGGTGAGTTAGTTACAATTATAATTACTAATATCTCTACATAATTATAATTACTAATGTCTCTATAAAATTCACCGTTTAGAAAATAAAAGTCTCTCTCAGCAGTAAACAGCAGACTAAGGGCGGTTGGATGCTTCTGAGCCACGCGTAAGACATGTGGGCGACATAGTTCCAACCGAGAACATTACACGTACTCGTAATTACTTACAGCTAGGCTTGGCTAGGCTTACGAGAATACAAACTCGGCGAACCCATCGCGACGTCAGACACAGCCACGTGACCTAAAGTCAGTTTTGACAGCTTTCAGCAACAGATTAGACATTCAGTGTTGGGGTTACAACGTATATCAAAGAAAAAAAGTGGATGTATGCATATTCTTGCTTTCTAGGACCACGAAGTTTTAGTTTAGCGCCATGATTTAAGGCTTTATCCGATATAAAGGTAGAAGTTATGAAATTGTATCACAGGATAAAATTAGATCAAAACTAAAAACGCCGTAAAGAGTCGATATATTAAAAAACAGGTACAGTAAATGAAATTATCAACGTTTGAGAGCAACTGAAAAATTATATAAAGGAATGGTAATAAAATTGTGTTGAATTTTTGATTCACTCCAACTCATAATTGTTAAGTTAGCTAGCGTGCGAGTGAGTCCCTGATAGTACAATAGATGAGACAAAACACATTTTCCATCCGTGCCGATTAACATGAATGTCCCGAATCCATACATGATTTAAAAAGGAAAAGATTTTTTTTTACCCTTATATCTGTTAGGAAAGTGGGTTATTTTCACCGTTTATACACCAAACTTATAGGAAGTTATAAACACAGTAGGTCAAACGATATCGCTTCTTTTGTTTTCATTCAATGTGTGTATTTCAGTTTGAACTTTAACATCCAATGCTACTATGGTAATAATGTAATTCAAATACATTCTGTATCCACAATTGTTGGTTTGAAATTGTTTTTTCTGAAGTATAACTATTTAGAAATTTCAATTAGTTCAAAAATTTTGAATGATAATCTGAATCTGGTACGTACTTCTGACCTCATTTTTTTTCAAAGATTATTTTTAATTTTTTCAAACATTACGGATCGTCTCAATACAATAACATATTCACGAGCACTAAAACTGTTCGCTGAACGCATAATTACTAACACGCTTATCAATAGAGTGACCACTCTTAACGGGAACGGGAACAATGTTTGAATTGATATTTTTCTGGTTGTTTCTTGTTAAAATAACATATTAATATTTTAAAAAAATATGGAATGCTCAATTAACATAATGTCAAAGTATGTACTTAGTCAAAAAATCATCCTGTATAGATAAGTGCAATAGGAGTGACAGTCAATTAATGCGTTCATTTGCATTTGACCCGTCGTCCAGGACACCTGTGCTACGGCGCACCGCGGACGCTTTCTTCAAGGAAGTGTCCCCTTTCATGCTGCACCTGGGCATGTTTGTACCGACCATCATCGGTCAATGCACTCCAGAGCAGCAGGCCAAGTGGCTGCCCCGGGCGCTCGAGATGCAAATCATCGGAGCATATGCTCAGGTACATAAGAATACCTAAGTGAATACGTTTCTTTACTGTGTGAAGCCATGCTGGCTATCGCAGTGTAGGACACCCACTAGATGGCCTGTGCATGTGTGCGGGAAGTCGATGGAAACAGGTGGCTCAGAATCGTGGATCGTGGCACTCTGTGGGGGAGGCTTATGTTCGGCTGTGGCAAACAGGATGAAACGATGATGATGACAGTCAGCTTCTGATGTGGCATGGATCAGAAGGACCGGAAGAGTGTGAGAGCCCTGCAGAAGAGAAGAGAAGTGGAATTCATTGTACTTTTATTTTTCTAAAGGTAGCCGTGGACAATGTTATTAAAAAGTCGGTAACGAATCTCTAGATTAAACTTAATAATCTGTGTCATTCCGTTCCAGAATTTGGTCCTTATTAGCGACACTATCGAATGGTATAATAATACAGTGTATGGTGCAACTATACGGGTTCGATTCCTGGCTAGTCAGTTTTTCATCAAAATTGGTCCCAATATTTCTTTGAGTATTCTTCGCTATCCTGCATAGCTTTGGATTTAGAAATTAATGCTAATTTTAAAAATTCATCCTTTACACTTTAAAGGATGTGGAAATGAAAATTACTAAGAAAAAATGTTTATTTTTTAAGTTAACTATGATACTTGTTAGTACTCTCCGATAAATGCGTCTGTATTTCATTATACGTTTAGCATGCTGGCGTTATGTCAATATGGCCGTATACGAAAGAATAAAATGAAAATAAGTAATGGAAAATATTTGCTAATAATGTCTTGGCTTCGATACACACACGTTACAGGTTCGACCCACGGATAACTGTTCCGGGTCTGGGTGTTTATTTTCAAGGGGGTAGACGTCAAATAGTCGGCAGTTCATATAAAATCTAGCTATTACTATAAAGAGCCGTGATAGCTCAGTGTCCGGGCGCTCGCCTTTAATTTAATATACTCGAGCAACCTGAGTTCGATTCCCGGTGCCGGCACCAATGAAATTGTCAATTTTAAGTGCTGAATTATCACGTGCTCAGCGGTGAAGGAAAACATCGTGAAGAAACATGCATATTTTCGAAATAATAACAAAAAAAAATATTTCGAAGATATGTGAAGTCCACCAATCCGCAGTGGGGCCGCGTGGTGGACTATGCCCTGATACCCTCTGTATAGAGGAGGCCTTTGCTCAGCAGTGGGACATTTATAGGCTGATACTTTACTTTTTTTACTTTTATTACTATTAATAATATGGTTGATATTTTGTGCGGATTCCACCTTAGGTGGGATAAGGGCTTGAACGTGAACTTCTTTAGTATAGTTTCAATTTAATAAAATATATTTAGGCTATTCAATTGCGTCAAGTTTTCCACTGTAGTAAAATACGCCTAAGAAAGCTAAATAAAGATATGTATGTCAATACATACATATCATTTCCACCACGATTTTACTTTGTTTTGGAGTTTCAACTTAAAGTAGACCCAGAATAAGATTTTAGCAACTTAGTCCGGCCGATATTGTCCTTTATACAGTAGTATAGTGCTAACCGATTATGTTTCAGACCGAGCTGGGTCATGGCACATTTATCCGTGGCCTAGAGACAACCGCCATCTATGATGCGGACACTGAAGAGTTTGTGCTTCACAGCCCCACGTTGACTTCCTCTAAATGGTGGGCAGGGGGGTGTGAGTAATTTAAATACACCACATAAGATATAATTAGGTTAAAACACACGAGATATAAGTAAATTAAAAGATGACATTATTAAAATTTGCAGAAAAGAGAACGAAAATGTCTTCGGGATTCGTGCCCTTACGCTTTATGCTAAACGCTTGATTGCCACACCGACGAAAATCTCAATGCCCATTTATCTACATTGTTTTTAGCATTAGAAGCAATATAGTATTGAACGTACATATACTTGTCTGTATTCATCTCTAATAGTTTAATTGTTATACCAAATTTTTTCATTTATTTGTACTAAAATAAATAGTTAAGCATCTTCTTATGCATATGAAAAGGCAAAGACATAGATAAAATTGCTCGCATGTTTTTTCTGATCTGTATGTCAACTGATTTTCTTTATTTTTCTTTCGTTTACTAATTATTGAAAAGCTTTAGTGTGAATAATAAAAGTAAAAGATTTTTGCTAATTTTCAATAAAGATGATAGAAATTTTATTTCATACGCGACACAAAATATACTATGTATATATCTTTGGTAATATAGTGGACGTTACGCTTTTCGAGTTGTTATCAGTTCTCGTGAAATAGTATAGCCTTGTTTAAATTTTAAATATTAGCATTTATAATTACAGTCCTATTTATAACATTACAACCTGTTTTCATATGTGATCTTTCTTAAGAATAATGACCTTAACAGGTTTCCATCCGTCTATTTTGGTCCATTAACATTTATCACCGCAATGAGCGATCGTCACCTCGTATCCAATCCTCATTATAAACATACTACATCATATACATAATAAGTAAGTAGTGATACTTATTTCAAGTAGAAATCTTTATCACCCAAATAAAATTACTCGCTTAAGAGTTTCATCAATTAAATGTAGATACAATGCAAGTGAAAATAGATGCACTACACACGATAAATGATAAATGGCCTTATTGTGAAATAATTGGCACGTCATTAGTATTGCATTCGATACTGGGAATATAAATTTATAATATAGTTAAGGTTTATTTGGGTGAGATGGTTCCGCGATAGTGTACTTTCATAATAATCATCATCTTCGACCTGTTCTAGTCCAATGCTGAACATGGTTCTCCCCCAAAGACTGCCATGAAGCACTATCCTGAGCCACTTGCATCCATCGACTTCTCGCACATTTACATAGATCGTCACTCCATCTAGTGGGGATCGTCCTACACTGCGATGATCAATATGAGGCCAGTCTACTTGATATTAAGATCGATATTTAAGAATTTATCGAATTAAGATTAACGGTGGTAGGGCCACGTAGTAGCCTCTGCTGTTGCACGAATGGACAGGCCCGTCCGGGTAAGTACCACGACCTCACAGAAGACCAGCGTAAAGTGGAAGTAGGACAAATACTTTTGCGTTTCGTCTGGTGAGTGAGGTAGCCGGAGCCCAATTTTCAAAATGTTGTCAACGCATTTGGAACCCTCGGGTGTGGCAGATGTCCGTGGGCGGCGGTATTCAATTAACATCAGGGGAACCGTCTGCTCGTTTGACAACTTTTCGCATAAAAAAAAAAATATTTTTCCACTTTCCAGTGGGCAACACCGCTAACCACTGCATCGTGGTGGCCCAACTGTACACAAAGGGCCAATGCCAGGGAACCCACCCGTTCATAGTTCCGATACGCGATCTGGACACCCACGAGCCCTTTCCCGGGGTTAAGGTTGGCGATGTTGGGCTCAGGATGGGCTTCAACACCGCTGACAACGGCTTCCTCCGCTTCGATAACTACAGGATACCGAGGGAGAACTTGATGATGAAGAACGCCAAGGTGTTGAAGGTAAATTGTACAAAAAAATCATACACCGAAATTTTTAAATACATGCTTTCAAATATACCGAAGTTTTCGAATACCTGCATTAAATTATACCGGAATTTTTGAATACCTGCATTCAAATATACCGAAGTTTTCGAATACCTGCATTATAATATACCGAAGTTTTCGAATACCTGCATTCAAATATACCGAAGTTTTTGAATACCTGCATTCAAATATACCGAAGTTTTCGAATACCTGCATTCAAATATACCGAAGTTTTTGAATACCTGGATTCAAATATACCGGAGTTTTTGAATACCTGTATTCTAATATACCGAAGTTTTCGAATACCTGCATTCAAATATAGGTACCGAAGTTTTTGAATACCTGCATTCTAATATACCGAAATTTTCGAATACCTGCATTCAAATATACCGAAGTTTTTGAATACCTGCATTCAAATATACCGGAGTTTTTGAATACCTGCATTCAAATATACATACAAAATGGGGTGTATTTAATCCAAAAGATCTAGTTTATTTCTCGAGAAAAAAATTGAATAAAATAAACGTATTGTTTAAATACGGTAAACAATTATTCTATAACAGGACGGCACTTACGTCAAAGTGGCCCGCCATGGTAAACTCACGTACGGAACCATGGTTTTCGTGCGAGTAACCCTGGTGAGGGAGGCTGCCTTCAACTTGGCTAAAGCTGTCACCATTGCAGTGAGGTATTCTGCCGTTAGGAGGCAGTCGCAGCCCAAGCCGGAGTGAGTGTTCATTGTTATGTTTAATTTGTTTTTAAAAGGGCTTCCCGGTAAAATTGTACCTACTAAAATGATTCCCTTAAAGCGAAAGTCTATGTACTTCAATCAATTGATAACATATATTTTTTTTTTATTATTAACTGTAATTGCTTGTTTATTCATTAAATTAGATCTAAAGTAGTGTACATTCAAGCTCACGATACCATTTAGATCTATTACAATGTGTAAAGGCAAGCTTCTAATCCAAAACATATCTTTAGCTGTCCATTTGAAATAAATATTAGTATTTACTTATTAACAAAATTAATAAATCGATATCACAAATCAAACAATCACTTCTTTCATCTCTTGAATAAGCAATTATATCCACAGGCATAGAGTTTTTGTATAGTTCCAACATAAAGATGACGCATTTCTTTATTGCGGAGTTTGAAAATTGCTCCGTTTTACGTTATAATGAAACGTATAAGTGAATGTGACAGATGATATAGAACGTATGATACAAATAAAAAGAGATAGCAGTACACCAATTGACGTAAATTGATTGCCTAAATTTCGGTCCGCTAGTCTCATATCTACCTCGTATTTGTTCACTGGTTACACGAAGCACTTCAGAGTTCGATAATATTTATATGAGATGATATTAGTTTCGAAATGAATTAATGATCTCATTCCCAGTGAACCGGAGCCACAGATAATCGACTACCCCACGCAGCAGCACAAGCTGTTCATCTGCATAGCGACAGCCCACGCTTTAGAGCTCACCGGGGCCTGGTTATGGCGCACTTTCGAAGCGGTGCTGGCTGATATGAGGGGTGGGAACACGGATTCCTTGCCCGAGGTAACTGCGTATGTAAAGCCCCGATTACAAATAGCTGTGGTGACGACTGTCTGTGCGTGAGCATCAAAGATAAGAAATGATAATTCTCTTTCCTATGAATATTTTTATCACAAGAGTAATGCTTCCCATTAATGTCCAAGTTTCTATGTCATTATCACTTGGTAGCTCATCTAAAATTCAGGCTAAATCACATTACATCGGTTGGATTGTATTGACAACCCGATTCGCGTAGTGGGTAGTGAACCTGCCTCTAGCGCTAGAGGGTGTGGGTTCGATCGCCACTACTGGAATAATATTGTGTGATGAACATAGTGTTTCCAGTGTCCGGGTGTTTATATCAGTGCCGGATTAAGCAAGCGCGGGGATTTCACTCAAAAAATTAAGGCTCAGGCAGAGATGAGCGGGTTTAAATATGCGGGGACCCCTTTATGCGCAATTAGCAATTGCCCCTCCTTTCTACGTGGTTAATCCGGAACTGATTATATATGTATTTAATACAAAAGAAAAGTATGTTTAAGTATGTTTATCAGTTATCTAGTACCCATAATTTTTCTTAACTCCTAGCTGCACGCTCTGTCGAGTTGCCTGAAAGCGATAAGCACTTCGGACTCCGCTGCGTACATCGAGCAGTGCCGCTTCGCGTGCGGTGGGCACGGGTACATGCTGTCCTCGAACCTACCTTTGTTGTACTCGTTCGTGACGGCCACCAGGACCTACGAGGGTGACTACACGGTGCTGCTGCTGCAGACGGCCAGGTGAATAGGTGCCCGCGTGAAATAGGTGCCCGCTACGGGTAATGGCAGCGGCGTAGACCCGTGTGCTTACGCCGCTCACGTCAAGGGAGCCCTGCCTGCAAAAACAGTTCGATTTAACTAAGTAAAGTAAAGTAACAGCCTATACATGTCCCACTGCTGGGCAAAGGCCTCCTCTATACAGTGGGTATCAGGGCATTGTCCACCACGCGGCCCCACTGCGGATTGGCGGACTTCACATATCTTCGAAAAATATTTTTTTTTGTTCGTAAATATGCAGGTTTCCTCACGATGTTTTCCTTCACCGCGGAGCACAGGAGTTAAAAACTTCATTGGCCGGCACCGGGGATCGAACTCAGGTTGCTCGAGTATATTGAATTAAAGGCGAGCGCCCGGACACTGAGCTGTGACGGCTGTACGATTTAAGTAACTTAAATTAATTTTGCTTGCGAACGTTGAAGTATGTCTGTCCCGATAGAAAATCAATTTCACTGTGGTAGAGCCATGCAGCGTTCGCTGTTGCGCGAATGGGCAGGTCGATCCGGGTGAGTATCACGACCTCACAGAAGACCGGTGTGAAGTGGAATTGTAACACTTCCGCGTTTCGCCTGGTGAGTGAGGTAGCCGGGGCCCACCTTATTAAAGGGTGACAACACATCTGCAAATGTCAATGGGCGGCGGTTATCATTTAATTTCAGGTGAACCGCCAGCTCGTTTGCCACCTTCTCACATTAAAAAAAATGAAAACACACGCGGATAATATCTCAAATATATAAAATTACAGATGAACCCACTTTTTATATAAGTACACATAATTTGTTCTAATAGAGGAAGAACACAGCTTACTGCTGCTATAAAAAACGGTTATCGTAATTCGATGAAGTTGACATTATATTTAGACATTTTAAAGCACATTAAAATGTTTAATGTGTTAACATAAAATTATGTTACTACGCAGGTATTGTTCAACCATTTTATCAACATTAATGATGAATCATCTATTTTCACAATTCCGTGTATCAGGTTCTTAGTGAAAGCTTGGGAGCAAATGGAGTCTGGCAATCCTTTAACACCGACCTTGGCTTACCTGGCACTTGGCGGCGCCAAACAGAAAGTGCCGTGGAGTGCCACGGCTGAAGGAATCATACGCTCATTGCAAGCCGTCGCTGCTGGGTAAATATTCATCTCTATATCTTTATATATATATATAATTCTTTTGTACGTTTGTATGTCACTGAGCTCCTCCTAAACAGGTGGATCGATTTTAATGAAATTTTGTGTGTCTTCATATCGATTCGAGAATGGTTAAGATTAACAATTCGGTCCAAATTTTTAATTTTTTTGTTATAAGTTGTTTTCGGATTTCAGTCGTGTTTACAGGACAACGCCTGTCGGATCCGCTAGTATATATAATATTTTCGTGTCATAAAGTTAGTTGCCATACTCCTCCGAAACCGATTGATCGATTTTTCTGAAATTTTACATGTATATTTGGCAGGTCTGAGAATCGGTGGTAATCTCTGTTTATTACCCCTAAGTGATAAGGGTGGTCTACCCCAAACATTTTTTCTACTCTTCAAATTTCTTAGAAACATTTTCTATTGCAAAAGAAAACATTGAATTATAAATAAATATAATATTGAATTATTTCCGAATCGAAACTGTGGCTCTGCAAATCATATCAGTTGTGAAATTAATCTAAAGCTTGAAACGTTCGAAATTCGATTACTTGACTGGATACAATTCATAACGATAATTTATTTGAATATCAAGTACTATATTATTGAATTATAATTTATTTATCCTGGAATTCCATTTTCTCAGGGCGTTTTCCTTCACCGTCAAGAGCGTGCTAAATTAGGTCATAAAATATACTATCCACTTTATAGACCTGTTTGTCCAATGGAGATAAAAATGTATGTCAGTCGAGAGACACACTATTTTACGACATTTAACTACAATATGTAGTGTCGGTATTTTTTAATTTATTTTATTAATACATTTTTAATACATTATGTTATTTAAGGGTCCTATTCAGCGTCTGTAGGCCAGTGTTTTGGAATGTTTCAGTAAAATATCATCGTGCAGTGATAACATCAAGCATCTCATGAAAACGGGCATGTGTTTCGAGGACGCTTGGCAGCGGACAACCGTGCGGCTGGTGAGAGCGGCCGAGGTAAAACGTTATGCAATTTAAAACATAACATTCATTTTCGAAGTTATACTTTTGGCGGGAAAAATGATATTTACGATGAGTGACCATGACAACCAATAACAACTTTATGACATTTAATAAACCTATAATTCCAAGTTAATGCGTTTATGTTTCTTTTTTGCAATCGCATTTAATGTTTCATTTTTTTTCAAAAAAGAGTAAAATTGTCAAATAATCAACACGGGATAAATAGTTATTTTTCTTTTATTACGCTAAAGAAGTATAACTTTCAACGTGCGAACACAAGTACACACACTTTAGCGTAGCCTTACCAATCATTAAAAATTTTCAATAAAACTACTAAAAATTTCATTCTTATTCATTGGATTTGGATAAGGGATCCAATTTCATAGGCTGCATAATAAATAATATACTGATTGTTATATACATACGTAAATAATATGTAATAGGTCCCTTTGTAACTTTGTTTGTAGTTTTTGCTGTTTGTTTTCTTGTCTTGGTTTCCATCAAAACAAAGCTAGTATAATATTTAAGTTACCGATATCGTAACGTTCATTAATTTTCATAATATTGGAGCAATATCAAGTTGCTAGTTTTCCTTACCAAATCCCTTTAATAAAATATAAATTAGGTAGTTTCATCTAGTTGCGTTCTTTCATACGTTACAGTCCATAGTGTTTCAAGGTTGTCAATAGGTGGTCCTATTTGTCTTTGGAAGTCTTTTTAAACGAAAAAATAATCCGTTATTTTTCACTTACGGGAAATATAAGCTTTAAAGTTATAAAATGCTTGGATTGTTGTAACGTTTGACAAAGGAAGAAATATGAAATATGAAGTTGTGAGTTGTGACATAAACGCCTTTGAGAAATAAAATACGTTATACTTAACCCAGAATGAGAATGGTTGTATTAAGTATTTATCAAAGAAATGTATCCTACTTTGAAGTACAATAGTTAACTTTGCTGTCTGTCTGAACAACTTTTTCATACATGGCATTATCATACTTACATTCTTTATAAGAATTTTTTACCCAGTTTTTATGAAAAGGTTAATAAGCTTTAAATGATGTTTGAATCATTAAATTCGATGAAGAATTATGGAAGTTATGACGTTCCGACAATTAAACCTAACACGTTCGATAAATAGTGTCCGTGATATTATTCAATAACTCACGTGATATTATTGAATAACTCTTGTGATCTGCAGTGCCACTGCCGTGCGGTTATTTGCCATACGTACTGGAGCGAAGTGAAGCTACTGACGGCTTCGTGTAGCGAAAACGTCAGAATCGTGATGGAGCAACTAGTTCATTTGTACCTCGTCTTTTGGGCGCTGGAGATGACGGGCGACCCTCTTGAGGGTATGAACAACAGCCTTCATTAGCCTTAAACTGGTCAGATATAACATCTGAATACTTTGAAAATAGACACCACTCTGGACAAAGCAAAAGAGAAATATATTGACTATACTCTATATTTGTAGAGTATAGTCCGCTACGCGAATCAACTGTAGATTGGCAACTACTTATCTTTGAAATATTTTTATTTAATTATATCGATAATAATATGCTGGTTCCGGATATTTCCGGCGGCGCCGAGCACATGGTAGAGTGGTTATAAACTTTAAGCAGTTTTAAATATTTTTTTTTATATGAGAAGATGTCAAGTGAGCTGGCGGTCCACCTGATGTTAAATGATAACCGCCGCCCATGGACATTTGCAACAGCCGTAGGGTTGCAGATGTGATGCCACCCTATAATAAAATGGGCTCCGGCCACCTCACTCACCAGACGAAACGCTTAACACTATAACGCCGGTCTTCTGTGAGGCCTTACTTGTGGGTTCCATTCCGTTCATAAAATAAATACATAACAAAGTTATAAATACCGAGAACTAAACATACATAGAGATTTTTTACATGGGGATTTTATCCTTGTTATTAAGTGGTGCTGTGCGATCTTAAGTTATTATTCATTATTCGTTTTAGTATACCACAGTATCCGAGACACATCTCAATGGCTTACAAATGAGATACGAGGAGCTGCTCGCCTCGATAAGGCCTAATGCAGTGGGTCTCGTCGACGCATTCGACTTAAGGGACGAGGTAATTGCAATTTACTATTAAAATGTTATTGGAATATTATGATTATCATATTTAATAAAGTCTTTTTATTTTATTAATTTTTATAGTGCTATTCTTTTGCACTTAAGATGAAATTTAAAGATACATTCTTAAGTGCAGAGAAAATACCTTAAATATTAATACCCTTTATAAAATCTAGCATAGGATTCATCTCTAGTTTTCAAATAATTAATTGTGAAATATTTTATGAAAAGTCCTCGTTTGCCATAAAGGAAATACCACAAATTAATATAAAATACGTTGAGAATTTCGTCGATGAGAAGATAAGTTTGGTGGTCATGATGGTTTAGAACATATTTCCAGATTGAAATCATGATGACGATTTGGACGATGAATTATTATTTCCAGTTTGAAATTATGACGATAATGATGACGTGGCACAGTTGCCAAGGTATTGGCTTCGGCGTCGGGGGTCGTGGGTTTGATTCCCGCACGGGACAACTATTTGTGCGACCCACAGATAGATGTTTCGCATCTGGATGTTTGTCCATGTGAAATTTATGTTTGTAAAACGTTTTTGCGACACAGGACAATGTTATCCCAAAGTGAGGGCATGTTTAGAAAAAAAAAAAGATGATTTTGACCATGTCTATCTCCAGATTAAAGTGACGATGATGATGATGATTTCGACATATATTTCAGATATTGCAATCCACTTTGGGCGCCTACGACGGTCGCGTATACGAGCGATTAATGGCGGAAGCCTTGAAGAGTCCTCTTAACGACGCGCCGGTCCAAGCGAGCTTCCACAAATACATAAAGCCCTTGGCTAAAGCGAAGTTGTAGTAATTGTAATAATAGCTAGTGAAAATAGTTTAATAATACGGTGCAAGGTGCAAACATTTGTAGGTATATTTAAAATGTCGATGAAATCATTCCTATATGGTATGCAACACGATGCAGGTTTTAAGATAAATGAAGTTAAAATATTTATAAAATTTTTTGGTGATTAAATAATGTGCAATAGAGACGTTGCATATATATTATTTTTTTGTTATGTCGTAATTACCTTTTTTTATTAATATGTGTACGTGTAAATGTGGATGTGCCCTGAATACGTCCTACAATAATATTTGTGGAAATTTTAATTAACGTTAAGTTAATGAACCGGTATTACCAGTGCACTCGTGAAACAGGAATAAGACAAAGTATGAAAGAACTAAGACTGATTATGACACACGACGTTAAGTGATAACTTTGGACTCGCTTTAACAATCTGCGTAGAGGTCTTTGAAACTTTATAAACGCTGGAAACTTTACGGGGCCAAAGAATGTTATTGTAATAGCGTTAAAATTATTTTAAAATGTAACACTGTAGAATAGAAGCATTTATTAAACAGAACTTTGTATTCTAAAACTGTTTTGTTTTATTTATTTTGGTAATATACTATTATTTGGATAAAAGTAATATATGTATATGGGTCTTCTTTAGAATATTTTGTGAACACTTGTTGAAGACATCCAGTACATAAGATTATTATAAGTAGAAGCATCCTGATATACAGCGTGTCGTTACCATCGCGACAATAAATGAACACACATATAGGGGATAACTTTTTAAAGTTGTATTAAACATTTAAATTCTTTAAACATCAATATTTACAGAGTTATTAAATTTTCCAAAACAAAGAATTTTAGAACACCCTAACCTATAAAAGCGTAACGTAAAGTTAATTTGTAAAGGTCACAAAGTATATGAATGGGTTGAATGAATTAAAAAGAGACAAAACATAATGTTAAAAGGAGAGGCTTGTAATACGACGCCGTGGCGCGAGTTGTATAGGATGTTACAAATTTTGTTTCTTTTTTACTTAATTAGTTTGTTTGAAAAATATTTGTTTTTAATTATGGATTTTGTTTAATGTTAATATTTTTTATGATTATTGGCAAGTAGCGTTACACTTGTGTTCATTTATTGTCGCGATGGTAACGACACGCTGTATATACTTTATCTAATTTTGTATTATTTTAAACTTTTTTTACTACGTAATACTTATATTATTTAACTCCTATAACCTTGTGCTACTTTTGTACCCTTTGCTTCACCTACCACAAGTTCTAATTACTTTCGGGGTTTACTGGTAGGGAAAGCCATTGGACATTAAGTCTGCCCTTTGTTTATTAAAATTTTCACAGATGATGTATTTCTGTTGCTGCTATAACACCAAATACTCACTCTCCCATATAATAGACATGATATTTTGCCGTTTATATAGATAATTGTATGGAACCCATCGTGCGCAAGTCCGACTCGCACTTGGCCGGTTTTTATTAAAGGTTCTCAACACATCTGCAAGCCATGGGGCGTTATAGATGTCCATGGGCGGCGGTATTCACCTTACATAAGCTGCCTGCCCACTTGACAATTTTTCACATAAAAACAATAATGAATATGAAATTTTCAACCAGCACCAATTTGTATTTTCTTTTTTTTTAAAACATTGCCCTCACTGTAGGACAACACTCTCCTGTGTTGTAAGGACTTTTTACAAACATAAATTTCACGCGGACAAACACCCAGATGCGAAAGAACTATCTGTGGGTCACGCAAATAGTTGTCCCGTGTGGGGATCGAACCCACGACCTCCGACGCCGAAGCCAATACCTTTGCAACTGCGCCACGGAGTCACCAAATCAAATTTGGTGTTGTTAAATGTAGATCTGATTCAGGAATAGAATAAGTATCGCATATTGTGCAGTCTAGACAGTCCTCCATCATACCACGGTGTGTTCTGTGACCTTTTCATGGCATTGGACTGTGTAGATCATCAATTCAATCATACCAATTAGACTCGAAAGAATGCCCAATAGATTGGCTTTCTCTTTAGCGGGATTGGCCAAAAAGAAATTCCTTTCTCTCTGACCTTGCCTTAACACTAGGTACATCACTCACTACCCCTCTTGCCACCTTCTCAGTTAAACAAATATAATGGGCGTGAATCGTAGGACTAATAACTAATTTTCTTAAAGAAGTGTTATGCGGTACTGCCACTTGAAAGACCAATGCAGACCTTTTTAAAGAGATTAATGTACTCACTGTTGCGTCTCAATATATTTATTGTAATATTTTGTATGTTGAACATAATATTAATAATTATCTAAAGAATAGTGACAGACATAAACTAAATACTAGAAATAAGGACAAACTAACTACGCCATTGTTTCGTCTACAAAAAGTAAACATGTCGTTCATGGGGCAAAGTGTGCGCAAAGTATAATAAAATCCCACAGTCGATATTAAGTCTGCCACTTGATGAATTGAAACGAAAAGGTAAAAGTAAACTTATGGCGAAAGCATATTATACTATTGCGGTGGTAGATTTAAGAAAAATATGACTATCGATAGATGAAATGTAAGTTTCTTATGTCGATGAATAAATGATTTTGATTTTGATTTTTGCTGAATATCTTGACGACGCCAATGTGTGGGGTTAATACTGTTGATACTCACGTAGGCTAACAAGACTATTATACCTGTAACATTACATTGTAAACTGATCTTTTAAAAAAGCAACTGTTGAGTTTCTTGCCGGTTTCTTCTCAACAGAAACTGCTTTTTGAACCGGTGGTAAATTATATATTAATTTCCTTGTAAAATTTCGACGTTTCATAAGAACGCGCAAGCGTCTATGTGAATAAAGATATTTTATTATTTATTATAGTATGAGAAACACAAATTATACATAATCTCTTGTTAACATCAGACAAAAAAATTGTACTGTTGCGACACCGTCCAACTAATACGTCCATACCGATCGAGTACTTGATACAAAGTTAACATTTGTCGGTAAGTAAACAACGATATTTTTCTTAAGCATTAATATTCACAAGTCAGTGCGGACTTTACTTTAACACTATGTGCACTCTGACTATTATATTAATTACTTTCTGACAATATGCTCCCATAATAAGTAACTGGAGAAATAAAAATGGAATTACGTTAATCAACTTTGACCAGTCCATTTTTTAAACTTGATAAAGTGCTAGTGAACGTTAATAATAAAGCGTTTACTTTTTTCATATCAGCTCTCGGATGATGATTTAGTAATACTGTTGCGCTTGATAGCAAACCGCTATCAGCATTCTCGTATGATAAAATTGTGTACTGTCTTATCGTATGTTTATTATGAATTGTGTCTTAGGTGAAAAATGGTCGCGAAGAAAGTTAATGAAGACTTGCAAAGAGAACGAGCAAGATGCGACTTTAATATAGAAGAATTAACAAACTTTTTGGATTGGGGCCCCCAGTATACAGATAGAAGGAGGAAATTGGGTATGTTTTGGTGACCATTAGATTAAATATTATAACAGTGGAATGTCATATAAAAAAAGACAATTATTATTTTATTATTTTAAAATAATCAAGACATAATGTTCCCATCATTGCAAAAACGATTTGTTTTAAAATTCATAATGGGAGAAAGACACTTCGTACCATAGTAATTTATAATAAATAATTAATGATTTATGAAAATAAACATGTGTCTATTTACCTAGTTCTATTAGAGACAATTCTTTTTAAAATTATTACTGTTACATACAGAAGCAGTCTAAATGGATTCAACATAATAATTAGTTACCTAGTTAATTAATGTTTCAGTTAATTATTAGTACAATGACTCGCTGTTTCAATATTTTGATGTGCCGTTACATCTTTATTGGATAAAAGCAGTGAATTAAGCCGATTGAATTTGCTTAATTTCAATAAAATATCAGGTCAAACGTTGAAAAACAAAACGTTGATTAGCGACTATTGACTTGTATTAGCGACCATTAAAATGTTTAACACGTTTTTAATGTCAAAGAAATAAGTATTATGTTGCCACAGTTTTATAAAAAACAAGCAATCCAATAGATGTGGTAGATTAAAGAGTACTCAGTAAATATTTATTTTGAATCTTAGATATAAAAGAGATTTCAAAATATTTTTAAACTTTTTTAAGCGAAAGGCAACGATTAACATGCTATGATTTATTTCATTTTGTCCTAAATATTATTTTATAATTGTTTTTATACTGTTGTATTGTTTTTATTCTTAAAAAAAAAATTATGAGTGTCTAATGAAATCTTTAATATCCTAATCCCAACTTAATATTATAAAGGCAAAAGTTTGTATGTATGAATGGATGTTTGTTTTTCTTTCTTCTCGTTGATTTCATAATTTTATTTTGTTTTTTAACTCCATATGTTTCGACCAAAGCGTTCATTTCACGGTCAAGGAGGCGTGACCGAGACTACGAACATTATTTAAAGGAAAAATTGAGAAACTATAACTACTGAATTTAAGTTTACTAGCGGAATTTTCATTGTTAGCAAGGAGGGTTGATGTCTGGTAGGCGGCTGGTTGTAAGAAACATAGCCTTAGCAATCCTTACTTCCTTACTAATGTTATAAAGGTGAAAGTTTGTATGTATGGATGGATGTTTGTTACTCTTTCACGCAAATACTACTGAATGGATTTTAATGAAACTTTACAATAATATAGATCAGAATAACACATAGGCTATAATTTATATACATACTTTTATGTATATCTGTCTTTCTGTGTGAATGTTACGCCTTTAGCCTGTTCTACGCAGACGTGGTCGCGGGCAACAGCTAGTAAACAAATAATTTCATTGCCCAGTTTATCAAAATCTCACCCGATAAGAAGAATAATTTTTACATATTAAAATGCCTGTTACATAATTTTATATAGCAGGCAAAAGTCAAGAAACTTAGATTGCAATAATCTAAGCCGAACTTTGATCGGCTATTGCAACTTGAACTTTGTTTGAAAATTGTTTTGCAAAATATGGTCATTGTAATCAACAAGTCATCGTTTGATTTGGCATTTTTTTGATTCTATGTTAGTTTCTTTTATCTATACAATGCGATTTAGCCTTTTTATTACACCATTATTACGACATTTTATTACGACGGGCTGACTATAGTACACATTATATTCTATAAAAACAATTTATGATAAGAAGACTTTGTTCAACATTTTATTGGGAATAGTTAATTACTATATTTCGTTGCAAACGAAAAGTTATTGACCAAATGAGTTAAGAAAGTGCCACATTAACGTGTCAGTCCTGACTATTGAAATACAGTTTATAATTTAAATGATGAAAAATGTAAAATATGTCCGGTTGTTTCATCCAATTTACCGTACATGTATAGTTAACATTATATCATCATTTTTGTATTCACTAATTTAAACATAACATGAGTGTTTAATTTTTCTCTCCATGTGTCACTGAACTCCTCCTTAACGGCTGGACCGATTTTAATGAAATTTTTTGTGTGTCTTGGTGGATTCGAGAATGGTTTAGATTCACAAAGCTATTCAAAAAAGTTTAAAATTTTCGAATTTAAGATGTGTATACAGAACAAAGTCCGTCCGGTCCGCTAGTAATAATATAAATTTCATTAAGTGAGTCTTTGTAATACAAATCCTCAATCATGTTTTTGAGCGTCTGAAAAAGCCAAGAGGAAACAACAGTCTCCCGTTAAACATGATAAACTTCTGATAAACGTAATCAAAGAAGTCAAAGGAAGACAACAGTCTTCTGTTGCCTTCTTTAATCGCGTTTGTCTTAATCGTTACAGAGCAGAGAGTGCTACGTAATCAAAGACGTCAAAGGAAGACAACAGTCTTCTGTTGCCTTCTTTAATCGCGATTGTCTTACACGTTTTAGAGCAGAGAGTGTTGAGTGTTAAGGGTCTACTGGATGACATCCCTGAAGAGTACCTGAGCCACAAGGAGAAGTATGAGAACGCCATACGCAAATCGGCTCTTTTATACCGTACCCTGCAGCCGTATGATGATGATGGCATGTCCGAAGATGAGCTGGCCAAGTGAGTGATGGTATTTTCAACCGATTTCAAAAAAGGAGGAGGTTCCCACTTCGACTGTATTTTCTCTAATGTTTGTCACCTCAGAACTTTCAACTGGGCGAACCGATACAGATGGTTCTTTCTTTATTAGAAAGCCGGTGCTTCCCACGTGGTCCCATATTAATTTCATTGGTATTGGATCTTGGGCTCCGGAGATACTTCAGGAAACGTCTGAAAATGAATTATAAAATGAATACAGAGAGATATTTGAAGTCGGTTTTCTCGTTGGTAAAAATGGACTTGTAACATATAAATATATAATAATAATAATAAAATATCTTTATTCGCATAGACGCTTGCGCGTTCTTATGAAACGTCAAAATTTTGCAAGAAATTAACACGTTCGTAAGTTACCACCGTCATCCGTCATATATCATCGTCATCCTCCTGCTCCACTTATGTGGGGTCGGCACAACATGTTAATCATGTTGTAAGCGGTTTTGGCTATGTTTTTTCGACCGGCCGCCTGCCAGACGTCAACCTTTCTTGGGAAAAAAAAAACACACAGATCCGGAACAACTATAATCTGTGAGTCATACAAACACAAAAATTGTCCCGTATGGGAATCGAACCATCGACACCCGACGCCGAAGTCAATAGCTTAGCAACGGCTCCACGGAGTCGTTACGTATATATATGTCGCAGTTTACACATGTAGCACATTAGGGTGATAGAATAGATAGTGAAAGCTTATCCATCTCGCCTTTAAAAAATTATATTTACTGCAATACAATAAGAGGATTTGTACGAGCCTCTAGAACGTCATCTGTTTATTGAGAGTTTTAATGTTTGCCAAATGTAATTTTACAGTTTTTTTTAACGAAACAGCTTTAATACGTAATTACTTGAATCATTCGTTAACAGTCGATATATTCATAGGACTTAACTTGCAGAGCTAATTTCCGCAACATGGTGTCGCACGCGGTGTTCAGGGACAATTCCCCTTTCTCTTTGCACTTTACGATGTTCGTGCCGACCATTGTGGGCCAAGCCAACGAGGAGCAAAAGGCGTGCTGGTTAAAAAGGGCTAAGAATATGGAGATAATAGGCACATACGCTCAGGTGAGAGATAAAAAAGGGTTTATCCCTTTCTTATCTTACTGAATAACCGAAACGGCAAATTTTGGGCATTTGTTTTACCTTAAAACATGGTATAACTAACCTAAAGTATAGTATATACTTTAAAATTTTTGTAGAAAAAAGTACGAAAACTTGATCACCGCTGTGGGATTCGAACCCACGTCTTCGGGATTCGCGCCCTGACGCTTTAGCAAGTAAGATAAACGGCTGATTGGCACATCGACGAAAATTTGAACGTGTTTTATCTATATTTGACGACCCGAATGGCGTAGTCGGTAGTGTACCTGCCTTCTGCGCCAGAGGGTGCGGGTTCGATCCCCACTACTGGAAAAATATTGTGTGATGAGCATAGTGTTTTTCTAGTGTCTGGGTGTTTATCTATGTATAATATGTATTTATTTACAAAAGAAAAGTATGTTTAAGTGTGTCTATCAGTTTTCTAGTACCCATAGTACAAGCATTGCTTAGTTTGGGACTAGAGAACGTTGTGTAAAAAGAATGTGTCCTAAATATTATGAAATAAATTGACATTGTTTTTAACATTTGAAGCAATGCTATACTATACTTTAGTAAAGATAGTAAGAAATTTTTTGTAACTACTTTTCGGTTCTTTGGTTGATCATCGTCATTATTTCAGCCTGTTTTAGTCCACTGCTGGAAACAGACTAGGCATGGGTAAAAATATTGATATTTTCCATACAATTATCGATATGTATCGATTCTTGTCGAATCGAATTTTGATATATTTTTAACGCAACTCTGGTTTCGTTTTTCATGTTACTAGATACTCTTTGCGTGCACCTTGCGCATCGTTAACTTTAAAAAAAATCTTGTCAACTCTTTTCTTCATGTCTGTTCTTTTTACGAATTTTGAATCATTTGTAAATATGTATGAATAGTTATGCGAAATCTATATATCATAATATAATATTTTTTCCTCGATAATTATCGATAGTTTTTCAAAATATCGATATATTTTTTTACTTGCCCATCCCTAACATAGACTGCCACGAAGCATAATCCTGAGCTATCTAAATCCATCTAATAATAATTCCCGAACATTTTCACAGGTCGTCAATACATCTGGTCGCCTTTTTGTTAATGGCGAAGAAATATGTAACATTATTTATTTGATTCCAAATTTGTGAGCAACTGTGAGCTTTTAGAAAAAACATATCCTTAGATTAAACAAGATAAAATTTTCAATGGCTATGAAGATTTCTGTTGACATGTTTGATGATAATTGTGAAATAAAGAATAAATTTGATTCAGACGGAGCTTGGACATGGAACGTTTATTCGGGGAATGGAAACGCAAGCAACGTATGATCCCTCCGCCGAAGAGTTCGTTTTAAACAGCCCTGCACTCTCCTCTTATAAATGGTGGCCTGGAGGCTGTAAGTCATACAAATTGAATATGAGAAGCAGAAAATAATCTCTTTTTTGAGCCTATCAGCGTAAGATTTTTGGGTTAGCTGTTACAATACAGGGGCAAAAATACAAGTAGATACATAAACAGTTTTATACAAGAGGATACATAAACAGTTTTAATTATTTACGTTAAAACATTAATAATTTATGTTCATAATACTTGAATAAAAGTTTTCTTACGCTTACACTGCCCTAGCTCTATATAAGACTGAATAAAATGATAATGATAGTCCACTCGTTGACTGTTGTGCGTAAACTGTACGTGTTTTTGCATTACCCTCATGTTTTTCTACAGTGGCTCACACAGCTAACTACTGCATTGTCATGGCCCGTCTTTACACAAGAGGGAAGAGCTGTGGCATCCAACCATTTATGGTTCAATTACGGGATGAAGAGACCCACATGCCGTTACCGGGTATTAAACTGGGCGAGATAGGTGCAAAACTTGGGTTCAACACTGTTAATAACGGTTACCTGGGTTTCGAAAATCACCGGATACCAAGGGATAGAATGCTGATGAAGAACGCTCAAGTCTTGAAAGTAAGTTGATAAATTATGACTGTACTTAAAAGCTTTAGTGAAGTTTCATGCTATTAAAACCCGCTTATGAAACGAAAGCAAAAAATTATTTACTTGTTTTACAAAACTCGGTATTTTATTTGCAACATGACATATTCAGCTACCTAGCTAAGAAAATACTTAACAAAAGTGTTACTAAAAACGATAATGTAAAGGCACGATACGGTTATACTCATAACAACATGCGTTTTTTGTCAATACGTTAACGATCAATGCCAACTCATTCTTCAACGTTTTCACTTTTAACTTAACGCATGAGTAGTTCTTACTAAAGTCCATTTGCTGTGAATATAATATATGCACTACATTATTATAGTGTCCACAAACCTTCTGTACACTCGAGAAACCGTAGATTCGTTTAACTTTCTAGCGATCGTTGTTTGGTCCAAGCCTTCAAGCACCAATGCCACAATTTGTGCGCCTTGAATTGATGAAGTGTCCATAATTCAGTTTATGTGTCCGTTAGTTTATATGTAAGGTCACATAATTATGGGGGAATCATTGAAACAGTATCTCTTCAAAATTTCTTTGCGGTTTAATGCTTTAGATCTTAGGTCTCCGAAAATGTCTTCTGTTTTAACTACCTTGGAATTAATTTAAAAGTCTTGATGATTTACTATACGTCTTTATTCGTCAGGATGGCACATTTGTCGCTTCTACGAACAGCAAACTCACTTACGGTACGATGGTGTTTGTTCGTGTAATGATTGTCAACAGCATGGCAAACCTCCTCGCAAAGGCAGCCACTATTGCCGTGAGATACAGTGCAATCAGGCGACAATCTCAACCGAAACCTAAGTAAGTCCAAGATTTTTTAATGCTAGACGGTGGCAAGCGAGTTGGCGGTTCATCTGATATTAAGTGATAACTGCCGCCCATGGACATTTGCAACACCCGAAGGGTTGTAATTGCGTTGCCACCTTTTAATAAAGTGGCTACCTCACTTATCAGACGAAATGCAGAAGTATAAAACTTGTTTTTCACGCCGGTCTTCTGTGTTTTCGTGATAATTCTCCGAACGTACCTGTCCATCGAGCACGAGTGAAGACTGTTGCGTGGCTCCATCACAGTTAATGTCATTTAAAACAAAAATCTCAAAATGAGGTGTTTAATAAAATTCAGTTTAACCCCTAATGCTTTTAACTCTTTCTCTCTCTTCTGTCCCGTAAGAAACCATTCATTCGATTCTTGGGGAGATCGTTTTTAAAATGTCAACATCGAGAAAGGTTATTTGCGGTGTTATATTTCAGTGAGCCCGAACCTCAAATTCTAGACTACGTTACTCAACAGCACAAACTCTTCATCGCTATTGCCTCAAGCCATGCCTTCTCTATAAACGCTATGTGGATTTGGGAGATATACTCAAGCGTCACCAAACAATTGGTTGCTGGTACGCTTGACAATTTACCGGAGGTAGAGTTCTTTTTCTTACCGTATAGACCCCTATTTGGATATTTCATTTCAAGGATATGTGTTATTGAATAAAGTAATAAAATTATGTACGAATTACACTCAGAATTGAAATAATTGTAAGTGGACCAATTTTATAAGGTCTACTTACATTTTTAAACCGTATGGGATTCACAAATCGGAAACGCAATATCTGCGGTACTTAGCACCATCTGTGCAGCCAGAGGCAGTAAGATAAATTAAAACTAAGTAATTGAGTCTTTACATGAAATTAGATAAGGTATGTGGTTTAGATGATACTATACCAGTATCAGATGCTAATGTTCGGATGGATTCAATTCCTAACAACAACTATGTTTGTGACATTCAAACTTTTATTTTATGTCTTTTGGTATGCATCACTTTCCGTTTGTCAGCTGCCACGTCCTTAAATCACTTTATCAAATATGTTGCCGGCCAGTAACAGTAACTGCGATAAACAGAGGTCACATCTTAATACCCAGGCAGATAAAGAGTTAAATTTCAGAGATAAATTTCTCGAGGAACTAAAACTTGGTTGGTTTGTCACACAATGACACACAAACAACTTTAAATGTTTGAACAGTCTCCTCTTTTATTTATTTTATATAAATATTAAGAAAAAGAAGACTGTTAAGTAACTCAACAATATTTTTTTATTCATGAATAAAAAAATATTGTTGCATATTTATACATAAAGAAATTTTATCACAATTTTTGCAATGACAAATTAATATACAATCCAATATAATAATTACATTAAAGTATGAATTACATCACCGCGCCATTTCGCCACACGCTAACATACACTGATCTGTTTTCCTTTGGCAAAGCGTCAAGCGGTCAATGGCGAGTTTTTGACCATTTAATTATAAATTATCACCTTTTAAGTTTCATCTTAAGTGCAGAGACCAGCAATAAAAGTAAAATAACAGCTTTTAAATGTCCTACTGCTGGGCAAAGGCCTCCTCTATACAGAGGGTATCAGGGCATAGTCCACCACGCGGCCCCACTGCGGATTGGCGGACTTCACATATCTTCGAAATAATATTTTTTTATTATTATTTCGAAAATATGCAGGTTAATATTATAATATGCAACGGTTTATATTATAATATCCTTCAACGCTGACCACGTTGGCTCACTTAAAATTAACAATTTCATTGATGCTGGCATCGGAATTCTAGCTTAGGGTGTACGACTATATTAATTAAAGGCCAGCGCCCGGAATAAGCTATCATGGCTACACTAAATATAAAATTAATAATATAGACTTGTACGTCAATTATTGCAGCTGCATGCCCTAGCGTGTTGCCTTAAGCCCATAACGACCACGGACGCCACAGTGCTGATCGAGAAGTGTCGGTTGGCTTGCGGCGGTCACGGCTACATGCTCTCGGCGAACCTGGCCCAGACTTACGGCCTGGCTACTGCGGCGTTCACATACGAAGGGGAGAACACGGTGCTTTTGTTGCAGGCAGCCAGGTGAATAATCTAGTGTAAATATTGGATCTGATATTTTCATTTAGATATCGATTAGTGACATTTTTAGTCACGATGGCTAGACACCCGACGGCTTTATTTCCATCCCTCATGAGACAGGAAAGCTCAGTTTATGATGCTACTTGCGTACTTAGCCGCCTCTCATATAGAGGGTTATGTAAGGGGTTAGGGCAAAGAGAAGGCGAGAGGGCTAGTTCTTTTATCGCTAAAAGGTTAAGTTTAACTATTTAGCGAGAAATTGGAGAGTTTGTTTATTTACATTGAAATTTAGTTTTGTACATAATGTTGTAAATACTTTATTAGTTGTTTGTTCAGTTGGATTGTCTGTCTCTGTGACTGTCTAATTGACGGAGTTCAGTTTTAAGATTCCACTTTAAAAATGAAAACCTTTTATTAACATTGAAGTCTCATTGAATATTAATTATTACACAGTTGTTTGAACAGTTGAAAAATATACATCAGGAAATTATTAATCTGGTATTGCGATCATGATACTTTATGGAAAATAAGCAGTGGACAGCCAAAGGCTGATTTAGACTTTATCACGAGAAATACATTAGTTAGTTTAGGTTAATAAATTAGATAGTTCGCTTAATTTTGCTTGTGTTGCGTTATTGGCAGCAATTCTCGCTTTCTAGTTAATTGATTTTATTATTGTATATTTAACAGAGCTCTGGTGAAAGCTTGGGGCTTGCTAGCTAAAGGTCAACCGTTGAAAGGTTCAATGGCGTATTTAGCTGACAAAACAACTATAAAGTCGTGGGACGGCTCCGTTAATGGAATCATAAAGAGTTTTCAAATTGTTGCCATTCGGTAGGTAAATACTATTTATTCATTAATGTTAACAATTCCCCAAGCTAGAGTAAAACATTGATTAACGTTAACAATTTTTTAAGCTAAAGTTAAGCTGTAGAAATAACTTCATGTTCCGTTTGTAATATTTTCCACTTCTTTAACATTATCAAGTTCATTTTGTTTTATACTTTCTGTCTGTAGCCGTCTTTTGTTTTGTAGGAAGCTTTCTGGTGTTGTAACGAATCTTGAGGATTTAAAAAAGTCCGGCTTGTCACCAGAAGACGCATGGAACAAGTCTTCTGTATATCTCACAGCCGCTTCTGAGGTTTGTAAAATGTGTGTACCTAACTGCGCAACGGGGAAGCGATTGTAGTTGTAATTTGCGGATTGTAGATGTAATCTACCTTGGACAATTATAAGTGCTTCATGGATCTAGAAGCTGAAGATCTAGAAGCATTCACGGATCTAGAAGCTTTTTCGAATGTATTTCGTTGCAAATTATAGCAAAATTCGTTGCAAATAAAAAAGGGTGCAAAAACTATGAATCACATGTCAGTATTTCTTTATCAAAGCTATTTATATATATCTCGTTACTTTTCGGTTATGGTTTATTAAAATCATATCATTATTTTTGTTTTAACATAAAAATCTTAGAGCATGCTTCGTGCATGCTTTACTCCATCTTTGGCTATGAGATGGAACTTTGGTATCGGAACGACAGATAACTAAGATGAATTATATAGCTTCATAAAACCATAAATACAGAATGTATTTATATTATACTCTCATAAATATTAAAACGAAATGTTAAATGCTTAATCTAGGCTCATGGCAGAGCTGTTCTTCTCTCCGTGTACAAAACAGAGATAGACAAGAGAAGTGTGACAATGTCGCCGCCTTTGAGGATGGTTCTTCATCAGTTGGTGGAGATGTACGCAGTTTATTGGGCTCTCGAGAAGATTGGCGATTTGCTGCTGGTGAGTAAAAGTAAAATAAAGGAAAAGCTCATATTATTATGCGAGGAAAAGGCCTCCTACGTAAAGAGGGTACTATTTTATACAACAACAATTACTTTTCTGCCTTTAGACCTTTATACAGGGGTTGTCTGAACTACTGAGTGGTTATAGTTTCTAAATAGTTTTAATTCATATATAATATTATGCAAATTTTATTCTCATTTAAATGGATAGTGCCTGGAGGACCGAGCTTTGCTCGGTTTGTTTTTTTTGGTAAATCGTGTATTTTGGAAATTAAATTTAGATACAAATTACTGAGTAATGAAATATGCATAATATTTTTCGATCTTACCGACGTAATAATAAGAAAATATGAACTGGTGTTTTTCACAAAAGAAAGAACTTTAAAAAAAAGGGAAAAAATAACAAAATAACAAATCGACAAAAAGTAAAGAAAGCAATCATCTGGAATCGAAAAAAAAAGTAAAAAAATAAGTGTGTAAATGATCGTGATACGAACCGCGGCCGTCTGTTTTGGGGCCGCCCGATTACCGACCACGCTATTATAACATTTCTTATTGCGGCGAAATTTACCGTCATATTCGAATGATATTTTTCATTCCCTGAAAACAGGGATAAAAGGACATTTTCTAAAAATAAAACCTAGCTAGATCGATTTTTCGCCCCCGAATCTACATACAAAATTTCATGAAAATCGCTGGAGCCGTTTCCGAGATTCCAATTATATATATACAAGAATTGCTCGTTTAAAGGATAAGAGATAAGAACATGAACTTTCAATGACTTGATATTCATTGAAAAACGAATTCATCAATAGATGAAAATCTAATTTCTTTGATTTAATTTACTCAAACAAGTTAATTTAGTCAAAAAAATAACATTAATGAGTTCCTCATTATGAACCCGAGTCTAAGCAAGACTCCATGCAGTGGAGTAAAAGGGGTGCGGCACCTTCCAAAAAATTTAAAGTGTCATAATCAACCGAAAAACTCATGAGACAGTTTTTTGGGACCCAGAAGGAATTTTGTTTATCGATTATAAGTATAAACATTTTCTCCCTTTCAAGATCAAACTCTTACTTGTTCAGTCACTTATTGATTATGCAGATGTTTGTTACCCAGACTTGAACAAAGACCTTCTCAACAAGCTTGAGCGCCTATCCAACAACTGTATCAGATACGTTTTCGGCCTTCGAACATTTTATCATATTACTCCCTATCGCACTAGACTTAAATGGCTTACAGTTAAATAAAGACGTAATTCAAGAATTCTCTTCATGCTTTTCTCCATTTTAAATGACCCAGCTTCTCCATTCTATCTTAAAGATAAATTTAAATACCTCTCTCAAAACAATGAAAGAAACCTCCGTTCTTCATCTAACCTCAAGATTTCTATTCCTCCACATAATACTAGTTTCTTCGTTGACTCTTTCGCCGATCAGGCTGCATTACTCTGGAACTCCTTGCCTGAAGACATACGTAGTGCCCCTTCCTTGCAAGGGGCACTACGTATGTCTTCAAACATTCAAACGCAAAGTCCGGGAATTTTACTTAACATCTGAATGTTAAATTTCATTATTATTTCAATATCGGTTATATGTTTATATTTATGTATATATGTTTTATATATAATATGTATGTGTATATTTGTATATATATATTTTTGAACATACATATGTACGTATTTATATTTATTTAAGCGTGTGTATATTCCATACATTGTATATTTCATTCACATTAGTAATGTACTTGTTTTTTTTTTATTGCACCTACCACAATTTATCTCCACGCCCCGGGTTGACTGGGAGAGAATGCCTAAAGGCATTAAGTTCGCCCTTCGTAATCCTTGATTAAGGTAATCGCAATAAAGTATAAATAAATAAAAAAAAAAAGATGTTGCAATAATTTCGAATAGTACGTCTCGTTTTACAAGCTAGAAAAAAATTTTAATCGATAGAGAAATGTTAATAATTAAATATTATATAAGTTATAAATTTTTTTCTGGCTTGAAAAACGAGACGTACTATTCGAAATTTTATCAAAGATGTCTCTACAACTGAAGAATAGGTACTACGCAACAATCCTGAAGCGGTTGAAAGAAATTTAAAGAGAAACGAAGAGAAAAATTAAGCTGATGTGTTCGTTTCTCCCAGGACAATACATTCGTCCACAAGAGCAATGAGCCAGTGCGGCTGCCCAGCACAAAGTGGTCTTCGATATTTTAAATCACGCACACTAGAGCCCAAACCTGGCACCGAGTGAATATTTACCTCTTATCCTCAAAACTCGCGAATTAACGATCTTTTTAGACATTATATACGGATACGGAAGGTTTTATTTTTAATATTATACTTTAGTCTTCAAGCGGTTGTTGACACCGTTAGGATGACGTTGACAGACGTGACTTCTATTTCTTTTGATTGGACTGCTGTCTAAATGAGCCAAAGACGTAAAGCACGAATTCCAATTTAGATTACAACTAAAAATTGGTAATAGGAAATAATAGTGATTTGTTCTTCTAAATAAGTTGAATCTATTAAAGAGATGACGTGACTTATTCAGGAAAACGACAGTGAAGAACAGCCGCTGCACATTAGTTGATCGCTTTGATTTTATGTCTTTTGTATAAGTTTCTCCTGTGGCATTGATCGTATAATAAATTAAAATTAAAAAATCCTATAGTTAAAAACAGTAATATTTTTGTGAAATATTTTTTGACAAATGCTGAAGCATAGATTTGGGATTTGGTAAGAAAAATTTATCAAGAAACATACACACACCAATTACAAGGAAGATATAGCCGTAATGTTTTATATACTCATCCGTAGGACATGGCTTTTAAGAGTAATACAGAGCTTTGAGTTTTCAGATATTATACAAATGAAAAATTAATTAAGTATGTACTTCTTAAAAGCTTTCAAATGGTTGTAATCAAACACATAAATATCTTTTTTCTTGTATTCTAATATCTTCTCTACAGACTGACCTTCCGTGAATGATTGTTCTTATTGAATTCAAATGTCTTAAATTTTTCGTTTTTGCAACGAACCAAATGAATACTAAGTACTGTTACGCAAATCCGATTTCTGGTGGCGTACCATCAGTTTCATGTCAAGTGACTGCGGCCGCCTATGAACATCCATTACACCCGTGGTGTTGCCACAGCTACCAAATGTATCGCCAAAACTGGTATAACTATAAATGAACGAGATGGTTCATTATAAAGTAAATATTGCTGTAGAGGCATAGAACTATAGAAGCGTGCAAAAACGGAACCTACGGACATTAGAAAGAAAGAAAGAAACACTTATTGCACAAATACGCCACTTAAGTATTGAACAGTTGGAATATCTTAAGAATGCACACTTAAATTACAAACAAAAAAAAGTAATAGTTAAAGGAAAAAAAAATAATAATAATTGTGCAATACACATCACAGATAATTATTTTTGTCTGGCGAACAGATCGTGATCAGCTTAATGTTGCAGTCGATAAGAGACAAGCACGTGTACGTATTAAAGATGAAGCTGCAAATACATCTGTGATATTTTATATGTATAGACGATTTAAAATAATACTGACACACTCGGAGGATGTTCCGTTAATGAATCCCGCAAAATTTATGCGATTGCCTTCGGATGGAACTCATAAATTAGACATTTCTCGTCGCTTAATGACGGCCAATTTTTTTATGACGTCGTAAATGACAAATGATTTAATAACGTCCCTGATTTGTGATGCTGTTCCGATGCTATAGTTTAAGACCAACACTTACCGTGCTTAACTGTAAATCAACTCAAGGAGTTCACTTCCAATGAAGAAGTATAACATATTTTTGGTTCTTTTATCACGTACCACAGGGCAAAGGACGATAAGTTAGGGTTTAGTGGATTTCTTATTCGCAAACATTACTCTCTTGTTCGAGGTATGCAGCGATGGGTTCAGTTCGGTGATGCAGAGCACCGGCGTCTAGGTTTATAGTAAACAGATCAAAACGCGAGATCAGATCGCAAATTTCCAACAAACGTGTTAGAATTCCTACTAAAATCAAACACAACGAACGATCTCGAAGTGTCAACACGAAAATAATGCATTGACGTCTTTTCAAACGACTTCTAAAAAGTAGGAGGTAAGGCGATCCTTATTTCGGTTGCTGTTTTTGTGCTTTTTACCTCGGAACTCCGTCATTTATGAGCCGATTTAAAAAAATTTAGGCTCTGTTCCCACGTGGTCCCATATCAATTTAATTGGAATTGAACGTAGGAATTGTACGTTGGAACGTAGAAAATTGTATAGTGACATATTCGAAGTCGGTTCTCTTTTTTGTCAATCAAAATTTATTTATTATTACCGAAGCGATAAATGATCATTCCTTAAGCGCTGCGAAGGTGAATATCGATCCATCTTTATAATGACATACGCAGCGCCGTTGAGCGATGTATTATTATGTTTTTTGTTCGCGTGTGAGAACAGCCGGCCCCGTTTATAGATAACTGTTTCGGCGTGCGAAAGGCGTGTGCGGTCAGTCACAATAGGTGTTGCCTTAAAGGTTGCGAGGCGATAATTAGGCCATCTGGTGGTCGAAAAGAATAACTCGATGGCCAGTCACTCGGCACATCATCGAGTGCAATTTCCTTCAGCGATTAGCGTTGGCAGGCGTGACGTTCAAAGCCAGTATCAAACGATGGTTAATGAACTGTGGCCGCCTGCATAGCTTTGAATGTTAGTCAATTTTTAGTGAACCAAATCGTTTGAAGAACGCCGCGATTGTAACCTGCGTAGATACGTAATCGTATAATTGTGTTTCCATATAATAACACTATCAATTTAATTTTCGAACGCTGCTCCGCCACGGATTTGTTATTTTCTTTTTGAACTGTGAAAAGTTGCCAAACGAGCAGTCAGGTCACCTGATGTTAAGTGAATGCCGCCGCCCATGGACATCTGCTACACCCGAGGGTTGCAGATGCGTTGACAACCTTTTGAAAATTGGGCTCCGGCCACCTCACTCACCACAAGAAACGCGAAAGTATTATACTTCCACTTTACGCCGGTCTTCTGTGAGGTCGAGCCTGCCCATTCGTTCAACAGCCGAGGCTGCTGCGTGGCTCTACCACAGTTAAAATGTTCTATAGTTTCTATTCTAATGGCAGTATTACCGATTGCGATCTTTGGAATATAACATCGGAATCTAAAATGTCATCAAAAATGTCATTGGCATTTGTTGACAAACCTTCAAAACATCGTTTCCTTTAAGCCTTTATTTTTTTTTATAAAGAAAGCACACTAGATAGAGCCAAGCATTGCTAAAATGCAATAAGACATGGAGCTCCTTCCGCGCTATAATCGACCGCTTGAACTTAACGCTCGAATCCTGGCACCGGAGCAAACCTTGACTGTAGTGCAGAAGTGTGTTGTGAAAAGTTTGGTATACATTAAACATAGATAACACGTGGCTGAAGCAATTATTTGGTAGTTGAACGAATATTTGCACCCCGTGTGAATCGACCAGTGAAGCTGAACTTCCTGTATAATTATGCCAAACGAGCCAGCCGTATACATTAAGTATTAAATGATATTTTAATCACTGTAATCGAAATAAAAAAGTGATTTTTCTGAAATGGCTGCTCGTTTATAAATGTTATCTGGTACCAAATTAATTGACATTTAAATAATTAAAAATCGTCTTTAATTAGAGCGTGTCAATGAACTAAGTCAGAGTCCATAAAATACAGCTATATTTATTAGAATTGGATAAGAACTAATGAGCACGAATATATTTTTATGATTCACATAAAAATCAATTAGTAACCTACAAGGAACCGACATAAAAAAACCAATGATATTTATTCATTCTTCGTGTTAAAATATGAAATTTAATTTATCTTGGACATAAATAAATTCTAATTACAATATACACATGAAACATAATATTTCTCACATGCGAATAACACGTATAATTTACTGCTCAATTAATGGATCAAAAAATCCGGCTGAATAATGGCGTATTGATATCTCAGATTAACAAGTTTGCATGGAAAATAGAAAGACATTATTCTTTGTAGTGGTGAAAAGTAGCTGGCATAAATAATTTAATAGAATGAATATCGAATCAATATCAATTAATCACGTGGCAATCTGCATCTTCTAGAGATAAAAAACATTTTAAACACGGATTCGTTCGCCGGATCAAGTTTTACGAGTCTAAAGTCTTGTAGTAAAATTACATTTTTACTTCTTCATTTTTCAGCAATTATATTTTAAGAACATAGAAATAAGTTATAATTTCGATTATTTTATGGATTATTTCGCTTACATTTGAGATTTTAAGCTCTCAACGTTTAGAAAATTAATAGGCTATTTATCCTATTATTACCCTTCATTATTATAATTTTGTTTTATTTTTTGTTTTTTGCAAAAAACACTTCTGAGCTATGAAGAACGCCTAAGACACTTCTGCTTCCAATGCCTTTTCTTTCGATGAAGACTGCTTGACAGTTTCTGTATAAACTGGTTAGTAGGCAAATTGAAGATACTACCTACTACCTACGTAGGTAACGTACTTACTTAATATCTCAGTTAAACTTGTCTCTACCTAGAGGATTACTAAGACCATTGAAATATACTCCATTTACTTTAAAGACACCACGCTCAAAGTTAGGACAATTTTCTCCTTTAAATAGATTAATGAGAAATTATAATGCGGTTCATAACACAAGCGTAGTAGACAGTAATTTAAAATGTGATCCAAAAATTCCACTTGTGGATATTTTTTCAAACAGATTATACAAATTTAAATATTACGTGCATCAGACTGCAGTAAGCACGCTGCAGCCCAAGACAGGGCTGACATATTGGCTGACATATTGGCAGAGCACCTAGAAGGGCAATTTGTGGACAACACATCGGCCCCAGGCGCCATTGCGTTCCACCAAGAAGTGGAGCGGCACATACAGGTGTTCCTGTAGGAGCCGGTGCCACGGCTGAATGGTGGACTTTTCATCACTCCGGCCGAAGTGCGTAGAGACGCTAGTCATCTCGCGCTTCGCAAGGCACCCGGCACCGACGGAATCACGACGTTGGCGATAAGGCGACTACCGAAAAGGGGGTTAGTGGCGCTGTGCCGCCAGTACAATGGTGTACTACGCACGGCGCACTTCCCCTCTGAGTGGAAAACCGACGAGCGAGCGACGGAGCCGACTCGGCGGTACGATGTATCAAAGCCGGTGTACCACAAGGTAGTTGTCTGCCGCCACACCTGTATGCGGTGTACACGGACGACATTCCCACCTTGGAGCAAAACGCCTCCGACTGGGATGAAGACGTACTGTTGGCCCTGTACGCGGTTGACAGTGCGTTCTTCACGTCTTCACACAACGCGGCGTTTGTGTCATAAGTGGCGGATGTCTGTCAATGTTGACAAGACGTCCGCCATCTACATCCGCCACATCAAACACCAACCCGCGCTGCGGGGCAGCTGCGAGGTCAAGCGATAACGAACCAGGACACCATCAGGTATCTTGGGTGCCGAATAGACCGCTCGCTGAGTATGGCGCCCCAAGTCGAACCCTCAGTTCGAAAAGCCCGGGCAGCTCGAGCGGTCCTCTACCCAATCCTGGCATCCAAGTTACCTGTAAAGACGAAACTGGGCGTCTTTAAGACCTACATCCGTTCGCGCTTGACCTACGCCGCTCCGGCGTGGTACGCACTGGTTTCCGCCTCGCAGAGGCGCAGGCTCCAGGCGCAGCAGAACCTTGCCCTTCGACCAATCGTGGGGGCCGGGCGCTACGTCAGGAATGACGTAATAGCCCGAGACCTTAAAGTAGAGTCCATCAAGGAGTTTGTGGTCCGGATGGCCCGTCGTATGTACGACAGGGCCGACAACGGACCACATCCACACCTGAATAATATCGCTGCTCTCCACGCCCGTCCTCCTGACGGGCGCCCGCTCCCACGAGAGCTACTGCGGTCGGAACAGGCCATTGGGGGGCCGGAGCTGACCGCACTTCCGCCGTGTCGAAGACGATGTCGTCCTCGCGTTACACACCGAGTGTAACGCCGTACACCATTGCTGGTCGAGATACATGCCCAAGCAATGGGGACATGGCCCCGAGGCTTGTTTATGCAGGTGTATGTATATATATATAATCGGAATCTCGGAAACGGCTCCAGCGATTCGATCTAGCCAGATTTCATTTTTAGAAAATGTTCTTTTATCCCTGTTTTCAGGGAATGAAAATATAATTCGAATATGACGGTAAATTTCGCCGCAAGAAAAAATGTCATAATAGCTCGGTCGGTAATCGGGCGGCCCCAAAACAGACGGCCGTGGTTCGCGTCACGATCATTTACACATTTATTTTTTTACTTTTTTTTCGATTCCAGATCATTGCTTTCTTTATTTTTAATTTTTTGTCGATTTGTTATTTTGTTATTTTTTTCCCTTTTTTTAAAGTTCTTTCTTTTGTGAAAAACATCAGTTCATATTTTCTTATTATTACGTCGGAAAGATCGAAAAATATTATGCATATTTCATTACTCAGTAATTTGTATCTAAATGTAATTTCCAAAATACACGATTTACCGAAAAAAAAAAAAACAAACCGAGCAAAGCTCGGTCCTCCGGGTACTGTAATTAATGTGTGATATATGTAATTTTTATTTCGTCTTATTTATTTCGTATTGCTAATTTTAATTTAATTCTTAATTTGTAATGCTGTTCATGATTTGTATATGTTTTTTGTACTTGTAATTGCAGTAGCACCGATCTTGTGTTTTGGTTTCTTTTTTTTTAACTTGTCTAACTACTCTATTCGTCCAGTTAAATAAATAAATTAATTATAGGTATATAATATTTTATTTTCCTTTATTAATAACATGTTTACAATGTTCAATCTAACATTATGCACCCAAATGGTGCATGTTTTTTTAATTATTAACATGTTATATTGACGATATTATTTTAGAGAAAGGGCGCGAATTAATTGAGGCTGGGGTGTGTATGGAATACCAATGAATCTTTTTGAAAAATTACTTTAATTTGTGAAAGTTACATCATATCTGATGGATGTAGGCTGTATATTATTTAGGACCTGGAGGACCGAACTTTGCTCGGTTTTTTTTTGGTAAATCGTGTATTTGGGAAATTAAAAAAATAGAAAATTAAGAAAGCAATGATCTGGTATAGAAAAAAAGTAAAAAAAATAAGTGTGTAAATGATCGTGATATATAATATGTATATATAGAATTGCTCGTAGGTATTAGATATATGGCTGTATAATATACAGATGATGAATGTGTAACACATTCATCATTATCGTATTGTAACTTATTTTTTTTTAGTATACACCCATCACGGAAAAGGACGTAGCGGAGTTGCAGCAAAGATATATCGATCTCCTGGAGAAGATCAGACCGAACGCGGTTGGTTTGGTCGATGCGTTCGACATTCGGGACGAGGTTCGTAGGTTGATGTTTTATTTTACTCGTTGCTGTAATTTTATTCTACTGGCATTGCCTGCCTGTTTGAAAAAATAATCCTTATAGTATAGTATTTAATTATTTTGTCTAGCAGTAAGGTATTATTATATTTTGTATTTAATTAATATTTTGTATTGACAATAACAAAAAAAAGTATAAAAGTATTAACGTCTTAAATCAAGGACAACAATGCATCCGTATTCTTATTTAATCTAGCCATATTAAATTCTGATCGACCACTGCCATCAGACGATGTCGTTTCCTCCAAAAATGTAATTGTGAAAGACCATTAAAAATAGCTAATTCTGCATATTGAAATTTCGATAATGAAATGTAATTGTTTCTCATTTTTACTCTGTTGCAGATTCTTAATTCAACTTTAGGCGCATACGACGGTCGCGCTTACGAGCGTCTGATGGAAGAAGCCGCGAAGAGTCCGTTAAACGCGGAACCCGTAAACGAATCTTTCCACAAATACCTAAAGCCATTTATGCGCGGAAAACTGTAATACGGAGTCGAAACTTTGTCCAAAGGTGTTTGTTAATAATATATTGAGATTTCTATTTTATATCGCGTGTTTGTTTGTTTTTATACATCTAATATTTATCAGAAAAAAAAAGTTTGAAGAAACGACAGATTTGAAGTTTAATTGAGGCAATTGCAAATGTTTAAACAATTAGGTGCTTACGCTGTTGCAAAGATTATTATAATTATGTAATTTTGAACTGATGTTTTATTAAATTGTTGTTGTGATGCTGGAGTTATTCTTATTTTACTTGTTCTGCTTATTAGTTTATATGAACATATATAATTGACATAAATCATGCAATCATGCAAAAAAAACGCAACATTTCCTCTCAAATGCATTTCAGCCTGGTTTCATCAATTAAATTGATGTATGAATTAAGGCATAGTGCAAAAAAATTAAGAATATTTTTTTGCGGTTTTCTATTGCTGAAATCTTACATTGGTAATATTTATAGCATTTAGTCAATGAAATCGAACTATATGCGAAAACGAATTGCAAGTTAAACGAGCAATGAAAATCTGAAAATCCCGATTTAGATACAAAGGGAAAATAGAATTATTTGACTTGGATGAGTTTGTTAATGTTTTTCTGTAGATAAATTCCATGGATTCGAACCGGAGTCTTAACCCCCCATTTCACTCCAATAATTTTATACAAAAAAATCTCACAAGTGCTAATACGAATATCCTATAACTATAGATTGTATTTTAAAGCCACGCAAACAGTTGTGGGATAATTAAGAAAAAAAAATTAATGAAATCGATTTATTCGTTATCAAGGGAATTATAAATCTAAACATAAAATCAGCATTATATAAATAAAAGGTAATAAATTAAGGATAAATGCTTAGAATTTCAAATAAGCAATCACACCAAGACAAGTAAATTGCTGGTCTCAAAAGTCGTCTTGAAGTAGTTGCTCTTCTCAATTGACTCAACTTTGTGCGTTGGCTTGGGCAGAACCGAAGCCTTTGGTGTTTGCAGACGCGTTGACGACCCTGAAGGCGGTGTGCAGGCCTTGAGCCCTCGCGGAGGATGAAGCTTGACCATATCCCGAGGACTGGGCGTTAGCGATCGTACGGGCACCTCCGTAACCGAACGCGGGGTTTGGAACGAACCCATTTGATGAAGACACGGCTGATCCGTATCCCAAGCCGTTGCTGGCTGTGGATTTGGCGTAGCCCTGGCCCGCCACGTTGGCGACGGTGTTGACGGTACCGTAGCCCGGACGGTTGGCGCTCGCCGATGACTTGGCGCTGCCGTGAGCGCCGTCCGCAACGGAGTCGGCCGACCCGTAACCGTCGGAGTTGACGGCCGCGTTGGCGTATCCAGCGCCGTTGACATCAGCGGTGGACTTGATGTTACCATAGGCGTTCTGGCTGCTAGCGGCCGAGTCGGCAGTGCCGTAGCCCTGGCTGCTCGCCACGGATTGCACGAAACCGTTTGGTGCACCGTAGCCCTCGGTGATTGGGCTGACTTGTACCAATTCGTTGACGTTGGCCACGGTGTTGGCGTTTTGGAACGCAATAGCATCGGTGCTTGCGATCGAGTTGGCATTGTTCAAACCATTTACGTCGGCTGCTGATTGGGCGTTTTCAAAGCCGTTGGTGTTTGCGGTGGAGCTGACGCTACCGTAGCCGGAACCCTGACTGTTGGCGGCCGAGTTGGCGTAACCCTGGCCTGAGGCGGCAGTGGATTGAGCGGATCCCGCCCCGACGCCTTGGCTTTGGGCGGCTGACTTGGCGATTCCGGAGCTCGATTGGCTTTGCGCGTGCACACGGCCCGTTTGAATTGGGGTTCCGTAGAGAGTACCGAAGTGCCACCTGATGCCCTTCTTGTCAACAGTCTTGTGAATATCGTTGGGGTTCAAGATTACGGCTGCCCCATTGCGCTGAGCGTTAGCCGAACTAAACGCTGAGTTAGCGCCGGTGTTCACCTGAGTTTGAACGTAAGAGGCACCTGGGGCATTCGCTGTCGAGGAGGCAGAGCTTTGCCCATTACCCTGAACGTTTGCCGATGATACGACCGATTCGTAGCCGTTGTTAGCGTTCGAAGATGCAGTTCCGAAACCTGAACCGTAAGTGTTGGCGTTAGAGGAGGTAATCCCGTAGCTCCCGACACCTTGGGTGCGAGCTGAAGATTGTGCTGAGCCGGAGCCTCGAGCATTAGCGGAGGAGGACAAGCTCTGTTGAACGCCATTGGTAACGGCAGAGGACTGGGCCACTGGTGGGACTCCGTAATTTAACTCGGCGGGCACTTCGAAGTTTTGATACGAAACAATCGTGGCTGGTGGGGGGATGGGGATGTATGCACCGCCGTTTTGTGCCGTAGCGACCGCTCTCGCGCTATTCCCTGGCGCTTCGGAAGCCTCAGCCTGTGCCACAGCTTGCCCCGGATAGACTTCGGCGATCCCTTGATTCTGCACCAACTGCAAGTCGTATTTAGTTGGCGTGTTAGAAGCTAACTCGCCGGGAATGTTTCGTCCAATACGGTACATCATACCTGCAAAACAATGTTTCATATTATTCTATTTAATACCATAACCTGTAGAATAAAATATTAAGAAATCAATTAAGAATAGGAAGGATACACATTGCTATAAAAAAAAAACTTTGCCTTTAAAAAAAACTTACCGTTTATTAGGACGGGGGTGGACTGGCACATGGCAAAGCATGCCAGGGCTGCGATGAACTTGGCCACCATTCTGATAGATGATTTCATACCACAGCCGACGTCGGTGCGAACTGATACGGTGAGAGCATTTCTCCGGGCTTTTATACTTTGATGGGCGTCCACCGGCGCGGATCACGTTTGGCCTAAAAGCCGTGAACTTCACCTAGAAAAGTCGCCGTCCGTCGTAAATATCGGCTACGGGTTACGGTAGTTTATGTCCGATCTGAGCGCATGCTCTCTTAACTTTTTTATTCGACGTCGAGGTTCGATTCGAAAAATCAACGTTTAGAATCAGGACTGGATTGACATAAATATAGAGTGCACTGACCCGTGATTAGTGAGCTCATCTCTGTAGCATGCAAAAAATCATAGAGACAGCGATCTCGCCAATAAATGCAAAGCTATTCTAGTTGCAAGTGTGAAATGAGTAGAATTGATGTATTTCACGTATATAGGAGAGTAACTGAAGACCTATTATAATATTGAACTACGATCAACAAAAACAAAAAGAATATTTATAGTATTATTTACACATTATGACTTGATTGTTAAAAACCGAATATTTAAAAGCTGCAAAAAATTTTAATAACTGATTCAACAGTTTATTTAATTGTAATGTAAATGATTATATACGGATTGTGCAAAGAAATAAATATGCTTAGATTTACTAAGAAATCTTAACTTAATATTAAACTTTAGCCACAGCATAACATTGATGAGTAATTATTTGTGGTATAAAATGGATCTCGTAATAATTTAGGATCTTACGGTATGATTTAGTTTTGTAGATATTAACATATAAATTACATTACTTAAAAAGGTAAGATAGGATAAGTAAATGAACTCTAAAATTCTGGGAATATAGGTTTCTCCTTTTCATTTTAACATGTAACGAACAGTTTATAAAGTTTTATTGTTTATAAATAAATGTTTATAAATTGTTTCAGCTGGATATATGTACGAGTATGTCAGCACAAATTCAGACTAGACATACTTGGAATTATTGAATCGATTGGGTTAATTGCGGGTCCTGGGTTCAATTTGCGACCGGTTCACCGTTTTTCTAAATGACACGTTTTTAGGATGTCTAAGGTCAAAAATGGTTGTAACCTTACCGACTGTATAAATATTTAAAAATCTTATGTATATATGGCTATGTCGTATGTATATAATATGGCTGTGGGCTTCGAAAGCTGGACCAATCTCGATGAAATTTTCAGGCAATCTACAGTTTAACCCAACGGGTGACCGAGTAAATTTCGTTCGCGATCGGATCAACAGATTTTATCTTTGTTGATAATAAGTGCTATGTGTGTGAAGCCGGGGCGGTGACTCTAGTATTAAAAATATCTAATAACATGATTACTTTTTTGTTTGATTTAATAAGTAATATAGTAATGTCTTATTTTGGGTTATTAATTTTATTTATCTATAAGTAATTATTGTATGTTTGTTTTAAGAGTCATGTTTTGCACAATTTATCGTTCATCATTTCCAATATTATCAGTAGTAGAATTATTTTGATTTCAAAAACTACTAAATTGTCTTTTTTATTTATTTTAACTTTGCACATATTATGTGTTGACCTCCATGCATAGTTTGGTTGCAAGTATAACTAAAAGTTAAAATAAATATGTCAGTTATGCTGTATATACTGATAGAAGTAACAATGGGTTACTCGCGTCTTACGCGTATTTTACCATAATTAGTCATAGTAGGGGGCCCCGCCTGAATAAATGAAATCCCTAGTGTGTCTTGGGAGAGACCTAGGGTCAGCATTGGTCTAGTTTGAGGGGATGTTTGTCAGAGTTCACATTTTTAACCTTAATCAATTTTTGATTAGGCAAAGTCAACGTCTTACATATTCCCGGTTGTCAATCGAATGAAACACAGGAGATGATGCCTTATTCTATGCAGTGATAAATTGGATTGAAAGCGAAAGAATTCAATAAATTCTAGTACCAGAAGTTTAGCAATTTATATAAATCATTCATGCATACTTTGGTCGGTGTAACATGCTTTTTATTTATCTCTGGTTTAGAGCTAATTATAAATGTGGTCCGTCCAATTTGATATACATAACTGTTAATTTTATTGCCAAGTTTTTCTTCCTAGCGACAGGACATTTGAATCTTAATAAACACGTGACAGGAAACTGAAATTTAATTAAAAGATATCTTACCCATATTTTATATGTTCTATTCGTAGCTTCTTTCAAAATTAGCGTATCTGAATTACAAAAAATATGGAGCTAATTATATTTTTTGAAAAGATGATATGCAATCGAAAAGTTGTTGTTATCACTGTAAACAAACCCAATAAAGTATTTATGCTTCATTACATTATAGAATGAGTTATGCAATGTTGACGCATGTCCTAAATTCAGATAAGCCGCTGGTATGCTACTCATGTTAGGGTAAATGCACATGAGAACATAAGAATAAAAACAATACTGTTCATCACACATTGCTAACTAGCATAAGAAGAAACAGAGTCGCCCATCTATATGTTGGTGTATTACACAATTCATTTCTTCACACTCTTTCCATCGGGCACTTAAATGCTGAGCAGGACTTCATACTTTTGATGCTCAGCAGGACTTCATACTTTTGACTTCATTCTCTGCATTCGAACACAGGGGCTCTCCTCTTCTTACTTCACTATTTTGCTGCATCAATTGTCCAGACCGAGTATTTTAACTGATGTTACGCTTTCAGGCCCAAGTCTATTAAAGCTTCATCGAACGCAGAACCGGTGGGCTAGCCAGAACCCACGGGTTTGAGGCCCTCCTCAGTGGGTAGGGACGCGCGTGTACTCATGCGTGCGTTGGTTGTGACATGTCACTTACGGGCCATCGAGCTTCAGTAAGGACCGTGACCCCGATGGCCGTTGATTGTGCTTGTTTAGTCGGTGGCTGGGGGCGGGGAGAACCGCCCTGGAACACTGGGGAACCTAGTGTACGCGTTGTGTTGGTTTCGCGGTGCTCGAAGGCGAGGACAAACTATAGTGTTTGTTGATGCGCTAACTGAGTGTGTAATGTTATTTGGCGGGACATCAGACGGTGGGTCCGACGTACTTAAGTCCCGTTCCACGACCGGGTCGGTGAGGACGTTGCACGGGCGACGACGCTTGTTGACGTTCGCGCTAATGTCGGGTTGGTAATTTGCTGCGCTTACCACCAGAGGGTTGGGATGATGTTCGGCTCTGTCGAAGAACCGTTTGTTGAGATCTTTAAAATGTTCGCGTCACTGTACAAGTTTAAAATGTCTTTAGTCGCTGTGCAGGACGACGTTGCGTTGATACCACTGCGCACCGATTGCGCGGGGGATGAACTTATTTTGTACTATTTGCAACTTGTACAAGCGAGTAGGATTTAACCAGACCGAGTATAATGTATGTAGCTCAATAGGATTCTATTGAGCCAATTTGTTTACTATGTATGACAACATCACTATTTTTTACTTTTTTATGTGAGACTTTTTTGTACGACTCAGTAGCGCAGTTAAGCGATGTATTTAGCGCTGGGGTTCGGGGGTTCAATTCTCACACGGAACATTTTGAGAATTGTCCGTATTTATGCAAAAAGGAACCACCCAGTAAAAACGCACTTCTGAGATATTACAGGATTTACAAAAATATGTGCAGCTTTGTTAGATGAAACAAAATTACTGTTTATTTTATTTTAATTTATCGATAAATTATGTATTTAAGTAAGTACATATAAATTTGCTCTGCACAGCCTGAAATATTCTAAATAATTAAGAAAATGTGCATGTGGTTCCTTTTAACATTTACTGATTTATAGGTTTTCTCATATACAAAAAAGAACCACAACCCAGCGATTTACTGATATAAATGAAACTATGTATTCATATTATCGTAATAAAGCTTTAATTCAGTAAAATATGTAAAATTATACGTATAGAGAGCGTTTATTCGACGTTATCATCAAATTGAACTTCGAAATCGACCATATTCACTTACCACTGACCATCTATAGCGACTCCTATTGTATTCACATCGTTATAATTGAGACCATTATAAAAACTCTGCATTTAGTGGCATGAGGTGTAATAGAAACTTAACATCGGCTAATTTCGCTGATGATACTGGCTTCCTTGACGGCAACAGGGGAGGTAAATGTTTCCTCAAGATTACAGCCGGTCACACAACTCCCAAGGAAATCTTTTAAAATAAATCGAGTTTGGTGATTCTATTTTCAGGTATATTTTTCGAGTTTATATCCGATTAATACATTATTTATTAATACCACGTCTGTGACTAATACTTTTTTCAACCTTATAAGTTCCAATGTGAGTTTTTGGCATAACTGTTACGGTAAGTAGGTGATTTTTCATGCAATCTTTCATTACCTGGCCATAATCATCGGGAGTGTATAGTATCGAATATTTCTTTATTGCCGTTTCAATGAGGGAAATCTCTGTCATTGGTTAGGTAGCATGTCCGAGTATAAAAATTGTGTTAGTGTTATTTTTTGAAGGTGAAATGAGGATGCAAAAATGCTTTTAACATTAAACTGAATCTTCTACATGAATCCCTCCATAAAATTAGATCCTCGAAATCTCATCAATATGCTCGCATATATATTTTAAAAGACAAGAACCTACTTCCTAAGCACCTTTGGCAACCATTCTTTCTATCCAAAAAAGCAACCAGCCGTTATTTATGGTAAGTAATGTTTTGGAGATCAAACTTGAGACTAGTTTCTTACATTTAGTAGCAAGAATAAAGTCAGGTTTCGATTTTGAGCCTCTTTCCATTATCGGCAATGTTCTTCGCGTTCTGTATCTATGGTTGTTTTCTCCTCAGCAGGTATGCAAGGAGTTAATTTCCGATTTTAAATTATCACACTTGTTACAAGAATCAGTTTTAAAGGCACTCGTCCAAGATTTAAATATGGGCCACGCATCAGTCTTCGCTGTTGCACGATTAGGTGGGTCTGTCCGGGGAAGTACCACAACCTCACAGACCGGCGTGAAGTGGAAGAGTTAAACTTCTGCCTTTCATCT